TAAATAATAGATTAATAAAAAAAAATAAAAAAACTTTATAAAAATAATATTATTTAATTTAAAGATATATTTATATATAAATATAATTTATTATATTTTTTCTTTTAGTTTAATCCATCTACTATATTTATTATTATTAATAAATATAATAAATAAAAAATTATATTTAAAGTTTAGAATTATTAAATATTTTCTTCTTCTAAATAACTTAAATATTTAATTATTTAAAATTATATTTAGAATTAAGATTTAAATAATCTTTTCTCTTATTATAAATTTAAATAAAAAGAATATCTATATAAAAAAAATCTAGAAAAGATTTTTATAGAATCTATTATTAAAAATATAATATAATATTTAATATTTAAATTGAATAGTTATAAATAGTATAATTATCATGATAAATTAATTATATAATATAATATAAATAACTTTTAATTTAATATATAAATAATTAAGACTTTTTTAAATAAAAAATAAGAAAATAATAGGCTTATTAATCTTATTTAAAAAAACTTAATAATAATTTAGAAATATTATATTAATTTTTAATTATTATTTTAGTAGTAAAAGTATAATATTCTTTATATAATTTATCAGATTTCTAATATATAACCTAAATTAAACTATAATTATATATTTTTTTTTATATTTTATATTATAAAAATATTAATATTATAAACAACTGAATTATATTAATACTACTAGAATTTCTCTATTATTTTTTATAAATAGAGAAAAAAAAGATATTATTATATTTTTTAATTATTTTTTTTATTTTAGAAAGCTTATCTTTATATATTTTTAGATAATAGTTAAAATAATTAACTTAATTTTTATTTAATCTAAGTATATCTTAACTATACTAGAGTTAAAAAAGATATAGTAAGTAAATCTTAGTATTAAAAATAATTAAAATAATTAATTATCTTATCTTTAGTTATACCACAGTCAGGTATAAAAATTTCTTTAATCTAACTATTAACCTATAGTCAGATATAAAAGTTCCTATTAACCTAACCTGACCTGGCTGTTAGCTACTCTAGCTAATTAGGATGATTAATATACTTAGTACTTAGAAAAAGACTATTTTTAGTAATAAATAAGGATTCTGATTAGTAAATATATTAAATAGTATATAATATATTTTCTATACTAAAAAAGAAGAAAAGGAGAGATAAAAAACTAAAGAAAAACTTTAAACCTAAGCTAGGCTTATAATCTGTTGAAGTAAACAGTTATACAGGAAAAAGATATAAAGCCTTTAATAATTATTAATTTAGTTGAGTAAGGAACTATCTATATAATTTTACAGTATTTACATTCCATCAGGTCACATGACCCAGCGGTCACGCCCCTAGATGTCAACATACCTAAATCAGATAGAATTAGACAAAAACTAGACTAAATTAAATAGAAATCAGGTAGAATTAAGCAGGAATTAGATAAAAATATTCTGTTATCTTATACTACCTCTTTTAATAAATTTAGTTACTAAGAAATTTAACCTGTAGATTAACTATTAATTAATCTAGATAGGAATATATATTTCTTATACCTAATTATTAATATGCAGTCAGGTATAAAAATTTTGATTAATCTAACCTGACCTGGCTGTTAGCTACTCTAGTTATACCTTAACCTTAATCTGACCTTAACCTGGTGGTTAGGTTAAGATATAAAAATCAGATTAACTGCAGGTATAACAGTTAATTATAGTTAACTATTATATCTAAATCAGGTAGAATCAGATAGAAACTAGACTAAACTAAATAGAAATCAGGTAGAATCAGACAGAATTAAGCAGAAATTAGACAGAAATATTATACTATTCTATATTATCTTTTAAAATAGATATAGTTACTGAGAAATTTAATCTGTAGATTAATTATTAGTTAATCTTGATAGAAATATATATTTCTTATATCTGATTTTTAACCTGTGGTCAGATATAAAAATTTTGATTAACCTAACCTGACCTGGCTGTTAGCTACTCTAAGATAAATATATATTATTAATTAATTTATAGTTTATAATCTATTTATTATATCTAATTTTCTTAACTAATAATTATAACTAGTTAAAAAATTAATTATATCTTAATCTAATTTTAACTATATAATTAAATAATTTCTTATATCTTAACCTAACTGCCAGATTAAAGTCAGGTTAAGGTTAAGATATAACAGTTAGGTCAAGCCACTCTACTTTTACCTAAACTATATACATTATTTTTTTTTCTTTAGCTAATGATACTCTATACATAAAATTAATTTTTACAAACCTTTTTTTATTAGGATTAGTAGCCGACTGAAATAGACCAGAAAGTCCTATTTTAATTCCATGTAAAACTGTAACTCAACCCTTTTGGAAGAGATGCCATTAGAGACTGAGTTCCGCTACATACTCAGCATAAATGTCGAAGTCAATGATATCAATGTGTTGTTTGCATAGCTTTGGGGCTGGGCTGGAGACGGGGATAATAGGTCGTGGACGCGCAAGGGCTAAGAGCAGAAGACTTATCGACTGCTCTTTCGACCAAGCTTCGAGATCATTACCTATCTATTTGGGCTGCGGCAGGCGCGGGGGTGGCGGGTAACACTCCAGTGTCCGTTTGTCCGCACGCATTGGCTCCTTCCCTATCTAGTATCAGCGCATTCCAGTCACGAGTTAGTGGGCAAGGCGAAAGGGCAAATCAGAACAGCTCCAGATGTGAATGAGTGTACATCCATCCGCACGCAGCAAAATACTACCAAGACAACCCGCTTCCGGATGGAATAATTCCTCTGGCGGACGTGGATTGTCTCCCAGTTACAGGATGGCAACGGTCCGTGCGGCACAGCGATCTGAAAGTTGCGCTCCCAGTAATCCCGGCCGACCCCGGCACCTTAGTCACCACGTCTCGCACAGCCGGGCCCCGGATGGCAACACTAGAAGCCGGGCTCCCATTTCCTATGACCCGAGTAGCCAGCAGTACGGTTACCTGGGATATCCTGGCATATGACCCACAGTGCCAGTATCTTGCACGCCGCCTACGATCGCAGACAGGCACGTATCGTCACCATCCACAGTAGCTGGTCCATGGGCTGCCGGTGTTCAGCAAGGGATGTTTCGTTCAAGTTCCACCGCCAGTAGCGGCAGGTTCGGCTTCCAAGAGAGATCAATGACGGGCCGCTGACACTACGGGTAGATGTCCCTGTTACTTCGGAGCAAATGGAAGAGGATCCTGACACGGAAAATTTAAGCATGCGGCGGCGGCACGTGTATTGAAATCACCAGACATTCTTGAATATGATCGGTGGGCTCATAGACATGCAGCGAAATATCAAGGGTGTCAGCATCTGTTTGACGATGCCACGCGACGGAAACATCCAGTCTGCCTCGGGGTCTCGGCCGCAGAGTTTGCATGGCAGAAAGCGCGTTGATGTGACGAAAAGCCAGAAGGTCAAAGAGAAGATCTTGGACGCACGCAGCAAGGTGTGACAAGCAATGAGTCAAATTTATGAAGAAACACTGTTTTAGGCAGGGGGGATATCAGTGTGGCTGTGTGGTTGGCCCGGATATATACTTCCAGCAAAGCATTCTGGTTGCGGCTACTACGACAATTGTGTAGTGCCTCTCCATTTCAACCGTATTCAAATATCTACTTGCAGACAGAATTATTTTAATTGATCATATTATGAAAAGAATCGATTGCTGTAGAAGATGTAACCCTAGCTGCATTCAGACAGGTAGAAAATATCGCTCAAGGCTATAAAGGAGTCAGTGCGGGAGGTTGATTGCATGGAGAAAGACTCAAGCCCTTCAAGAATTTCTACTCACAATGCCGCACGCAGCACCTACCGAAGATAGCACGATTCTTGCTCTAGACAAGTCTCTCTCAGCCCTCCAACTCGGAGAAGGTCAGAGAGAGAAAGGCGGATTCAACCATTTCACACCATACCTCGAGCAGCGGAGAGTTGACAACCTAACACGAGAGACGATTATTCCATATCTAGCAGAACTTCAGGGCACTCGGCGTCTGGAGATTGACGAGTCAACGCGGCCCTACCAGGAGGGACGGGAGTTCCAAAGGAAGTATGGGATCTCCGAAGAGAGTTTCCAGAACTGGAAAAGGCTTCTTTCTGGATGGCTAGGTTTCCCGGCAATCCTGCTTCTGAATCCGACTCGGTTTGACGACTTGTCATTCGAGAAAATGGTTGAGAATTCACCGACATTGCAATGGACGCAGAAGACCCTTCAAGACATGGAACTTGAGCTCGACGATGTGATCGTGTTGGATACGTTTCCGATGGTGACCGACAAGCTTCTGAAGATCAAGAGACTACAAGGCGCGCATGTGGAACTGGTGCAGGACTCATTCCGCCTAACACTGACGTGCTTGCGACATATCCGACCGCAGGTGTTAGTCTCATGTCAATGTTGCAGCAGAGCAGGGAATGAGACCTGGGGGGTCGTTATGAACAAGAAAGCTGACGAGCTCTGTTCTTCGGGCTTGGCAGCAAAAGACGAGCTTGTTAAGGAGGTGGAGATTGGTGACCACATGATGCAGGTGGTACAGGGGGTCCATCCGCAGTATGTGGTGCAGTATAACGAGGCGATGGAGGACGTTTTGCAGAGACTGTTCAGAAAGGTGTTTAAGCCGTTTGGGAAATGGAAGAAGCAGCGGCTCATGGCTTGGAAAGAGCTTACAACGATCAGCGAGATTGTCAAGAGTAGCATGGAATCTCTGCTCAAACAGATGAAATTGTACCAACAGATCTGCGGGCGAGTGGGTGAGGCTTATGCTCCGGGAGCAGTAATGGTGAAGCAGATGGAGGAGTGGGAGAGCGTAGTTGATGGATGGATCGCGCAGATGACCGAATGAAACTTGCGGGATTGTGCAGTTCTTTTCTTTGCGAGATTTAGGGTTATTTACAACTCAATATACTATTACTAGGACCTGGTTCCAAAGAGTACTTCAGCGTAGATTCCGGCAAGGTGAACAAGCCAAACATTGACAGCCACTGTGGGCGAGTCCGAAATGCAGAGAATATATATACCTAGAGCATAACAAGAGCGGTTTCAACCTGAGACCTAGGAAGGCTGACAATAGTATTATAATCAATCAAAAAAAATTATCTAGTATAAATTCATTTAATCCAGTATATATTGAAGTTACATAGTAGATTTTCATATAATATAGATTTCAAAGATATTATTTGTAAATATATATAAAAAATATCTATATAACTAGCATGTTAATCTTCTGTTAAAATAATGTAAATATATTTTTCAAAATATTAGCTCTATAGAGCTCTATACTATACTATAAGTAATATAAAATATCTATCTAATGATAATCATTTCTTACTAGCTTTAAAAATATATTTACTTAATCTTTATCTTGAGTTAGGTTAAAGCTAGTTAAAGTATAAGATTTTTATGGATTTATATATGTGGCTGCCTTCGGCAAGTGTTCCTGTATGCCGCCTCGTGGCTGCTGTCTGTATGTATTTATACTCTTAGTATCTATAGTCTACTGTATTACTGCCTTATCAGCCCGCTCGCCTTCGGGCAAACTTAGGAAGAATCAATCTTCTTACCCTTACTGCATGACACATTCATCTCAATATAATTTAATAAATTAATAGATGTTGATATTATATATTATAATTTATAACTAGAGCTTATTCAATGGATAATAGTATAATATTTAAAAAAAAATACTTATTTAATAAATAAAATCAGGAGCTTTGTGTTCAAAACTTAGAATATATTATATTAGATATGGCAGAACTAGCTTAATGACTTAAGGCTTACCCAGCTCAGCTTGCTTATTAAATAAGTCAAGTTCTACTTAATTATTTAGTAAATAAGTTTTAGTTAATTTTTAATTTACTTAGCTAAGTAGTTTTAGTTTAATAAATTAATTATATTTTTATTTTATTATGATATTATACAGGTATTATATAGAATATTAAATATATATATTAAATCTATATAATATATTAAGTTAAAATAAATATTTCTTTATAATAAATTTATTAATTATTAATATAATAAAAAATTAATTAAAGAATAAAACTTAGTATAGAAATATATATTTAATGACATTCTTTAAATTTTTTTACTTTTCTAATTAGGTTAGTTATTAACTTAAGTTAAACTAAAATTAAAGGTATATATCGAATTAAGAAGATACTTATAAATATTAAATTAAATATTAAAAGAAATAAAAAAATATTAAATTAACTATTTTTAATTAAAGTTAAATTTAATTAAAAAGTTTTATTTATTTTAAAAATTTCATAGAATTCATTAAGTAAGTTAAATTATTTAATCTGAAGTTTTAAGCTAAATCAAGCTTTAGTTAACTGGAACTTAAAGCTTAAATAAGTTATTATATAATTATCTAAAACTTACCTGACCTGCTTGATTACTACATCTATAATATATAATTAGTAAAAATTGTAAAATTATAATATAAAAATCTCTTTTTCTATATAAAATCTTTATTATATTAAGAATCATACTATTATTGAACATTTATAAACCCTAATTTAAAAAATATACTTATTTTTCATATTATAACTAATCTCATAATCAATAATAAGCTGAATAAGAATAATTTTAAAGAAAAAAAATCTGTAAAAAATACAAAAAAATATAAAGTGAAGTATTAAAACATTTTAAAGATCAATAATTTCTATACTTTAATATTATATGATCAAACTTAGTTTAAATAGTTGAATTTATTAAGTCTTATTCTATCTTAGATATATTTGTATATTCATTAAATATAATAAAAAGTAGAAAATCTATTTAAATATTCTAAAAGTATAAAAAACTATATTTATTATGATATTTTTAATATTGGTTTTCTTTGATATTCTATATAAATATAAATAAATAATTTAAAGTCCTAGACATCTAGAATAATATCATAATTTTTTTTAAAAAAAGTCTAGAATAAATGAATAAAATTTTATAAATATATAAAGGTTAATAGTACTAATACTTATAAAATAGAAGATAATAGAATTGAAGTTAAACAAATTATAATTAAAAAAAATTTGAAATCTAAAATTAGAGACTATCCCTAATATTCACCTCTTTCTAAAATAGATTAAGAATATAATGTAAGTTATTATGATTATTATTATTATTCATGGTATTATTATATTTTAAATAAAGTTCTGAAATTGTAAATTGTGTATAATATTTTTGATTTCTAAAATAGATCTTAGAATAAAATTTTATATTATTATTAGTAATGATCTTATTCTTATATTCTCTTTCATTTATAATATTAAGATTTAGATAATTAATTATTTCAGTAATTATTAGTTTATAATACAATTTATAATGAAGTCTATTATGTTTTGTATGATAAATTTAGTAAAGAAACCTATGTTAAATAACAATTCTCAAAAACTAAATGTAATATGTATAATATATATTTCTTTATAATTTCTATTTAATTTACTACTTTAGTGGAATTATACTCCTTATTTCTAATATAACCCATATTAACATTTATAATTTTATAAACTCAGTATCTCTATTTTATCACAATACTTAGAGAATCAGATCTTTACAAATATTTTATAAATAATTTATAATAATTATATTTTAATACTATGGATAATGAATATGTTACAATAATATAAAATCTAATTATTTATAAAAAGTGTATTTTTAATAATATTTATACTTACATATATTAATAAATTTCAATCTCTATTATATGATTCCTTTAATTAAAAAAAGGATTTATACTAGTATCTACTTTATTATTATTCTGCTTAAAACATTTTATTCTGATGAATCTGGATTTTAAAATCTTTATTAATATCTTATAACAAGTCTAGAGTTTCTTTATAGCTTGAAATTATAAATATATCTCTTCATCTTTAATATTCTGTTTTATATTCATTCTAAAGCAATAAATTAGAGTGGCTAACAGCCAGGTCAGGTCAGGTTAATCAAAATTTTTATACCTGACTGTAGATTAATAATCAGGTATAAGAAATATATATTTCTACTTAGATTAACTAATAATTAATTTATAGATTAAATTTCTTAGTAACTAAATTTATTAAAGAAGATAATAAGTTTAAATAAAATATTTTTATTTAATTTCTATCTAATTTCTGTTTAATTTTATTTAATTATATCTAATTATACTTAATTCCTGTCTAATTCAGATATAATAATTAATTATGGTTAACTATTATATTTATAATTAATCTAATTTTTATACCTTAATCTAACTACTAGATTAAGATCAGGTTAAGATTAAAATATAATAGTTAAGTTAAGCTACTCTATAATAAATACTAGATTAGAGTATAATAATATTAATAATAAAATTTTTACTTTTGATAAAACTAATAAAAATCTTATTATTATAAACTTTAGATACTATTAATTTATTTTAGAGTAGAGTAGCTTAATTTAACTATTATATCTTAATCTTAACCTGACCTTAACCTGGTAGTTAGATTAAGATATAAAAATCAGATTAACTATAGATATAACAGTTAACTGCAGTTAACTATTATACCTAAATTAAGTAAAAATCAGGTATAATCAAGTATAATCAGGCAGGATTAGGCAGAAGTTAAATAGAAATTAGATAGAAATATTCTATTTAAGCTTACTGTCTTTTTTAATATATTTAATTACTAAGAAATTTAACCTGTAGATTAACTGTTAATTAATCTAGATAGGAATATATATTTTTTATACCTAACCATTAACCTGCGGTCAGGTATAAAAATTTTGATTAACCTGACCTGACCTGGCCGTTAGCCACTCTACTTTAGGGAATATAGAAAACATTACCAGTATTTTACTATCTAAAGGTATACTAGGAGTTTACCTACAGACAGAGTGGGGCGAGCATGCCTGGGGCATGTTCCCCAATAACCTTGATTATTTATGTTTTGTGGTGGTTAGTGGGGATTTGGGGAACTGGGGCTGGAGGGAGTTGGCTGCTTGCGGTGAGCTTGGTTGAGAACCTACCGAGTAGTCTACTCTCCACATCTTCGGGTGTTAACTTTCGCCTGAGGAGGGTATTGTTTTGGAAAAGGATCATTGCTGTCGGCCATGGTGGTGGGTAACTGGACAACGGCGCGGCAATGAAGTGAATGATGGATTGATGGAAATACCTGCAGCGATATAATGTGCTGTCCGACAGAACTTGACTAGCGCATCGCGTATACCCTGCTCTAGCTTTGCTGGCTGCAAGTCTATGCCCAGCTCATTAGCCGAGTCTGGGATATCACATGGGAGTGTATCAGGGCCTGGTTTGTCGATCACGTAGCCGGGTACTTTAGGTGGCTATCCTTACCAATGGTGTTTTTGGCGGTCAGAGATCAAGGAAAGAAATTCGCCAGGAATAGCGAGAAACGATGGAAATCAGGTAAAAACCTGAGGGGTATGAACGGCGTGCCTAGCAGCTGGGGTCTAGAGATCCACCCTACCACATAGTACCCAACAAGGGCAATGCTTTTCTCGTGTTAGGGCTGTAGTGAGCTCATTAATGACGTAACCTGACATCATCTCCCGCTGGAAACGGAACAAGCTGCCTGGTTTTGTTAAAGTAATAACATAACAACTCCAGAGCTATGTCTCACAGCTCCGACGAGAACCCGGGCCTCCGCGGAAATCCAAGGAGCACTCCACGTTTCTCCGGACAATCCGGCAGCCCCCGCCCTACCCTAATTTCTCGGCTCGGTCGGTGTCTCTCAATCTGGATGACGCAGGGTGCAGGCTAGAATGCAGGCATGCTGGTCATCTCACATCCCACAGCGAAAAAAAAAATAAGGGCTAATCATCCAGCGATGTTTCATTAAATACTACTTAGACAAATATCATATCACGATCATTCACGCCATCTTAAATTCGGTATTGGTTTGAACTAATATCTGCGAACATCATGCCGCCGGAAAACCAACAAGGGGCCTCGGCGCTCGAGATCCTCCATGAGCCCGATTGGACGCAGACACACAGCCACCGCGTCGGAACCCGCGGTCGCGATGCGCGATTCATGGGGATCACGCACGGTGGAGACGAGACAGGGCAAAAGGGTCTTGAGGAAGTCGCAGAGGAGACGCTCAATGAACTGCGCGAAAAGGTTAAGAAGGGGGAATTGGTCACTGTGAGGGATATTATGGAGAAGCAGATTGTATGTTCTCCTTAATTCGTTCTCAAATCGGAGGGAGGTCTACTGGATGAAAAACGATTGTTGGGCAAGTGGAATCTGGACTAATTGGGACGTCGTAGGACTTTCATCTGCAGAAACCTGGGGTGCATCCCAAGTTCTGGCGGTATGTTTTGCATACGACCGAAGATTTTATCAAACAGGGACAGCCATGGCCCATCAATCAGAAGAAAAAGGAGGACGCGGAGAAAAAGAAGAAGGAGGAGGAGGAAGAGGAGAACAAGATAAAGGAAGAAGAGATGAAGAGCAAGCAGAAAAAGGGCCGTGGCGGCGACAGCCAAGACAAGCAAGATGATCAAAAAAGCCAGGATAAACAGCAAGACGAAGGGGAGGACCAAGACCAAAAAGATGAAGGACAGGAGGAGAATAAGAAACCAAAGCGCTCAACAGAGGAGGAGGCACTGCTGCAGTGTCTCCAACATGAACAAAAGTACATGTGCCTGATGAGGAAGAATGACGGCAAGGGCAGCTCTCCGCTCGCCGACGAAGATCTTCCACGACAGATCGATGAGGCAGACCAGTTTTCGCCTGACAGCTGGATTCCCCGCAGCGATAAATTAATTCGGCTTACTGGGAAACATCCGCTGAATGCGGAGGTGGAACTAACTACCCTGTTTGACGCCGGACTCATCACACCATCAACGATCCACTATGTTCGGAATCACGGTGCTGTTCCGCACCTCCTCTGGGAAAATCACAAGGTTGAGATAACCGCTGGTAAAACAATAGCCTTTGGAATGGATGAGTTGAAGGATACCTTCCCCAGCATCAACATTCCAATCTTTCTCGCCTGCGACGGCAACCGCAGGAAGGAACTGAATATGATTCGCAAGACAAAGGGATTTAATTTCACCGCTGCTGCGAGCGGATGTGCCTACTGGAAGGGAGTCTTACTCCGGGACGTCTTACTCGAAGCAGACGTCCAAAGTCTAATGGAGAAAGCCTCCCATAAGCGTTTTTGGGTAAACTACGAAGGTGCGGATACGCTCAGCGAGGGCAAGTATGCCACCTGCGTGCCTCTTGAATATGTCATGGACCCGACGAACGACGTGATGCTTGCCTACGAAATGAATGATCATCCAATCCCCCCAGATCACGGCTATCCATTGCGCCTGATGCTCCCCGGCTGGGTAGGAGCACGGTCCATCAAGTGGCTAACGAAGGTCTGGGTAACGGACTATGAGAATGAAAGTCATTACCATATTTATGATAACCGGCAGCTTCCCAGCTTCGTGACAGATCCCGATTCGGAGATTGCGCAGACCATGTATCATCATCCGAGTACGCTTTGCAACACACAGATGCTGAACTCGGTCGTCGTGCGCCCGGCACAAGGCGAAAAGATTAATCTGGTCGATGTGAAAAAGGGCAAGGTTTACAGAGTCGAGGGATTCGCCTACAGCGGCAACGGAAATGAGGTTTCGCGTGTGGAGATTAGTCTAAACGGGGGAAATGATTGGTTTTACTGTGTGCGGAAGGTGAGTATGCTTGCTCAGAAGTATTCAGCCTGTGCCTTGTTAGCAACTGCTGAAATCATGGCCTTAGTTCCCCGAGACCCCGATTCGTCATGATCGAAAGTTCTGGACCTGGCTGCACTGGCACATCGACTTGGACATCAGCAAGCTCATTCGTGCAGAAAGCATCATTGTCCGTGCCACGGACGAACATAGAAACACGCAGCCTCCAGAACCCATCTGGAACATTGAAGGGCAAGCGACTCCCTTAATCCACATTATTCAGTCTACCTGCTGACTGGCCTCTCCGCTCAGAATGATGAACAACAGCTGGTACAAAGTCTACCCTGAAGTGTGCGAAAGCCCCGATGACGAACAAGCCTACCTTTTATTCCGACACCCCGTCGACGCCGCCAACAGCATGAAGGGGTGGATGAAGCAGTCTACCCAAGAAACAATCGAAGAGGTGAAGCGCAAAGCATCTGCCCCCGGAAAGCAATTCACCCGCCAAGAAATTGAGAAGCATCATACAGAAGATGACTGTTGGATTGTTGTTGATGGCAACGTGTACGATGCGACTAGTGTGCTGAGTTGGCACCCTGGTGGCAAGGGTCCTATTATGACGCATGCGGGCGCGGTGCATATGGATACGACCAATGAATTTATGAGTATTCATGATAATTATGCACAGGAGAAGCTGAAGGGTAAGTATTAACTCTTTTACCTCCCTGGGCTTTAACGAGGGTGATTCTTGGGTTCTAATGATGGTATAGAATGCATCCTCGGTAAGGTAACCGAAAAGGCCGTGAACCACATGAAACGGGACGCGGAGCAAAAGGAGAAGAAAAACGCACAGGGAGGCGAGAAAAACCCACAAATAGCTCTGGACAAACACAAGTAAGCTATGTCCCCTCCCGAATCTCCTGACAAAAAATAATAAGTTCCTTAGGTGGACGCAAGCAAAACTGGTCAAAAAGAAGCGTCTCTCCGACGACACACAACAGTACACTTTCCGTCTCCCACCACCAGCCAAGAAACTCGGGCTGGAAACAGGTCAGCATGTGCAGGTGGGTTTCCATTTCGAGGACCGGCTTGTTGTGCGGCCGTACACACCAGTCCGGCCAGTTCTGGAGAAAGAAGAAGACGGTACTTTTGATTTAGTTGTGAAAACATATTTCCCTGATCAAGACCAACCGGGTGGTACCATGGGTAACATCCTTGACTGTCTGCGCGAAGGCGAAGAAATCGAAGTCAAGGGCCCTTCAGGCGCAATCCGGTATCTGGGCCACGGTACGTTTGCGGTCGATGACAAGGAATACTCCTTCGAGAACGTGTCCCTGATCCTCGGCGGATCCGGCGTGACCCCAGGGTACCAGATCATCGCACGGATCTTGGAAAACAAAGAAGACAAAACAAAAGTCAAGGTTATTGACGCGAACAAGTCCGAAGGCGACATCCTGATGAAGGATAAATTCGAAGAGTTCTCGAAGAAATCGGAGGGGAGGTTTGAAATCGTGCACGTGCTTTCACATCCCAGCGATGACTGGAAGGGTCTCAGTGGCCATATCAATGCGGATATCATCAAAAGCCACGCCTTTGAACCCAGTAATAAAAATGTGGTGCTCCTCTGCGGGCCACCTACCATGATTCAGAAGGCGGCGCTTCCTGCGCTGAAGGACTGGGGCTACGATGAGGATTGCAATTTGTTTGGTTTTTAAAACCTCTTGTCGGGATGTAAGCAGTTTACATATACTAATGTATATTACATTATCCACTTTATAGCAAACTAACAATTCACGACACTAGTGTCTTTTTCTTGAAATAGCCGTCCAATACGGTTGACAAGTGTATGAACAGCAACCGCCTACAGACACCGCATCACCATTAAGCCGTCTCGCTCCCGCCAAAACTTCCAATTGCTAGACAGTAACCTGATCAGCGCAAACGAACATTGCGGAAAACGGCAGTGGCGCAGATTCAGCCCCAGAGAGTCTTGTCCTTGGACAAAAAGGAAATATACTTAATTTTGACGAGAACCGGACCCTTACGTCAACATCTATCCGTACAAAACCTGACACTGACTTTCATGCATTCTCATTAAAGAAATTTATAGCTCTTGCAAGAGAAGCCCTCTCCACCCACCCCCATTAGTACTGTATATCCACGCAGTTGCTATCATGGAGTAACGGGACCGGATATCCGTCGCACTTTTTCTCCAGCTAACCAGCGTGGATGTCGGGGTAATTGTCCTTCAAGTAATTAAGGGTCTCTTTTGCTTGGTAATATCTAGCTCGCCGAGAGGCGGATAAGGGCTCTATTGGCGCGTGCCATGTGTGGCGAGCGCGTCGCCGCACCGCAGAGGTGAGCGGAGGGTATCGTCACAATAGTTTTCGGGGTGGAAGCATGCATATGGGCCGGGTAATATCTTCGTTAAAATTCACAGATGGAGTTTGATTTATGCCCATCTCATTTTCCTCACTCATCTTAACCCCTGTCGTAGCACATCATAACTAACTTCTCTCTGTCCGGTCATATCCTACCGTCACATATTTGGTATAGGATGGGTCATACTCACTTGGTTTAGCGGAATGTCCCCGGGCGGCTTTTCCATGTATAGTTAACAACGTTTGACTCATCATGGTGGTTTTGGGTTAGTACTTGTGGGCTTCCCCTCTGACTCGACGTTGCGGAGATATAATTTCCTGGCTCTCACGCAGACATCGGGGGAGGTTGGAAGCTAGACGACAATGAAGCTTGGGTCTTGAGCCATATACCATTAGTATGGATGATCCAGAAGGCACAGCGCGCCGGCCTACGATCTGATCCGGAAAAGCTGGAACAGTACAATTGCTACAACGATACAAAGAAGATTTCCAACAAGATAGAAGAATTTTTTTTTCGACAACAAGCGCCACTCAGTATATGGTACTACTTGGCACCTGCGACGCTCAGAAGGGGAAAAGCAAAGGACAAGCCAGCAGTGATCCGGACAACCGATTCACCTCCGCGCTTCTCGAAGCAAGTGCACATGGTGAGTTTCACGACTGTCTCCACCACGGGAAAGGTATTTAACGGGCCTAGCCCTTTGTTGGTGGCTAGCTGAATATGCACCACTTCAGAGGCTGGCAATCGGAGACCATGGATACTAGAAACCGATCCGGTGGCCGTCGCCCGCAGGAGAAATGCGTAATATTCCGGAGGATGCTCGCATTCATGGCTCGGCTATTCGTCGCATTAAAGCTGATTCTACTTCTCGTCCCAGTAAACTGGTCAAACTTGCCGGCAGTGGGAGTGGGAGTGGTAGGCAGATAACGATGGAAGGAGAGATCGGTGAGTGGGAGATAGCGGCCAATAGGGGTTCTCTAGTGCGAGAAACCAATCGGCGCAAGCGGCCTTAGAGCGACTCGCTAAGATCACACTCGCGCAAGCATTAGATGTGCTTTTTGTAATATACAAGCGCAGAGATTCGGAAAACAGTATCAGAGTATGGAGCGGGTCGATCGCTTTTAGTTAAACCCTTCATCAAGTGTATAATGGTGTGTTAACCATATGAAGCTCGAACTCGGCCTTATGTCCTTGCCACACGCTAACTTGATGTTGTGCTAGGAATGAAGAGTCAGGAATGCAACTTTATCATAGTTACCTCCTGGTTAATTAAAGGAACGAGCCGAGCATATTTCATTTCCACTCACCTTGAATATATGGTGAGAATCTGAGTGAGAAAAAGGAAATTCAGCCAATCATGGGGCATGTCTCGCACAAAAAGGATGTGCGGGGTGAATATGTATCTGACCGGCCATTCAAAATCTCAACGAATTACGTAGCAAAGCTTCCAATTCAATTGGACAATGTCTGTTCCTCCACAAATCCATGTTGGTATGTTCCGCAAGGAAGGGGATGTCTCTGACAGGCAAGTGGGCAATAGTTACGCCTCAAGCAGTTGATCATCTCGTGTATATCAGTACTGCCATGAATCTCGCGAGGGAATAGATACATATTTAGACAGGTTGATATATATAACTATCGGAGTTGCTGGGAATTATGGTTTAGATCCTAGAAACGAAGTTCTCTAATCACTCCGTGAATTACTTGCACTGTATAACGGCCCTATTGTAGTCGCTAAAAAATCACGCTACCTTTGTCTTATTAGTGGTAATTTCCAGTTTGTGAAGAGCTGAAGTCTCCATGGAGATCGGGAGAAACACTGTTAGATTATCCGAGTATAGTGACGTAAATCCAGCTCATCACTCACGCTTCCCCTACATGATCTGATTGGCCCAGTGAGCGACATGATGTTAATTTACTCTCTATTTGTGGCACCTCTGCGGAGTCGCATGCAGATATAGATGTAAGGATAAGTGGCGCATCTATAAGAAAAAACAGAACTTACCGGCACTCCATGTCGCCTCCCGTTATATTGACCATAATTGTCGACTTCGACCTCGGACTATAAAATCATGGACTCTCTATATCCTTCCGCTAAGCGAACAGTGCTCTTGGACAGAACTGGCAGGATAGTGCCGCCACCTGGCATTACTAGCAAAGTTCCATAAGGGTATGTTAGGTTTTTCGGTATACTTGTAGTTTGAGTTGTGGTAATAATACTTATTACAGGCCAACATGGGCGAGTTGGAGTAATCGGAGGCAGTAGCTAGTGAGTCTCCCTCCTAAATTCCTAGTCATGTCGAGAGGCCTATATTTGATAATGATACTAGTTACACGGGAGCACCAATATTCTCTGCAATGGCTTCGGGTGCTTTGGGTATGTAGAGATTGCTGTCGTGATATTACCTGTTGTTGCTACCGCTTTGTTGATACTAATATCAGGATGCGATATGGTCTGAATGTCCCTTCTCTTACGGCGTATAATTCTGGTCTATGTAAATAGCTCATCTAACACTTTCCCAGACTCATGTCTTCTGTGAGGAATCAGCAGCACCGGTACGTGTGATGATCGCCATCTCTCGTGTCATTTGCTATTTCTTGTTCGGTTCTTTCCCGCCGGTCTCATACTGGCGTACATGCGTGCTTATAAGCCCCAGTTCCAGGTTATAAAATCCTATTCGCTAGATCCGATGGTGCACCCGCTGCTTCCCAGCAGCAACACCACTACCCGCAACGCGGATTTAATCGATATGAAGGAACTTGTCGGCCCCATTATCAACATGCTCTCGAGTCTATACTGCCTCGTAATAGGGCCCGGTTTAGGAACGGTCCCCATCACCTGGCAACCAGTGTCCGAAGTGATGCGGAAAGCGCGCGGACGCTTAATCCCGTTTGTGCTAGATGCAGACGGATTGAAGTTGGTGAAGAAGATGCTGGATTTAGTAAAGGGTATAGAGAGTGCATTTTAACTTCCAATGCGAGCCGTGGCGTTGGATATTGAGAAAATTATGTCTGAAAGCCCTGACAAAACGGACGACTATCGAGCGCAAGATGCAAAGATTGTTGGAAAGCTTGCAGAAGCGTTAGGCGGGGTTACCATTCTTCGAAAGGGTTCCTATGATGTGATTTTAAATGGGCTTGCAAGTTTGATTCAGGATACCGAGGGTGGGATGAAACACAGCGGCGGCCAGGGTGACACGCTTAAGGGCTCGCTAGGCACATTGATGAGCTGGGGTGCATCGTACCATGACAGACTATGGGATTCTGGCGAGAACGATTCAGATCAGGGAAGTGGCGGGAGGATTCCATTAATGAAAAAGAGGGATATTGAGAGAGAAATTGAATCGGACATGAGATTGTCTCCAACGGCTTTCTGCTTGCTGGTAGCATGGGCAGGCAGCGGGATCACTAGGGAATGCTCGCGAGGAGTGTACAAGGCAGAGGGCTGCAGTATGCAAGCCAGCGATCTCACCAGCCAAGTTCATGACAGCTTCTTACTTTGATTGGCGAAGCGGAAGCGTCCAAGCTACAGTAAATTCACTGTAAGCAGACATGATGTTAAGTGGTGTATTGATACTGATATCTTGCTAGAATCATCCGCCGGCAAAAGAATTATAGAACCGGAAAATATCGGATGGCTACGTATAATATGTATTTGTTTGCAAAAGCTTAAGATTTGACTGGCTCATACATTTAGGCATCGTTCGTTAACTGGCCTAGTATTTTTATCCTTGCTTGCGGGTGTATTTAGGAATCCGGGATAAGGGAGACCTCCAATGGCCCCGTCGTTGAGTCAGAAACAAATTGACGTGAGAGAAAACAGAATTATCACAATACCAGAAAGAGAGAAAAGGAGACAACCCTAGCAGATTAGAAACGAGTTCATGACACGGGCGAAATCCCTCAGCACCCACTGCCTGGTCAAATCATGGCATTAAGTACATATCCTAGAGGCCTAAGAACAGTCAGCTCAGTATTACAGATGTCTAGAAAGGTCGGAATACACAAATACAAAAGTTGATCTTGACGATCTAAAAGCCAAGGTCAAGTCATTTGCTTCTCCCGAAGCAGCCATGGATGAGTTGCTCGATGATGGGTATTTTTGGATAGAGCCTCTAGTCAACCCTCAGGGTTGGAACCCTTATTTTAGTAAATGAAGAGTAATGTTACAAGAGGCATCCTCTTTGTCTTTATTGTCATTTGATAGTTCTAGAATAAATTCTAGATATGTTGAGATTCAGTAATATTGGGGCCACCCCGCAGAGCAAGCAATAGCCGGCAATATGAAACTCCGTTCCGGTCGCATGGATCCCTAGGAGATTACGAAAATAACTGATTTCTTAGTATTTTTTTAGTAGAAAAATTAGATTTTCTTTAATATCTTTTTTGATATATAATCTTACTTATCATTTTCTCTTATAGTGTATAAGATATAAGTAATCTACATATAATTGTGAATCCTAAATCTATATCTCTTCTATACGCGAAGTTATACTGGAAAAGGTGGATTTCTTATAAAGATATTTATATAGGTTTAGTAGTATAGGAGTAACCTTAAGTCTCACTTTTTAAGAGATATATAGATAAACTAGTATTTAAAGAATCTATCCCCTTAGTTTGAAACTAATTTAAAAAGAATTCGATGAGTTACTATTATTCAAAAATGGATTTAAGAAATTGTCCGTAAGACGTTGATATTCGTGAGGTGCCGGGTATGGGTCGGTGAAACGACGAGTAGATATCTGGTTCAGGGACGCGAATCGGCACGCCAGGTTGGCCACTTTAGCCACATCAGGACAGGCTTGCGCGTTTCAAGGTTCGGTTCCACGGGTTTGTGCTTCAAAGCTAGGGGGTGGCGATTCTGCCATCCATAATGTACTTTGTTTTCGCAGTGACAGCCACTCGCGAGGGTAATCCCGTGGCAGTCATCCATGGTTCAAATGTCAAATTTTTTGTACCACCTCAAAAACTTTCCCCTGCCTCTCAGAAAACGCCGGCAGCCCGGTAAGTGCAGGGTATTTATTAGCAAGTTTTCCCCCAACATGGATCGAGAACTGGAATGCAACTCTCCCGCAAGGGACCGTCACAGACGACAACCATCACCAACACCACGAACACCATGGCACACGAATATACCCCTGAAGCCCAGGGGGGCGTTGCAAAACAGCCCGCTTTCTCTTCCAGCGAAATCACTCTGACAACCCCCTACTGCGTGACCAGCACCCCGCGCAAAATCTTTATCATTACCCTGACCAGCCTCGCCATGATCACCACTATGATCGCCACCAACATTGTCCTCCCCGTCCTCCCCATCCTGCAACACAATTATGGCGTCAGCACCACACAGATGAATCTCCTCGTCACCGTCTTCTCCCTTGTGCAGGGCATTACCCCGGCTCTGATGTCCTCCCTCTCAGACCTGCAGGGCCGCCGCTTAGCCTGGATGCTTACATTAGCCATCTACACAGCTGCCAATATCGGCCTCGCCCTGCAGAACAGCTACACGGCGCTAATCATTCTCCGCTGTTTGCAGAGCCTCGGTAGTAGCTGCGCGATTCCCTTCGGATTCGCCGTTGCAGCTGATATCTCCTCGCCCGCTGAACGGGGCCGGTATATCGGACCCTTGCAGGGGTGTGTGATGGGTGCGTTTGCGTTCGGCCCGGTGATCGGCGGTCTTTTAGAGCCAGCGTTCGGGTGGCGGAGTATCTTTTGGTTCCTCGGGATATGTAGTGGGAGTGCGCTGTTTGCTTATTTCTTGGTTATTCCGGAGACGGCCCGCAGTATTGTCGGCGATGGCTCTGTTGAGCCTGTCGGGTGGTGGAGGCGACCTCTGGTTCAGAATGTCCAGCGAGGGTTGAGCCGTGAGCGCGACTCTAGGCATACATACACGTACGATAAGGGCCTGTCATCTACTGGAGGCACTGAGACGCGGCGGATCAATACCTCGGATTTACTACGCGCGTTTACGATTTTAGGCGAGAAGGATGCGTTCATCCTTGTCATCTTCACCAGCCTGTTCTACGCGGGTGTCACGGCCATGTGGGCTACGACTGGCAGCCACTTTGCCAGTATATACAGGCTAAGTACACTAGAAGTCGGCTTCTCCTTCCTGTTAATATCCCCCTCCGTCCTTCCCCTTTCATCTGATCCTAAAGCTAAGGATAAACAGACCCTATGGTATCGCTGGCGCCATCGGCTCCATCCTCAGCGGCCGTCTCCTCGACTTCAACTACACCCGCATTCAAACGCAACTACGCCAGAAGGCTACATACCTCGAAGACCCCTCCAAAAACCCCAATGGAGATGATTATTTCCCCTACGAACGCGCCCGCCTTCAGATTGCTTTTCCCTTCGCCATGCTCGCCTCACTATCCTTGTTATCCTACGGCTGGATAGTTCAAACACACTGCTCTCTCGCCGTCGCCCTCGTCTTCCAGGGTCTAATCGGCTTCAGCGGGACACCACTCCTCGGAATTATCTACACATTACTGATAGATCTATACCCGACCCAGGCGGTTGCGACCCAGGGTGCGGCAGATCTGGTCCGGTGCTGGCTCGGGGCGCTGTTTGCGGCGGTAATTGACTACATGATTGATTCGATGGGGTGGGGATGGTCGTTCACTCTGCTCGGGCTGGACATGGTTGTTGCGATGCCGATGCTGGGGGTCTTGTATTGGTATGGGCTGAAGTGGAGGGAAAGGAAGCAGGAGCGTGTGAAGGCGGGGAGTCTTTGAGTATCGTCGTAACGATTCTTGGCCTGTGATTTAGATATAAAAGCTTAGATCATACAATCAGAATGATATTCCATAGGTTTGAAAAGTCGACTGTGTGTTCTTTCCAGTGTGCCAGACATGCAGTGTTTGCCATCCCGGATCTCTTCCAATTTGATGTATCATGACGATTTTCGTCAGGTACGGCATTTTACAAATAGCAGGCGAGATATTTTGACAACCGGAACTAGCTCATGCCATATCCAAAAAGTTGCAGGAGAGGTCCCCTTTGAAAATCCAGAACCGATCTAGAGGCAAATTTAAAGAGAACAAAAGAAAACTAGGATGGAGTGGATTCATTCTGGTCCATGTTCTGTTCAACCCGTGGCTTGGTCTAGGGTCACGCGCCTGCTATAAAATTGCAGGATTGCTATTGTAGGATCGCGCAGCGAGATATCGGTACAGACCGGACTGAGATCTGTTAGGCACAGGGCAGAGAGCCTTGAAGCCAAATGGCTTCTTTTGTTACGCCCCGCTGTATCTTCTATACGTCATTCGTTGATTACAAAATGATCAAAGGCAGCTTTAACGGTGCGCAAGCAAACCTACAAGAGATTTCTAGCGCAACAATGAAGCATGGTTGTTTTGAAGGACTAGTTAAGCTGATTCCGAACACAAGCAGTAAGAACCTGGAAGCTATCGGGCAGGGATGCACTCTTGAAGTAGTAAGCTTGCAACGGCCTGGCACACAGTGCTGGATGGATCTGCACTGCTTGTTTCTGACAATAGTCAGGATATACGGCTATCCCACGATAAGAGTATGTGGGGAGCCAATCTCAGCAGTGGAATGCTCCACTGATGGCAACAATATGCTGGCTCCAAGAAGCAGCGGTATGGCATTGTCGTAAAGGCATTCGTCCCTGCTCTGGATACACTCGACACCGCACCACTTACAATACACTACATCGACACCAACAATTCACCCACACCGGAGGAGCAAGACAATAATCCCTCTAGATGGTCGGCTACCGCAGAGCGCTCGTTCTCCCGGTGATGATTCCCATAGGCGGCCAGGTGGCGAGATCCATTGCAGTGCTTTACATCTGAACGCGCGCGAAGTGAACTCGATCTCTACATCGAGGTCGGACATGGTAAATGCGCAAGTGTTGGGCACCGACGAAGTAAGCAGTCACTCTTGGTATAAGATACTTTCGGATTGTGATGGAGATAGCATAAGACCACCACCTCCATGCGAAAAGCGCCATTGATTTACATGGCGCGTTAGTCTTGTTGAAACGCCAGAACTACTTAGTACGCTAGCCTATGCTGAGGGCCTGGCGAGCTTGTAGGTTAAACGGTACACAAGCTCTTACTTAGACAAATCGACTATTGACTTAGTTTAATTTTACTGTCTAGCAGCTATGGTAAACGAATGTGACAGAAATCCTGGTTGCCTGTTGCCGAGTGGCCTACCGTGCTACTCCGAACTTGTTGAAAAGAGGGTCACAGAACAACCGGTCTAAACAGCTCTCTTCCACGCCAACGAGAATCTCCATTCCCCCATCTGGCAACACTGGAAGCACTACCTGAGCCCCATTAATGCATCCCACGTGTGGCACTCGGACAGCCTCAATCTTCTGACCCATCACCGGCCCCCAGTCAAACCCGTACAGTTTGAAGTTCAACCAGGAGGTCTGCACACAATTGTTACCCGGAACATCCAAAAATGCAGTCGGAACCAGCCGATCCACATCCTCCAACTGCTCAACCATAGCGACGACATCATCGGTAAATTGCTCGTCTGCCCGGAGAATAGCCTTCCGAATCAGGATGGCCAAGTCGGCCAGACTCAATGTGCTCAGCATCTGACGGATCGGAGCCGAAACCGCAACATATTCGAGAAAACAGCCAAGGGTCTGCGGGTGCACTTTGGGATCAGTCCGTTGCCGTCCGTCAATGGCGATATTGAACACCGACACAGGGTCACCCTCCAGTTGATCCAGTGGTGATTGCACTGCCATCACGGTCCGCCAAAGAAGGGCCGATAGGGCATCGTTGGTTGAAATCCATTTCTGATCAGATGTCACAGTGGCATTAGCAGGTGATGCTTCGGCCTTCAACGCGGCGAGGGACTCGGGCGAGAAATAGAAGACCTGGCCACGGTGATTCAAAGAAGTCATCTTTGGTGGGGCTCCAGGCGGCGTGAAAGGAATCAAGGTATATTCAGGATGATTTTCTATCTTGCCCGGATTGCGACCGGAGCGTCTCATTACTTGTTTTCGATCAGCCCAGATGGCGTCCGGGAGTTGGACAGGATCTGTGATGGGAATCCCCTGCGCGCGACAGGATTCCTCCGCCCAAATTGCCGTCCATGTCGAGAATGAATTGCCATCGCCTGCCATGTGCAAGATGCACCATGTAAGAATCAAGCCTCCACGGATAAAATTGGCCTGCACCAGAGAGATGGGCATCTGTTCCCCAGCGGAGGGCCAGACCGATCGGCGGCAGAAGGTATCGGCATCGAAGGCAGCCACGGGAAAATATTTCTGCTTCAGCTCAGCATAGGCAGAGGAATAAGAATTTCGCAGGTCTTTGACAACAATGTGTGTTGCATCACTGTTTTCTTGCCTCCGAAACTTCATCACCCCTTTTTGTGGCGTGTCGACGTCGTGAACTGCCTCACATCCCACCACCGGGATCCGTCGTGCCAGAGCTTGATACCCGGCTTGCAGCACTCGAGCAACCTCATTTAGGTCGTAGTTCTCCTCCAGCTGAAATGGGAATACATAACGAAGATATCCTTTGGGGCCAATGCGCTCCAGTGCCGTTAGCTCGTGGACTTGTTGGAAATTGTCGATTGATCCCATCTTTGCCACCTTGTCACCTCATTCGGTCAATAAGTTTCAAATGATCGAGTTTAGGCCAACTTGCTTCTCTTGGGCCATGGAATTAGTAGGAGAACCATCGTTTAACTATTATAGCCCAGATGGATGGCCGCGGTTTACCTTATGGAACGTGCCGCATTGCCGCACATCGACCGTTTCCCATTAACGGGGGTAATTTCATGGCCATATGACAAGCTCGCGGAGAATTCCCATTTGTAGCCCCTGCCGGTTGAAGATAGTACTGCACCGGACAAGATAGTGAGCTGTCACTAAAAGATAGTGCTTATGGCAGCCCCACACGCAGCGGCGCACAACTGATCTTGCTCCTGGAGATGGGCGACTTGGCCTTGATGTGCGGGCTATAGTTCTTCTTCCTGTTGTAAGCTTTGTAAGCTATAACAAGTTCTTTCTTTAAGGATCTGTGTGCCCGCAACATTATGTGAGACGATTGGCTTTCCCTGTTGGCTTTCTGTATCGCTTCTGCTAAGTCGGGGTTTGCGTGATGGGCCGAGCCGTGCACCTTTCGAAACCACCTCTATAATGACAGGTATTAAGACTCTCATTTCCCAGTGGGAGCGGTTCAAATATCCGCCCAACGAGAGGCCTTCTTTCCAAGGCACACACGGCCCACCGGTTGATCCTTCCAAGTCTCTTTCCCACAAATCATCCAACGCCTGGCTATAGTTATCCCGGTCAGAGTGCTAGTAATGTCCGATATGTTCTCGGGCAGGAGACAGCTCTTCCGGCCCTGACCCCAACGTTCTTTTTCGGCACTAGCGCATTCGGCACCAACAATGCTATCTCTCCTGAGTCGGGCGGGGTGTGAGTCTGCCTGTTTGGCTCGTGGTAAGGTGATAAGCATTAGTCAAGCACCTCCCGAACCTTCCAACCGACATTTATTAGACTTTGATCTTCCGAGTGGCTGAGAAAGAAAGGCTCTGCGCATTTTCTGTTTTTCTTTTTTCCTTTTCAGGTACGCAATGCTATGGCCGAGGATCCCGCAATCCGCGCCCTGTTTGGACCGGCGCCTGCAACTGTCAACCTAAATGCGAGCGCCGTGGCTGTTAATAATGGCGCTGTCATTGCCATGCTGTCTCTGGCAGCGGTGGCAGTTATGCTGCGCTTCATCGCGCGACTTGTTCTCCGCAATGCCCTCATGGCGGATGACTGGGCCATTATTGCTGCCTTGGTAAGCCTTGGATACTCGACACTCGCGGCTTCGGCTAACTCTATTCCCAGATCTGCATTGGCGCTACTACCGGCTTGAGCATTGCAGGTGAGTTCCGGACTAGATACCAGCGTGATTGTGAGGTTGACAGTGTATGTAGGAGGCGCTACCGGGGCTGGAAGGCACATCTGGTCTGTTACACTGGAAGAGCTGATGCACTTGTATAGGGTCAGTTCAAGACTTCCTTCCCAACCCGCAGTTGTTTTGCGCTAACATGATATAACGCAGCTCTTATTTTCCTACACATTCATCTACGCCGCCTCTTGCACCTGCACCAGACTCTCTATTCTCTTCTTCTATTGGAGAGTCTTCTCGCCTCTGAAACCATTTTTAAGAGTAGCGCTCATCTTCGGAGCATTCCTCACGCTATCCTATCCTATCATCGTCTGGGTGACCATGAGCAACTCCTGTAAACCCGTCACTTACTTCTGGACACAATTCAGTGGGACCAGTGGGCAGTGCATCGACGTCGACCGCTTCTTCCTGGCAGCGGGTATACTCAACATGCTCAATGATTTCATTATCCTAATCATTCCCTTCCCTCGCATTGTCAAATTGCAGATGAGTGTCCAGAAAAAGGTGGCAATTAGTGGGATTATGGCCGTGGGCATCTTGTACGCTCTCCACTAACTTGCAAGTACTCTCTGTACGTCCGGCTAACAAGATGTGCTATAGTGTCTGTATCGCCAGTATCGTCCGCATCCGGTATCTGTCCATTTTTATGAGCTCGGTGGATCTGACCTGGCTCATGGGGCCAGTCTTCATCTGGTCGAGCATTGAACCCTCGGTCGCGGTTGTCTGTGCCTGCATGCCTCATCTCGCCCCCCTGGCACGGCTTGCGCACCGGTCCATTTCGTCCAGCTTTCATTCTCGCCGATCGGCCACCGAGTCATCAGGCAAACCACGAAGGCACCGAAGAGAGTCACGGCAGGGAGTGCAGAAGGGACATCGATCCAGTCATTGGGGTCCGACCTTTGACTTCGGATTTGAGCAACTGAAGAAGACGGCCAACGATGACGAGATCGGACTCACCAACTTTGTCACGGCCGGACCTATCATAGGCAAAGACTCGTCGATAGAGTCAGTGTTGGAGGCGTATGCTCGTGATCACGAGATTGCCGTGCAGTCCAGTTTTGTACAGTCATCCTCGCAGAAACATGCGCTGTAGAAAGCCAGCGGATGGGAAATTGGCCTTTGTGAAAAGTATTCATCACCTCCGGAGACGCGTTTCCTCGATTTGAGCTTTCATCGCCTCATTGAAGTAAGAAAGCTGCATATAGTAGACCGATCATAGCAAAGCACCGGGAGGCGCCGCGATTTCACCACCACAATGTCTAGGGCAGGGCTATGCAACCACTCCAAATCGATCAGCCCCTGTTCAAACCTTCCCCATCTCCAGCTCTAAGCATCCTCCATCGGTCAATCTCTGCATTTAACTTGTTCATTCTATCCAGCCTTGCCTGCCTCCCCGCCTGCCAAGTCGCCAGAGCTCTCGACAGCACCTCCTTCTCACACATACCTCAGGATCAAGTCTACAGCATACACATCCTCAGACCCTTGGTCGATCCCCTCCCCAGCCGAGAGCGGAATGGCATAGGCGTCATCGCCGAATATCGCTGATCTGAGCACCCGCGGTCCAACTTGGCATGGCATACAAGAACCGCACGTTGAACAATCCGTACTAATGCGCGGCACGGCCGGCTGTATAATGGGCGCAAATGCTCCCAACCTACCGCCGAGGAAGTCAATGCATAAGGGATCCTCGGCCATGCGATCCCGCCTGATCCGCCCGATTCGATTGCGTGGCCTGCGTCTGCCGGTTGATCAACAGCTCAGACTCGTCTGGTTGCTGCGGTGCGATCAGAAACACCCCATAACGCTTTTTTGGTGTAGTCGGAAACATATCATGCTACTTGGGTTATATCGTTTTGGGGGTCATCGACTCAATTTGGTACACCTTAATCACTACAGTATCCGACAGATATGTCATCGCGGATCGCCTACCGATCAAAACATCCCTTCAAGCCCCACTCAAGTAGATCCAGTGGCAGAGGAATCGACTATTTGGTAGGTCCACCCTTGAATCAGTCTCGGCCTCCTTTTCTGGGCCCCTTGCCGGCATCGTCTATAAGGACAGCTGCCCTCAATAGCTTCCCAACAAATCTTTTCTCGACTAAAGAACTTGATTGTCAATGCCCATGGACTTATTGGCACTCGCATTGTCCAAAAAGGTTAGCTGGCTCTTAGAAGATTTCCGCCGGAAGCGGGTTAATGACAATAATATGATTACATTTGACCAGGACCGATATGCCGGACAGAAGGCCTGGTTGCACGTGGACTGAGGTCACCCTATTGAAAGCCATTGAACTCCTTGTTCTCCTGGCTTTCTTGTCTCGATTTCTTTTTTTTGGCTATAAAGTGTTATCATTTTCAATACGATATCTTGGGATCAGTTCACAGCGTTTCCTTGGCCATCTCTCTCTAAGATGACTCATGCCGGAGGAACCCAGAGTCTTGACCTTCAAGGCGCTCTAGCCAGAATGATGGGCTCTGGGGAATTCACTGATATGCAATTCATTTGCAATGGACAGCAGTTTCTGGTCCACAAAGCCATTGTCTTCCCTCAGTCTCCCACTATAAAGGCAGTCGTTACCGGACCATTTAAAGTATGTGGTCTCATACATGAGAAATTACCTGAAATTGCAATCTTCTGATCCTGGTGGTCATAGGAGTCCCAAACAGCCACTGTAAACATGGATGCTTTTGGGCCCAGCACTGTCAAGCAACTCGTTCAATTCTTTTATACGAGCAATTACGAGTCTTCCATGTCAGCCGATAGCACGGATGGCAGCCCGAATATGACCTCTGACGACTGTCTTTCCCAATCATTGAAGAGTTCATTTGAGGCTACTCCCTTAATGGAACATATTCGTGTCAACTCGATTGGTGACTACTATCAAGTTGATGGGCTTGTTTCATTAGCCAATACTAGGCTCAAGAGTCTTCTCCAGAGCTCGGAAACGGATGATCAGAGCTGGCTTGAGAGTTTTACTGCAGCGACTCAGGAAGCACTAAGCATCACGGAGAATGAAGAGTTGAGGGAGATCTTGGCTACAACAGCTGCTTCCCAGCTCTCCCAAATCGTGAAGCCAGGGGAGTTCCTTTTTTCCGGGGTAATCCTTGGCTTCCCACTGAAAGTGCTGCAGAGTTGCGAACACAGGATACAGACTTTGCTAGAACAAGTCGAGGTACATCAGTCACAGATCGCGCAAAAGGACTTGGATATTCTTCGTAAGAAAAAGAGCCCTGAAGAAACTGAGGATCGGCTTTCGCAAATACGAGCGTGCTTGGAGAATCTGAATATGACTCTCCACTGCAGGAATATGAGCTGTGATGCAGAGTTTTGCTGTTATATCGATGCTGATAAGGATAGGTGTATTCTTTGCTGCGCTCAATGTAAGTGCAAGCACCAGTGAAGGTCATCTTCTGGCGTGGGAGTGTGCTTATTACTCAAAGTTTGATAATATTCTTTTTTTGTTATCATATGTTCAAGACCAGAATGAGAATCCAGTTCATTCCCTGTCCAGAAGATTAAGTTTATCGCCGAGTATTGCCGAGGCCAAGTCCGACATGACCGATGGATTTCCAGCAACCAGCTCACACCACACCGACTGCAATTTTCTGCTTATCAGATTGAGAGTAGCCACTGCTGTGCCCGTTTCTTGGACTAGGTACAGTATTTCAATGCTATGATCACCGTGCGACATGCCTTCGTCATTAAGCGCCGATAATACCACCCCTTCCCAGCCGAGAAGAACAAGCATCCGACGGGCACGACAGCCGCTGAACTGCCTGCCTTGCCGAGACTCCAAACTGCGCTGTGACCGCCAACATGCATGCTCCACTTGTCGCAGACGAGATCTGGTCCACAGCTGCACTTACCAGTCAAGAGGGAGGCGGGCGAGCACCTCCAGAGATTCTATCTCCATCCCCTCCATCGAGCCACGGCCACCTCCCTCTCAAGCCAGAACTGGAACACCGCACAGCTGCTGTTGACCATACCCGAGCGTGGGGAGTCATTCCACCTCCCGGTTCAGCCGCGCAAAAGTAGGGTTGCGAGTGAAAGTCATGCTCGCTGGGAGGAGGTATACCACCGACCCACTGATGAGTTGTTGCAGCCACACCGTGGAGAGGGTGGCTGGTTTCCCTTTCCCATAGGACCATCGATCCCCAAAAGTCAGCTTATAACCCTGCTTCCCCCGGCTGACTATTGCGATTACCTGATCGCCCAGTATTTCCTCCGTCTCTCGCCCTTGTTTCGCATTCTTCATGGGCCAACCTTTCAACGCCAACACAACTCGTTTCAGGATAGGCCCGAAGAGGTGGAGTTTGCTTGGCTAGCCTTTTTGTTTACTATTTGCTCACTCACACTAAATACGATGGGGAATGGTGATCCTACCATCTCTCATCTGTGGCCCAGAGTCGGCTATTCAGAAGGCTTACTGGCGGCGGCCGCGCAATATCGCCACTCGTATAAGATATGTCTGTCTCAGGATCAATTTCTCAGCCGCTACCCCTTCAACATACCTGGGTACTTCTGGTTGAGTCTTCTATTTTTTCATTCTAGGCCATTAGTGACCAGTCTTTAGGTATGGCTCTAAATATCGGGGTTGCGCTGCGGTGCAATATCAGGGTAAAACCTCACCATATGGGATGGGTCGAGCTGCGCTAGGTACTCATGCCTGTGACGTATGCGCTTAGCACGTTCGGTCTGGCCATGGCAACATCTCTGTCACTTATTGTCTGGGTCGCCTTAGAGCATCGGGCCCTAATGGCTGCAGCTTTTTGCAGAATATACCACTCCTGCCGCAGTCTGTTTTTGAAGGCGAGCAAGCAGCCACCTCAAATCGTGGATGAAATTACAGATGTTCCTGCCTGGTCGTACGGCCTGTCCCTTGCTCTTGGAATATTTCTGTCAATATTTTGTATTGAGTACTGGCAAATTCAGCTGCGCTGGTACGGCGCATTGTTCTCCCCGTTTATTGGGGGTATCTTCTTCTTTCCGTTCAGTCGCCACAAAACAATTCACTTTACTGATAACTCACGCTGACATTGCCGTGTCCATGTAGGTCTCCTGGATTTATGCGACCACTAACACCAAGGTCAAAATTGAAATCCTCTGTCGCGTCATTGGAGGTTTACTATGGGAGGGTAAAGTCCTCGCAAACGTCTGGTCTGTTGGCTTGGAATATTCCACCATTCTGAACGGGGAGTCATTTTCCCAGGATATGAAGCTTTGCCTATATTACAGCGTAAGTCAATTCTGGCCAAGGCTGGGGTCCAAGTACCTACGAATACTCAAATGCTGTACTAGATGTCGCCACACTCTGTATTCCTCACTCAATGTGTGGGTATCGTCATTGGCACACTCGGTCAGGTTGCCGTCATTAATTGGGCTCTGGGAAATATCCGGGGCATCTATCTGTACGACGGACGCCATCAATGGATTCTCTTGTCCCTTTTCATGAACCAGATCCGACCAAAAGAATTAGCCATTACTATGTCTAAATACTGCTCTTGATTGTAGCCCGGATACTGATATTCTGCAGAGCCTTCGAAGTGTCGAAGTCGAGGCCTCCTTCTTGCTGTTATTTAACAGTGAACGTGACACCAAGTCTTCGTCGCCGGTCGCAGAGTGACAAACAATGCAAACTGATACTCTCCCCGCTGACTACATTTATCACGTGACCGTCCTTTCCCCCCCCCCCCCTAAGAGAGGTGAGAGCTCGTCTGTACAAGACACTTCGTTGGATTCAACTCTCAATTCTTATCACGAAATAGAGACATGTTTGGACCAGAGCCCGTTTCTTCGAAAGCACCCGGTTGATAGTGGCATAGGTGATGTGGTTGTGTTCTTGTTGGCAATTGCACAGCAAACATGAATTTATATGCTGCTGAGTAAATATCCATAGCATTTGGCATAAATCACTGACGCACTAGAGTAAGGATGGTTGCTGATTGTTTCGCACAGAATTTGTGGAGAACCCACTACTAAACTAATAAGAACAGGATTTTGACTCTGGCCTGGGGTCGCTCATTCTAGAACGAGTCTTGATCCGACTCTCACTCCTTTTATGTATACGGCACGCCCTGCCATCACCCATGCAAAACAAGCATCAGACTCATCGCTGAAGCGGTGGCACTGTGGAGAAGCATACCAGTCAAAACAACTTACGAATTGGCAATTAATCAGCACCAAGGGTCAGGATGCCTCAAGGCTGATTTTGTGACGAAAGTGCTACGTGCAATGGGACGGGTTTCAACAGGCTAATGACGTACGATGGGATGGAAGAACTGGTGAATAGAGAAATCGTCCCAGAGAAAAAAAACTATAAATATTATAAAAAGGATAAAATAACTAATACTAATAATATCGAGCGTCACCACGTCTCCAACTCCCAATAATAAGGATCTTATGTTGGTAACCTGGCTTTGGGGGTTATGTCATGGTCCGGGCTGCTTCGGAGGTACATGTACCGACGCTTGAAAGGGCAAGATGAAGGATCTCGGCCCACTCTGCACAGGCTTTGATTTCAGCCCTACAAGGCACAACTCATAGCGTCCCCACTCCCCTCCACCCTTCAACCACCACACCAAGACTTCTCCTGGCTTTTACGGGAAGGCCTGGAATTTTGGGGTCACTTTACAGAGCTACAGATGCATAAAATATCTCTGCGCGACGGAGGAATGGAACAGTTGAAGACCTGACTCCCGACTCTCGCCCTTCCGACTCACTTGTGTATGCCGGTGGGGTGGCCGGAGGGCTCGAAGTAACCTGTTACCATTATTCATGCCGCACTTGGACCGAAAATCTTAGCCTGGTTGACGCATTAGTTTCGGAGGTTACGGCTATTATGCACTTTCCTATTCTACCACTCTGACGTATACAGCCTGATTCATGGAGCAATCATGTTCTGTCGTCTGCGAACCTCGTCCCTCGGGGTGTACAGTCAGAGTCGAAAGAAATACGATGATGTCAGTGACACGCTCCTCACCGTGGACCTCAGTAGCATATAAGCCCACCCAGGTCGTTATCTTGAGAGCAATGCTTCAACCCATTCCATCCTTTTCTTTACCCACTGCTCAAAATGGCGACAACCTCTGACAACTCTCCTCATGTGGCTTCCCTCCTGCACAAAAAGCCGCACTATCACTCTGAACTGGGCTCGATTCAAGCAGTGACTGCCGACGACTTGCCCATCCTCAAGAACTTATCTATTAAACGCCTGCGTCTGGCTCGGAATGCCATTCGAGAACCCCACTGGCATGCCAACGCCAACGAGCTAGCCTACTGCCTAACGGGCCAAGTTCTAATCTCTATTCTTGACAGCGGCAATGAATTCTCCATCTTTACCTTGACCAAAGGCGAGATGTTCTTCGTGGAATCGGGCTCCCTGCACCACATCGAAAACATCGGCGACGAAGAAGCTGAGCTGATCATCTGCTTTCGCCATGAGCGTCCCACCGATTTCTCACTGGCCGCCTCGCTGGGGGCGATGAGTGATACGGTCCTGGGCAATACCTACGATCACCGCACGTCTGACTGGCAAGGCATCGCCCGCGACACCCAAACCAAGTACATGGTCCGACGTCAGGGCCAAGCCGACTTACCCCGAACTGCTTACCTCCCAAACCGACACAAATTCGACGTCGAAGGCATGACGCCCCCGACCTCCCATGGCTTTGGTACCGCTCGGACTGCCAAGAGCCAATTCTGGCCAGCGCTACCCAACATGTCCATGTATTCCCTGCGCGTGGAGGAAGACGGCATGCGGGAGCCGCATTGGCATCCGTCCACGGCCGAGATGGGCTATGTGGCCGAGGGCACCGGTCGCATGTCGGTCATGGACCCGGATGGATCGGTGGACACCTATCTCCTGAAACCCGGAGATGTGTACTATGTCCCGGTTGCGTATCCGCACCAGATCGAGGCCGTGGGAGACGGCAAGATCCACTTTCTGATTTTCTTCGATCAGCCAATGCCCCAAGACGTGGGCTACAGGAATGCGGCGACGCTTCTGACCCGGGAAAGTATGGCTGCCACAGTTGGTCGCGATGTCAAAGATCTTCCTCAGTTTCCTCACACCCCGAAGGATCCTCTGATTGTGAAGAAGCGAAATGCAGTTGATCCGGTGAAGGCGAAGTTGTGATTCATGTGTGATCTTTTGGTTGTGAGACCGAGGACGGTCAGATTCAACGAATTCAATGGCAAGTAATGGGAGATTTGGCAAGATGGCTAGCTGTCGTTTATTGGTCGTCACTGTAATAATGCTTCTTGGATGCTACAAGACTGATTGTATATACTGCACCAAAGCCACCGCACATACTTACCTATCCCGACTAGCACCTGCTTATCATCCTTCGCAACTGATACATCCATGATTAGTAGTAATCAGGCCACAGCGCCAGGAGACGATCTGGCCATATCCTTTACCTTCCAGTCGGTCCAACTCACCGCGCTTCTTCGACTAGATTCTCTGGTCGCTGGGTCAGAGGGGGGGACTGCGAAGGACCGCGTAGCTTGATCAGGAGAAATTCAATATTGAGGATGAAGAGAGGTGTGAAGCTCTCAGTTAAAGTATGGGCAGGAAGGGTTTGTGCATGCATTACTTAGTCACTGCTGTCATGGAGAAGCTATGCAGAGCCACGATGCAAAACAAGGGAAATGAGAATTAGAGTACACCAATCAATCAACAAGATAAATACAAAATACAACCAATCAACACATTCTCTGGCACAACTGATGCTGGATATGAAACAGCTTCAATCACTACTCCATATGAATGACAGTCTCGGTGTCTTCCATACGGTCCACTTATGCAGCACACTTGCTGGCAGCACTCACCCAGCCAGTGAGACGGTTGGCGATATCAGACGCATAGCAAGAAGTAGCTCCTGCGCCGCTCAGGTTGCCCGAGGAGGGAATAGACCACGCGCCAGAGTTGTACATTCTTGCCGCGCGATAGAAGCCCGCGGCATTGCTACGGGCAGCCTTGTCTATGAGGGTCGCCAGTCCAAACCCATCGGGGTCGCTGGTACCAATAGCTAGTTCACATTAGCGTCGATGATTCGATTGAGAACAGAGTCGCGCTGAACATACCTCCGTCCTTGATCATTTGCACGATCTCCGTCTTCGGGCAGGGGTTCTGCACCTTGCCGCCGTTGTTGCAGCTACCGGTGCCCTTATAGGATTGCATAAGGCCTGGGTTGCTGACGCTGTACGTCGAGGTCGGGGCGCGAACGCAACCCTTCGACTCTTGCATCACAACCGCCAGAATGAAGCGGTGGTCAACGTGCGAGGTTTCAGCCACCTGCTGGATCGCGTTGTACAGCTCCTGGGTCTCAGTGGCGGAATTGTCGGCCACCCCGAATTGAGCACACGACTTTCCGATCGTGGCTTTGTTGGCATTCCACCTGTGTCCCTTGTTAGTTTTGACCTCTCCCGCCCAGTAGGCCAGGAAAGGGGAGGGCTGTGCCTACATGTTCTCGAAAGAGACCCTGCGACACACCGTTAGTCAGACTACTCGGTAACTACAACTCGGTGGCACAGCACTCACCAGTCTGACTGAGCCGGCCAACCGGCACCAGTCGAGCCATCGCCAGTGTACATGGTGTACGAGTCCTTGCCAGCTCCTTTGCCGTCCTTGTTATTGATCGACTTGACCGCCAGCGCGCCAGTCACCGTCGCGGTGGTGGACCGGGCGTTCAGGGCCTCGTCGCGCTCCGAGATCTCGACGGGGCGCTCGCCCACGGGGGCTGCGGCAGTGATTCCAGCCAGGGAACCAGCTGCCAGGATCTAGAGGAGACAACTATCAGCCCTGCATCGGGTACGGGCGGCGCAATACTCTGGCTCACGTTGAGAATCTGAGTGAAACGCATCTTCAGAGATGGTGGGTATGATAGATGGTCAGAAAATTGGACAGAAGAAAGAATGAATGACTGAATGCGTGTGTATCGCAGGGGTGTTGCTTTGAAGGAATGGAATGAAGCTACTCGATAGCTTCGGAAATGAGTGAAGAATGAATGGCAGAGTCGTATTTGACTCGAGATTGATGACTTGATTGCTGGATGGTGGTCATGTTCAGACGCCGGACACTCAAGGACTTTATATCGCTGGCTCTCAGTCAAACGCCTCGGTGTAGATGCAGGCCATCAAGGTCTATCATAGTGTCATGAAACATGATTGTTGGTTGGCAGGAATGCCTAGGGACTCTCAAGATGGGGCTGGCAGGAGGCAGAATTCAACAAGATAAACAGAGGAACGATAGCCTGCAGACCTGCTCGAAGGATCATGATGCTGGCTCCCAAGAAACAGTGGGGCATAGCTCCTCCACTCCTGTTTGGCAAAAAGACGTGAATAGCCAATGTGACCTCTCGGCCAATGTCGACCGATAGACTCGATGCTAATCATATGGCACACTAAACATGTGACAAGAACATTTGATCCACCATTCATCCAACTCCAACTAGATCCCCAATGGCTTCTTGTCACTGACCACCGCAGTAGCGTCAGGATGAGGCTGTGTACCCAACGCTAATCTGTTGCACACGCATACGGTAAGGGCTCTGCTTGAATCTAGACGAAGGGTTCACGGTAGAAAAGACTACAGAGGTCAATTGAGCGTAGTGCAAAAGCAGGGCACAACTTGCTTCGAGATGTAGAAGCGCGTTCGCACCAATTGTATTGCTTCCAGTAGGCCTTCTATGGTAGGCTTTAGGGTCTTGTCTGATAACCAATGCCCTTCAGGACCCCTGGCTGGCAGGGGTTTGTCGTTTGGCCTTATGCGCTAGGAAAGAGTAGCATTGTGCATCGACACTGAAGAGCCGGGAACACATTGCTAGAAATGGGGTCCGTTTCAGCAGGTTCTTCGAATAAGCAAGCTAAATCTCCTTTCTCTCCTGCTCACGCCGAGGGAACAGCCCTAACCGTTCCCGACATAGCGTACAGGGGTTCAGCGTGGGGGCTATCCTGCAGAACGAACCTGAATGGTGCGCAATGTGAGTGAAACCCCAGGCTTGAAGCTGCCATTACTTGACTAAGGTGGTTGTACCTGACTAGAGACCGGGCCGAATCGAAGCGATCGCGCTGTAGTTGGAGGCCAAATCTCTCACTCGCTGACCCCCAGGTCAATCTCAAACAAGACCACCCATTAACGAAGCGACCTTTGATTCATTAACTTCACGGATGTCACGGCCTCCGGAACCCCAGTTTCTAATACGCCGTTACTCTCCGTTAATTATTTTCCTTTGGTGTTGGAAGGATGCAGACCCGTTCTCTAGGTCGCACTGAAGGGGTTGCCCTCCGGATGAGGTTGAGGTTGGCTGCAGCTTATTTCGCCCCCAACTGTATTCCCAGCCCCTGAATTTTATTTGGCCGACCTTCAAGGAGATTTTCTGGACTTTGCACTTTGGTTGAGGCCGCGTCGCAATTTCCCCAGCAACCTGACTTTTGCCGAAAGTTGACCATGTGTGATGAAGATCAGGGCAACCCTGGCAGCTCTTTCTAGCGCTTATTGAGGTTGTATGATGATGCATTAAGATGTCCACGGAGTGCACCGTAGTCTGCACATGGTCTAACCTTAACGGAAGCTGAATTTTCCATTCTTCGCGCGGAGAGATTATATTCGCATTATCGGCTGCAGGTCCAACACGCACTGAAAGTGATGGTGCCCTACAACATCGTGCAAGCCTTGTCTTTTTCTTTAGCAAGGCTACAACCAGCTTATTTTCACAAAGCAAAGACGACCCAAACAATGTAAGACCATCATTTGCGGATTGAACTAAATAGAGGCAGGAGCCTGGTCGTGCCTGCTACGGTGTTTGAAGATCGCGGGCAGCACACCGGCCTTGTTTTGACATCGTTCTGATGCCATCCGACAGGTACGTGCCTGCCACTCGTCCTTGGACTCTATTACTTACTGTGACCCAAATTCTGACACATGAGGTCACTTCATCTTCCTTTATTAGACCATCGTGTGTTATGCGAACGATATTTGTTTCTCGGCCTTAGGGCGTCTACGGCTGGCGATGCCCGATCATTCTATCTTGGGGTTGGCATGAATTCTAAGACTTTGTGACGACTAATATAGCTTGATATCGAAGGAGCATCGAGCTTATGCAGCTGAAATGTTGTCTTGAGTTCTATGACAACTGTTGTCACGGGTTGAAGGAACGTCTGATACTGTGCAGGGTAGTGGGTTGGATGTTGCTAAAGCTTACAGTCAACTAAAATATAACAGGACGAACCTTGGAAGGGTTTCGGGTGTACTGCAAGACGTGCATACATTTTCTTCTGACCCTGAAGAACAAACTGCATTAGCCCTTTGGGTACTGGTAGTGAGTAGTCAGCGTATGAGCTAGAAAGGGACCTTCTTCTGAAAGGAGTATACATAATATTGTGCTGATATTTTCTGTCTTATGAATGTCTGCAATCTTCTGCATCGCTATCATTTATGTGACTGCGTTGCAGTTGACAGCCACCGAAGCATCAGGATCACAGGAGGAACCGGCCAGCGGGTCGTTACAGAGCTGAAATAATCTGCTTCGGGGATTATATCTCTGTGAACGATTCTTCAATCTAAATATAGAGAGCTTCGTGCAGGCAGCTTAGGTTGTCTACTGTTTTGGCTGATGGTTGCTCGTTCTAATCCTGTTTCTACGTAAACTCGAGCAAAGGATCAGAGTGTCAAACCGTTGCTACAAGCAAGCCTAAGAAGAGAACCTGCCATCGACTACGCAACTGTACCAACAATCCGCATACACTCGCGGCTGTCTGTTTGAGAAAGTTCAATCATATATGAAATTATTTTGAAAGAATGTAGGTAGTATGTTGTTCGAGCCGAGGTCAGACGGCGCTCTCCGGGCGGATGGCTTTCACGCAGCCCTACGGGAACCTGCGCCCATCTGTCTCGCCCTCATGCACGAAGTACTCGCGCGTGACAGCAATGCCGGCACCGTTCTCTAGCGACAGCGGGCCATTATCCTGCGACAACGGACCGTTGCCCTTGACCAACCCATCCTCCGAATCATGGCGGGAGAGATCGTCAAGCGGGTTGGCGACTCGCGTCACGGAGACGGTGGTGCGCTGCTTGCTCGTCGGCCCTGTATTATACCCCGATCCGGACATCTCGTAGCCACGTCGGCCGCTGTAGGTGCCGGTACGCGAGTGGGATCCGAAGACGAGGGTGCGCAGAACCGGTAGACAGGAGGCAATGATGGCAATGGAGGCTTCGATCATGGAAACGGTGCAAGTGATCATCTGCTCGTTGAGGTGGGAGTAAATGGCACGGATGACTAGTAGGGTCAGACGGTTAGTTTGACGCTCCACGGTGTACGGCCAGGGCAGATACATACTACTGGAGATAACGACCAACACACCCAGCAGGAAGACGGAAATGACACCCCACTTCTGCTTCTGGGGCATCTTCAGACGCGCGACTTGGGAGATGGGCAGGCAGATAACTGTCGAGTTAGTTTAGAACGAGCCTCCAGAGGTAGGCGGTGGCGACTTACTGAAGACATCAGTGAAGATGTTGACTGAGATACGGTTAGTCCATAGTCGCCCACCGAAGACAAAGTATACATACAGAGAATGGTGAGCCAGTAATTGATTGTTGATGGCTTTTCAGGACATGCCACTGCAAGCGGACTCCGTCAGTCACCTTGACCGAAACCCAAAACCACGGCATCGATACTTACGAGTTGGATCGGCCATGCTCCTCCATTGGCGCGAAGGAGGATAGCACTTGAAGACAATATCGAAGAACAAGACCAACCAAGTCGCGGCCAAAACAGCGAGCGTGATGTTATAGACCATTTGATACTTGGTGCGATCGGCCAAGCGCTTGTAGAAGATCACCAAGCTCGCCTTGATCAACCAAAGGGTAGTCACATAGAGGGTGGATCCGGGAATGATCATCTGTCACCGGGCGATTGCGTTAGTCGCAACGCAGCGCGAGCGGGAGAGGGGTTCAGGGGATGTGAGGATTTTCGAGATCTGGAGGGGAATGGGGGGAAGGGGCCGCAGGCTCTCGGTCGTTGTCCGATTGTCCGTAAACTGACCTTCATCATGTTGATCTTCTCCTCAATGGTCGTGTTACCCATCTCCGACATGCCTATGAGCCCGCTTTGTTAGATCTCGCACGGATCACTGGCGGCCTTATTCCTCGTACATACCCTGGTTGAACATATAATGCTGGATAGCCAAATCGCCGATCAAACAGAGCGCGGCCACCGTGACGAAGAAATCGTCGAGATACAAACGCTTCAGTAATCGCCATCGTACCCCAAGTCGACAGATGAGAAAGAGGCACGCGACGATGGTGACAATATACCAAGATACCTGGACACGAAAAAGAACAAAAGAGGCAGTCAGCAAGGAGGAAGAGCTCTGAACACAATCCGACGTCTTCGTGACTTACCACTTGGCCGGACTCTGGACGACCCATGGCGACAGACACACACGATGCTTGCAGGAAGTCACGTCGACAAGAACAGACAGGGATGAGAGAGCATGTCGGCTGCTGCTGCTGCCTTTAATATAGATAAAGTGAACGGCCAGCGCAGGTAACGTTGCATGAGGATCTTAGGAAAACCTTATCCCATGCTTCGAGCTATTCTTGCCCTTTTTTTGGAGGAACCAAATTCTGGGATTGGGGGTCGGGGTAGGTCCGCCAGAGCCTTTGGATCTGGATTCGCTGGCGTGGATGGTCAATGTTGTGTGTGGCCATGATGGAGGTGTGGTGGTATGGTGTGCGAGACCAGGCTGACTGGTAATGACCAACGCTGGAGTGATCCGACTTTCGAGGGATTGGGAGCTCGTGGACCATGCCACCTTGTTTTTTGCGTCTCCGCAGACTGCATGGGGATCGGAGGATCGATAGTCTGCAGAACGCGGTGTGGAACAGGCTGTGATTGCATGAGGCAAAACTTCGGCGGCCCACCAGTTAGGGCTCTGACTCCACCCGCCCTGAAACTAAAGCAATTATTGTGCAGCCCTCGGCCATTGTCCGCCACTCTGGGTCAGCCCATGCAGGAGTCGGAGATTTCTGCACGACATCAGAGAATCTATGCATGTCTATAATGGTACACCATGTGCGCACTATTGATTTCTAGAAGTGTACTAACCCGCTCTGCTGGGATTGTGACTCGTCACGATGCATCGACCTGGATTGCATGACCATAACAGGCTGAGATGGCAGCACAAGCTTTCTATGGATCAAACTCTATCGGACACTCAACAGATTCGGCATTTCAATTAGCTCATTCTGCACGGGCGCAACAATTAGTATTGAAAGGCTATTATTCACATATATTAAAAAGGTTATTCGGACTTTCGTCCTAAACGAGTCCGGCTGACAAATCCCACAACAAGAAGCGAAAGTTTATTAAGAAAAATTCAGTTCAACCCCGTTCCCCTCCCCCCTATTCTGCATTCTCCCCCCTCACCCCACTTAGGAACTGGCCGCCAACTGCACCGGGTTCTGGATAACCGGGTAGTTGGGGTAGTTGGGCTTGTAGACCTTCTGGCAACGCTGGTTGTAGGTGCCGGTCGAGCCCGTCTCAATCGCCTCCTCGTTGCCAGGCACACCCAGAAGGGCCAGGGGTCCGTTCACTGGCTTAGCCTGATCCCAGCCAGGGCCGGCGCTGGGGTTCTTGATCCAGGCCACAAACCAGTCGTTCATGTAGTCGGCCAGATCCTGCTCGGCGGCCGTGACACCGCTCAGCTTGGAGAAGCACTCGTTGCCACCGTGGAAGAAGGGCACCTCACTGCCGTGTGAGGGGCCGATGTCGGGAATGCCCAGGACATTCGAGTAGTCCCCGAACCAACGGTAGATCCAGGTGTTCTGCTCCTCGGAGCGCAGGTCCACGAAGTAGTCGGTCGCGCAGTGGAAGCGAGCGTCGCCGTACGAGGCACCGCTCATGCGGGAGACGGAGGAGAAGTCGTCGGGATTGTAGGCCTCCAGCAGCTCGTCCGCGGGGACAAAGGCCAGGTCGGCATCGTAGGTGCGGATCCAGGAAGAGAAGTCCGTGTTCTCCGAGGCATACACATAGCCGAAGACCTTGCCCTCCTTGTCCGAGTTTCCGACGATCAGCGGCAACGATTTCGGGTAGTGGCCGTTGGCGAAGCGGTCCGGGTAGTTGGAATAGCGGGTGAGGTTGTCCACGACGGGGCCAAACCACGTGTTGGAGGTCGAGTTGAAGTAGCTAGTCTGGAAGTCGTAGGTATCCACCTTGCGCAGGCAGTCCAGAGTGTAGTCATCAGCGGTGCAGTCCAGGGAAACGCCGGCATCGATCATGTCCTGCACGACCTGCTTCAGGGCGACACCAGCGGGGGCGTTGGCCGGGCCGGACTGGGCGTTGGCCGACATCTCGATGGCACCAGCCAAGAAGGTATTAGGGTGATTCCAGAGGTAGTGATCGACATGCACACCACCGGAGGAGTGACCACCCAGCACGATGCGCGAATTGTCACCACCGAAAGCTGTCACTTAGAGTCAGTGGGGGCGTTCACCACGTGGGAAAAGTCCAGGAAAAGGGGAGAGAAGCGCTAGGGAAAGTTTACCTTTGATGTTGTCATGAATCCACTGCAAGGCCAAGTCCACATCCAAAATGCCAAAGTTCTGCGATTCGCCCTCAAGCTCCGGAGCGTAAGGATAAGCGTACATGCTCTCACGGTAGTTCAAGCTGACGTAGATCACATCCTTACGAGCGAAGTTCCATCCCTGCCATTGCTGGTTGCTGTTGCCACCGGTGACCATGGCACCACCGTAGATGTAGACAAAGACAGGCAGACCGGTGCCACTGGGCGGAGTCCAGATGTTCAGGTTCAGACAATCCTCACTCTGGGCAACGATCGCCGTGCCGGACATGGCCTGGGCGCAAGAGGGACCGAAGGCCGTAGCATCGAAGCTACCACCCTCGTAGGAGGAGGCGGCCTTGGGAGCCTTCCACCGATTCTCACCAGCAGTGGTCTGGGCAAAAGGAATGCCCAAGTAGACATTGGTGTCGTTCTGGGAAAATCCGTGGACGACACCCTGCTTGGTGGTGACGCTGGGAGAAGCAGCCTCGGCAGCGCAGCCCAGAGCTAAGGCGGTGGCACCTAGGCCCAGGGCCAGATTGGCACTTTTTTGTAGAAAACCCATGATGATAATGGGAAGATCGGTTGATCTGCAGAAAAAAAGTTTCTCTGGAAAATGCCTGGTCGGGAGGATGGAGAGCAATGAATTTGGGTCTCGGGGAGGAGTATTTAAGGAGTTTCTGCAGCGGATTTGCGGACACGAAGACGGGACGAGGCCGGATCTGCTGCCGAGCCAACCCCTTCCAGGCTACCAAATTAGCACGTTGATTTAGTCCCTTTGGAACTTAGTCTGCTTTACAGTTCTTCTGGAAATTCTGGAAAGACACCAAAGTATCGAAGCGAGTCAATACCAAGCCAATGATCACTTGGGCAGTGGAGCTTCCCACATGGCACCACACGTGGTGCAATGAGCTTGGCTTTCAACTATCGATTTTTTTTTCGAGTCAGTCCCCTTTGGAAAACCGGGCAGGAAGTACGACTTTTGCGATATCACTTCTCGGTGGTGGTTGTTCTGGTGCGGTCTCAGGGCTTGGTTCTGACTCTCGACTCTCCCGGAGATACTCCGTTGGGGCAGAGAAAGGAGGATGAGTCGGAAGCAGTCGAAAAGAGACAGAAGCCGGGCGTTTTGTTGGGAGTGTGAGTGAAGAGCTGCAGCTTTTACCTAATTACATTACTTTTGGCTGATATTGAGGACGAATTGGACTCGTGCTGATCGTATAAGTTGTCATATTCGGTTGAACTGCTGGGATGAATAGAAAAGTTAGTGGTCGATCCTCTGTAAATCTCCCACGTGGGATTAGTGTGCTTGTCGTCTTCTTCTGTGAACTCTACTGCCCACAACTATTGTTTCTAGTCCCTGGGTGCAGATAGTGTACGAGGTGGGCGTTTTCTCAACTTGACTGTTCGTCTCCCTCGGGAAAAATAATGACATGCATGTCAAGCGTATCCGACTCAATTGAGTATTGTCTACAATATTAGAAGTAGATGGGTCTTCCAGCATGGTGAAGCGAAAGTAAGAATGTGGATGGGAGATAGATTCTCCCTCTAGTCAATCACGACCGCACTCGTATTTCGACTTTTTGATCATTACAATTTTGCAAATCTTTTCACTACAGCGCTGGACAACGCGGGATAGTTGTTCGTAGTTAACGGGAAAGAGTAGGTTTGCACAGGTTGTAAACAATATATCTCTCGTTGACACTGTGACGGGATCAATATTTTTTTTCACGCAGCAAGCCTCCCTGCTCTCCTAAGGGGAATTTATCATGGCCTCCATCACGATTTCGCTGGAATCCAAGAACCAAATGGCCGACCAAAGTTACATCATCCTGGAAATCTCGGATTGCTGCAGAGTTGGAACCAGGGAACAATTTTCGTTTCCGCGAGGTTATTTGGTAGTTATGCTATTCTGCTTACACAGCAATGGATGCAATGGTTATTCCCGCATAACTCTCCTCTGCGACTATGCGACTATGGCAATCCTATATCTCTGCTAGAAGAAGTCGCAGTTATCAAGTTCAGATCGATCGGAACTCTGGTTAATCCTGCCTACCTTCCCCGGCCCACCTCAGCGAGACGTCAGATCAATCCGACTCGATCTAAATAGATTAACAATCCGGGGTCGCATAGATTGCCCGCATCTCAACCGCCGCCACAATCAGGGCACGCACCTGCTTGGCAAAAGCCTCCGACCTTCCCAGGGCAAATTTACCCGCGCGAAAGATCGAAGAGATCTGCGCCATCGTCCCGCCGGTGCCAGTGGAATGCTTGTCGCGGACGTTCGGTTGATCACACTTCAGAATGCAATCGACGCTCATGGTTCTAATAAACATTATTCAACTGGATTGGATGAGTGGCCGGTGACATGCGTAAGAGCTGACTGACACTTCCAGTCCCAAACAAGACTCTGAATAGGTACATACCGAGAGATTCTTAGTTACCAAATCTGGTCTCCTTAGTTCAATTGTCGCCAAACCACCCGGTGAATTCTGCTGCGAATGAGAATGGTAAATTTTCATTCAACAACCCCTCTAAAGGGAATTCATGTCTCCCTACTTTCTCTGCCAGAAAGCTATATGGAACAAGATCGTGTCAATGAGTTACTGCGACATGTTTCGAGTTGGCAGTAGGTTCTTTGTGACTTTCATCAATCAATAACCTTTTGCGACCGGTACTAAAACGCGAAGAGGCCAAGGTACACATTGCAGGTGCTTCTGCAGATACCATACATCGACATCCAGCTTAAGCAAGTGATGAGTTTAGATGCATGATGCATGGGCCCAGGGCCTTGTTGTCGGAACAAACACATTCCCTCGGTCGCTTCCATAAATTCTCTTGCCATCATGACTAACTCATCTCCGAAGTGAAATAATGGTATGCTATAACAGGTCGCTGAGCCGTAGAGAAGATATGAGCAAGCTACTTTTCTTTCCGCCGGCCTACAACAATGGACGAGCGCCCTGTTGGTAGAATTGCCAAACACCGATAACGGACTCCGGGTGAATTCCGTCAATTCCGAAAGAATCTCTTTCACCCTCGAATTTGCTTTATACTCTGCAAGCTGCGCATCAAGTGCGGCCAGTACCTCAGGTCTCCCACAGGGTCTATCTAGTATCTCAGCTTTTCCTCGATCAAAGCTTCGTTCAAATTCCAGACCCATTCTAGGATATCCTTGCCATGACTGTAGAGCTGTTCGCTGGGAAAACCAGAAGCAACCGTGTTGATGACGATTAGACCATCCCGTAACACTGACTCAACGTGGGTTTGAATTTACTTTCGCATCGGAGTGAGACCCAGCGCCTGGATTGCACCAAGAAGATTGGGAAGCCATGAAGGGGCGACTATGCCTACGAGATATGGATGCCTGGTTCCAGACAAGCAAATAGCCTGAGTTGATACAAAGGACATTGCGAGATCCAGTTTACTCTGGCTCACCGAAAATCCACCAATTTCATCGTAAGCTTTCCATGTTTCCCGTGGCTACTTTTTCATCGGCCACCCCATGAAACTTAACAAGTCGATCCAGGAAATGGTTCATGTGACTGTCAGAACAATTGCTATCCTCCAAAGGACCCCCGGGATGCGGCAGTGCTCCACCCGAAAGCCGCCACATGTGCCCTTCGAATCGGTCAAAAAATTCAGATTGTTCGAGGATGCAGCGCAACAGGCGAAATGACAACTACTTAAGGCTATACCTTTCAGCAACTCGCGCGCTCTATCAGATTTCCAGAGACAATTTGCGGGCGCGGTGGTCGGTTGCAGCAGAACCCTTGGCCGCACCTATTGCGTATTATTACCATTCCGTTCTACAGTTCGAACGACGGGTTTAGAGTATCTATAGAATAGTGGTTTGCCTCGGCTCTACACGCCGGAATGATTCACTGCAGCACAAGATTTACTCTTTTGTTATCCATACACTGCTGGGCGTGCTCGTCGACACCAATCACCGAGAGCGCAAGTTACCGTACGGTTTGCACCTCGTACCCGACGGGATCGGTACTGCCAACGAGCGTCAAAACACGAATACCATTGACCGATTTCCGCCTTGCGGTTGGAACCTTCCTAAAGTCTGCTAAGCTATTGCTCAATTATGCTAGCCTCATATCATCTGGTACAAAGGCAATCGCATGACACAACCCTGCATTGCGCGAATATGCGAGCCTTGAATAGGCGTACAGAAACCACACACGTGGGCTGAGCTGACCAGGAGCACACGACATGAACCCTGCTTAGTCGGCCCACAAGGCTCTCTGCTAGTACCTGCTTGTCTCCACTAGGAGGATGCTTACCCATACACAAGCTACACAAGCCTCTGCCCTAATCACCGAGATAATTCTCTCCGCCAATTGACGTAGGCTTATTGTCCTCCCCCCTCCCCACCTGAACCTCGCCGTAAGAACACCAGGCACCCTTTGGGCTGTAGTCTGGAACGTGCTGCTCTCCTAGTCATCTAATTGGTGCAAAGACTTCAGCCTGCCTGCGGCCCTCCGGAGCGGACGGCAAAGTATCTCTGTTGTTGTATCTACCACCTGCATGTGCCAGACCTGCAATGGTCTATAAAGCGAACAGTGCCCTCGTGCTTCCGTTCAATATGCGGTCGTTTCTTCTCTGCCTCATTGCCCTGCCTTTCACTTTTGCCTTGCGAAGATTATTGACAATGCATTCGGCCACTGCCCTTTTTGCCTTAGCCGGTCTGGCGGCTGGTGCTACCATCACCACGAAGGAGCCCACCTTGGCTGAGATCAAGCAAGCTCAAGCGACGACTCTACCTCTGACTTGGACCTCGAACGTTAAGGGCAAGGCGTTCGACCGTTTCTACCAGATTTGGTTGGAGAATGTCGTACGTATCCATGCTGTCACCATGCAGATGAACCGATACTCATGCGTACGACGTAGGACTATGACGATGCTGCCAATGACACCAACCAGCAGTGGCTGGCTAGCAAAGGTATTACGTTGACCAATTACTACGGTACCGGGCATCCCTCTCAGCCGAACTATATCGCTTCTGCTAGTGGGGACAACTTCGGCATGGACAATGGTAATCATCGCTCCTCGAACTCTTCTGCCTCCGCCACCCGCTGACAGTAGATGACCTGCAGACGACTTCCATGACATTCCTGCCAATGTCTCCACGCTTGCCGACCTGCTCAACCTCAAGGGCATCTCTTGGGGAGAGTATCAGCAGCATATGCCTTTCCCGGGCTTTCAAGGATTCAACTATTCCAACCAAGAGACTTTCGCGAATGACTATATGCGCAAGCACAACCCGTTGGTCTCCTTCGACTCGGTCTCGAGCAACGACACCGCCCTCAGGCTAATCAAGAACTTCACGACGTTTTACGAGGATCTTGATAACAAGGTACTGCCACAATGGGCCTTCATCACCCCTAGTATGTCTCTACACTCCTAGCTCCTCTTTCTTTTGCCTGGTGGAAACATTCTAATCCGCGGCACCCAGATATGACTAATGACGCACACGACACCAACATCACATACGGCTCGAAGTGGCTCCGCGGCTTCGTTTCCGACCTCATGAACAACACCTACTTCTGGGACAATACGCTCCTCCTTCTGACGTTCGACGAAACAGAGACTTACCATGTCCCTTCGAGCGACGAATACCTCAAGCGCAACCGCATCTTCAGTGTGCTTCTCGGGGGCGCTGTACCCGAGCACCTCGTCGGCACCCAAGACCACACCGTCTACACCCACTACTCATCCATCGCATCAGTCTCGGCCAACTGGGGTCTCCCTTCGCTCGGGCGCTGGGACTGCGGGGCCAACCTTCTCCAGCTCGTCGCCGACAAGGTCGGCTACACCAATTGGGATGTCCACAACGACAACCTTTACATGAACGTCTCCATGCCCGGCCCTCTTTCCGAGTCGTGGGACTCCAAATACCGCCCCACCTGGCCAGTGCCTGCTACCAACGCGTCCTGCTCGGCCGGACACGGGATTCTGCAGGCCGTGGTCGATGCTTATCGAGGCCAGACCCCAACCTACAACTACACCTCCCCGTTCCCCTACGACGCCGCGTACGGGGTGAATGTGGGTACTTCCTACTCGCGCAATGGTACAACCTATGTATCAGGGGTAAACGCGACTGGCGTGATCGGTCATGACTCGCCGTCTAATGCCTCGAGCTCGTCTTCGCCTATCGCTGTTGGTGCGGGCTCTAGTTTGACTGTCTCTGGTGCTGGCTCTGTGGTGGCTGCATTGGCTGCTCTTCTGAGCATTTTGTAGGGGAAGCTTGGTGTATGGGGATTGAAGAGGATGAAAGTAGATTAAGTCGATTCAGAATGTGATATATTTGACCTAGAAAAGCAAATCTAGTAGCCATGGCTAGTATCATGAGTACAGTAATGCTTCACTTCACATTGGAAGATATGCATACAAATGCCACCGGGCCGCTCAACCATCCTCCTTTTCTGTGCTGACTGAAGCGGTAAGCCCTGGCAGTGTGTCTGTCACGTGCTATGTGCTTAGTAGAGAAGCTTGGGCCAATCAGCTTGCTCCCCCGCAGGCCATCTCGAGCATACAGACGGGGCAAACGGGCAGTAGTGAACACCTGCTGGGATTATGGACGAACGATATTGAGATGCTACGTGCATTGATTGGGCTCTGTTGAATCAAGATGAATCTACCCCGAGCACCATGAGCACTAGATAGCACAACAGAAAATCCAACCCCTCAAGCTCCATTTACTACCTCTTACATGAAGTTGGCAGCGACCGCTATGTCCACATTCCTCACATGTGATGTCCTCCGTTGCTCTCGACTTTGACATGTTTCTTGCTCACGGTACTAGGTAGAGCCTGACTAGCTTACTGTTGAAGCAAGGAATACCGTATACTGTACACCGCTGGTGTCTACTGTATGTCCGACTTTCCGCAATCCCGGTTGCTAAATCATGGCCTCTTGTTGATCCAAGCTTGCATGCATTTCCTTCCCAACACTTCCAAAAAAACTACCTAATCTTTAAGAGTAGAGTAATCTACGACGAAGGCTTACCCCGCTTGAACGCATGTCAAGGCGCCTCCGGGTTGCTGACGTGGTATGCAGCTCTACCCTCACCCTGTGTCTACGTTGATTGGACGGGCAGAATGACAAATAAGCAATCGTCTCAGCTACTCGCAGGACGAGCCAGAACTATTCATTGAGTCAGGATGATGCTCCTTTCTACAATTCTTGCAGAGGTTCAGGTTTGCTGGGAATGTCCCAGCCGACCTCCCCGGCCTGATTCGGCCCTTTTTCGTATTTTCTCCCAGCACAAGCCTGATAAATACTTAGATCCAACTTGCTTGCGCCGAGCAGTAGCAGTAATCCTCTAGTATCAACGTGTTCACCAATCCCCTGCCGTGAGTCTAATGCAAGACGCGCTGGGAACTGGTGTATGCTAGCTGCTCCTGCACGGAAGGCGCATGATCGACAACTACAGCATGAATCCTTTGCGGAAACTACGCTGGCAGTACTGTTTAGTGTGGTCGTCTAGCAGGAACGATGTTTATCGAATTTGTTCAACTAGTCACAGGCGGGATGCAGGCTCCGAATGCCTGCTCATTGAGGCACCCATCACCATATAGTACATCCACCAAGGCGACTCGGATTCTAGCGCGAGCCGCGGTGACGGAAAGAGAAGCATGTGGAGTCTCTCAGCAGAGCTGGTACGTGACACAGCCTTGAATGCCCCGAATCTATCATATGCCATCCGGGATCTGTAAAAACTAGCCGTGGTAAGGTGGTATCCTGGGCCTTCTATGGCCAGGACAGTCGGTGATCTAGAGCTCGGTTGTGGTATTTAGAATCCGGTGTGCCCCTGCTACTTTGTGCTTTGCGATGGCCGACTCACGCTCGTCTTCCAGAATGATCTTGGTCAAGTTCTGCATATCCATTGTGTTGATTGTCGTCGCAGGTGTCTGTGACGCTGCAGAAGATAAATCACATGGCCTGAAACAGGGTGTTTTTGGGGTCGACGCCAGCTTTGACTATGTGGTCGTCGGTGCCGGCACGTCGGGCTTCACCCTAGCAGCACGACTAGCGGAGCAAAAGCTTAAGGTAGCTCTCATCGAGGCCGGTGACTTCTATGAGGCTGTCTGGCCCGTGTCCAAAATTCCAGGTGCAGTGATTATTGGCGTAGGTTCCAGTCCGACTTCCACCACACCGATTGATTGGAACTTTCTCACGGCGCCGATACCGGGCGCAAACTACCGCAAGGTGCATTATGCCAGACACAAAACCTTCGGAGGATGGTATGAGCCCATATCGTTGTCTCATCCTGTTAGTCGCTTGAGAGAAAATTCCACCTGACTTTCGCGGCCAGCTCAGTATGCAATGTGATGGTATACCAGAGGTGCGTCACTCCCCATCCTCAGCATGAATGCAGAGAATGTTCACAGATGCTAGGCCCGATAACGGCTCCATGCAACGCTGGGCAGACGTTGTTCAGGATGAAAGCTATACATTCGATCGCGTCCTTCCTTTCTATCAACGAACGCCAACATTTTATCCCCCAAACAACGAACTCCGTCCCCCAAACGCCACCGTGCAGTACAATCCGGATGCATTCTCTCCGAGCGGCGAACCGCTACAGGTGTCCTACCCGATTGATAGCATCCCTTTTTCCAGCTGGATGGATCGCGGGATCCAGGCTATAGGTATCCCACAGATACAGGATCTCAACAGTGGCTCGTTATCGGGCGCTCAGTGGTGCTCCTTTACCGTTCGCCCATCCGACACGACACGGAGTAGTTCCGAGGCTGCTTTTGTCGGCGCGGATGGGGACCGTCTCGCAACGCTAACTATCTACAAAACCACCATGGCAAAACGAATCCTTTTCGACGCCAACAAAAAAGCCACCGGGGTGAAAGTACGCACAGGCACCTCGACGTACACTCTCCATGCCAGCCACGAGGTGATAATCTCGGCTGGCGCATTCCAGAGCCCGCAACTCCTGATGGTGTCTGGCATCGGGCCATCAGAAGCCCTAAGCCCGCATAACATCTCGCAGATCGTCGAGCTGCCCGGTGTCGGACAGAACATGTGGGAGCATGTACTGTTTGCTCCTACGTACCGGGTCAGTATACCCACGAACACGGAGATCCCAAACAATCCCGTGTTCGCGGCGGAACAAGCCGCCCTTTATTTCACCCTGCACCGGGGCCTCTTCACCAACCCAGGGGCCGATTACCTCGCCTTCGAAAAAATTCCCGACCATCTGCGAGAGCAATTCTCCGCAGCGACCCTCCGGAACCTCTCGTGGTTTCCACCCAGCTGGCCCGAGGCGGAGGTGCGCAACTGCCTTCTCCATCCCCATGCCCAAAGATGATACTAATGCATATCACCGGAGAGAACAGTACATTTCCTTCGCCGTCTACGTCGGGGACCTCAGCGACCCGTTCTTCGACCAGCCCAAGGACGGGTTCATGTACGCGAGCATTCTCGGCGCTGTGGTGGCGCCTACCTCGCGCGGAAGCGTGACGCTCAAGTCCAACGACACCGACACCCTCCCCATCGTCCAACCCAACTGGCTCGCCACCGAGTCCGACGCCCAGCTCGCCGTGGCCATATTTCGCCGGCTGCGCGAGGCCTGGCACAGCGAGGGCCTGGCGCCGATCGTGATCGGCGAGGAGTACTTCCCGGGCCCGAAAGTCCAGACCGACGAGCAGATCCTCCAGGCCATTCGACAGAATGCCATGACCGTCTGGCATGCTTCGTGCACGTGCAAGATGGGCGTGCGGAACGACAGTATGGCTGTCGTGGACCACCGGGCCAGAGTGTTCGGGGTGTCGGACTTGCGGGTGGTGGATGCCAGTGCGTTTCCCATCCTGCCGCCGGGGCATCCGCAGTCGACTTGCTGTGAGTGTGCCGCGTCTCCTTGAGGATGTGACTTTTATTTCCCCGGGGTCTTCCGTCACGGGTTATGCTGACGGGTGATTCTAGATATGTTGGCGGAAAAGATAGCAGCCGATATCATACAGGGGCCGGGCGACGGGGATGGAGACGACGGAGATGACGATGGTGATAATGGAGATGATTAAGCTGCATGGTGAGGTAACTTGGTCGAGTGTGCATAGGAAACAAAATGTTCTTGTCGTTGCTTGCATTGAGCCCAGCTGGTGGTAGTTATTGACTTCTCCGGTGATACATGTCATGGTCTCTCGGACGCCGGTAGCTCTTTACATGATGATTCGGCAACAGGAATGGGATGACATAGAGTAGGTAGAATGAACTGTAGATGCGAATTGGGTAGATTGACACTGTAAGTTGACAGGATTCGCATTTCCGTCGATAAGAAGTAAAGATGCTCGAGATAAGAATCCCAAGTGCCGATGGTCGGAGTCCGGACCTGCAAGAATGGCACCATCGTCACGTGCCCGCAGCCATATATCCCCGCAATCGGCATTCCCGTTCTTACAAGATAACATCCCCCCACCACCAACCATGGTGACAAACAATATCGTTGTTCTCGGGTATGTTGGATGGCTTCTGCTGTCAGCCCTGTCCTTGCGCTAACATGACTCCACAGGGCCGGGGTGTCTGGACTTACCACCGCATATCTCCTGTCGCGAGACCCCACCAATTCTGTGACCGTGGTCGCAAAACACATGCCAGGTGATTATGACATTGAATATGCTTCACCTTGGGCCGGCGCAAACTACTCTCCGTATGATTCTGCTTTGGACTCTCCTTGGGCTCAGAATTACTGCTGACCGAAACAGGATGGGAGAGCCGGGCAGTAACCAAGCCAAATGGGAACGAGAGACATGGCAACCGTTGCAGGAGATAACGGAGAAGTATCCCGAGGCAGGCATTCACTTTCAAGGTATACATGTCTTTGTCGCAGGCTGGAACGTCATCAATCTGGTACTAACAGCCACAAGATAATGTGATCTATAACCGCACCAAGGACCAACAAACAGCGACTGGAAAGAACTTCGCCGCCCTGATGAATGCAGACCCGTGGTATCGGGAGGTCGTTCCGAATGTGCGTATCCTTACCTGAGCCCTGAGACTGCCTCAAACCAATCACCCCGTGTATCAGTTCCGGCCCATGCCGAAAGATCAACTGCCCCCGGGCATCGACTCCGCACAGATATTCACCTCAGTCTGCATCAACACCGCAATCTATCTACCATGGTTGCTCGGCCAGTGTCGGAAAAAAGGCACTGTCATCCGCAGGGCAGTGTTCAAACACGTGGCAGACGCGGCAAATGCCCATCATTCTGGACGCAAGGCTGATGTGGTAGTGAATTGCACCGGGCTCTCCTCGAGGACCCTGGGCGGCGTACAGGATGAGACGGTGTACCCAGGACGTGGCCAGATCATCCTGGTGCGAAACACGCCCGGTACAATGGCAGCAATGTCAGGGACAGACGACGGGGAGGAAGAGTTATGCTATATGATGACTCGCGCAGCTGGAGGAGGGACTGTGCTCGGGGGCTGCTACCAGCAGAACCAGTGGGATCCGCTGCCGGATCCGAACTTAGCCACACGGATCATGAAGCGTGCGATCGCCATTTGCCCTCAACTAGTAGCCCCAGGGCAAGGCATCGAGGGACTAGATATCATCCGACACGGGGTCGGACTGCGACCCATACGCAAGGGTGGGCCGCGGGTCGAGGCGGAGCTGATCGATAGGGTTCCGGTGGTTCACAACTACGGCCATGGGGGGTTCGGATATCAAGCCTCGTTTGGGTGCGCTGCAGAGACTATCAAGCTCCTCAAGGAGACCCTACAACACCAAATGCAGGCGAAGCTGTAGCGGGCTAGAGAGAAACTGAGCGGGACACTATGTTAGTTACTGTCTAGTTATGCTTAGTTACTGGAATCCCCCAGCGTAATAAGTCAGCATTTGTCCGCCAAGATCCTACAGTGGCTCAGTATGGGCTGTGGCGCAGACATGTACTCTACTGTACTGTACTCAGTACATGACAGGTCCGATTATATCATTATCCTTACCATCGGCCCACTTGCCAAGCACTAATTAATGCCGATCTGACCAATGGCTTGTTCCTGCCAGGGCTACAGTCCAGAATCCAGATCAGCTTCCCTCCCCGCAATCTCTTTCCTGTTTGCCATCGTCGTGCACTGTCCGCCCTCATATCATGGCTTTTCCTCAGTTCTCCCGCCTCCCAGCAGAGCTCCGAATCCAGATCTGGAACGACAGTCTCCCGGACAAGCTGGGCCGCCCAATTTATCCGTGGAGGGAGGGCTGCTGGCATTGGATCTACCCCAACTCGGACCGCGAGGACGTAATGCCTGAGCTTGAGTTTGGCTGTAAACTCCTAGACAATGTGCGGCTGGAAGTGCCCCAGTTCTTCGTCAGTTGCGAGGCGCGGATGGTCGTCACGAAATGGGTTCAGCGTCAGGGGCTGAGGATCATGTTCGATCGCGAAAGACAATCATTGGCTATCGTCCGAGGCTTCGACTCCAATCACGATACGCTGTATGTCTCGTCCGACGATTGGGTGCATTTCACTCTCGAGCCGCATGACCGAATCGAAGAGCTGGACCAGTTCATCCGCATCCCCACCCCGGCCGTCAAACACATCGCCCTGCCCGAGGAACTGTTGGCGAATTCCGCCGGCCTGTTCCACGATCTCTTCGACCATTTTCGGCATATCCAGACGGTCTTTGTGGTCAAGGACGTACCGTCCGAGCTGGAGCCTGACCAGCGGCCAGGGGAGCTTCAAGATTGGTGGGAACTGCAGCGCACGTCGGGGGAGATTCTTTCCTGGGACTTCGAGCAGCATGAATTCACGCCACCGGAGAATGACAACAACATCGATGACCAACTACTCTATGGATTGATCAAGCGAGCTAGCATAGGAATGCGTCGGGAACGACCAGATGGGCTACCGCCATCTTTCGAGGTGTGCCCGGTTGTTGCTGTCCGCAGATGAACAGATCGTGTCAGGATGCATGGTAGTGGTGTATTGTTTTGTTTCTTGTTTTACTTTAGCGTCCAGAGCTCAACCAGGAGTCTATGCCTTTTCTCACGATGCTTTCTACGGTATAGTCTCTTGCTTAGATGCGATATTCAGTGTATAGATTGCATGCCCCCTTCCCATCCTCATTGCCAAATCATCTATCCATTTGCGGTCCCGCTATACAGCCACGGATGCCTCTTGACAATGACTACCCCTGTCTCACCGCGCGCACGGCCTGGTGCAAGTCCATCATGTCATCGGCTCTCTGTGCTGGCCGGCCCCAGCGCACCAACCCCTGCGCATCGACCGCCCAAAAGCCCCCGGCCTGCCAGCGACTGCCACTCTCCGTGGGCCGATTCCAGATCCCCTTTTCCCGGCCCAATTTCACGATGTTCATCAGTCCGGTCGGACTCAAGACATGACTCCAGGGGGTGACCCCCGACCCCCACCTAGCATAGAGCTTGCGCTCCACGTCGACAATTAGCTGCACGGGATTAGGGCCGGACTCGCCCCGACCCCCTACGGCATCGAGCCACTTCACCGTGGAGGGTTCATCGCTGTGGGACACGGCGATAAAGTTGATGTCGGGATGCTGTGTGGCTGCTGTGCGCAGATTGCAAAAGTCCGACTCAGCGACTGAGCCACATGTCAGTCAGATGCGTACAAGACAGAAGAGGGGTGCAACCTGGACAGCCACAGTGCCGGAGAAACAATATGATGGTCGGTTTGCCGTTTGTGGCGGGCAGGGAGAGCTCTGGGCACGAGGGGGCAGGCCGATCGATCTGAGGGGGAGTGGAGACTTTGACAGGGGCTGGGGCGAGCCAGGAAGAGAGTTCTTGGCGCAGCGACATGTTGGATAGCCTGTAATTGAGTTGGAAGGCTGTGACTATTTCCATGAGAATCCATCCATCAATCCAGCAAGCAATCAATCAATGCTGACGTAAGATCTCTGGCGCGGGGCGGAGATTCTCGGCACGGATCAACTCACGGCCCGAGGAGTTTGTTTACACTGTTAAACAACTGTATGTTATGTACACGCACAGAGTATGATTGTCGTATCACCCACCCACTGCTGCAGAATCGATGAGCCGATCAGACATTGTGATCGTAGGGATAGGCTTGCGGGGTGCAGGAGGATCCACACCAGTATGATTAATCCCGATTTGCATCGCAGCCTCGTTTTGATACTCCAGTATCATTTCCATGAGCCACGACTGGCCAGCGTCTCGTAACCCCTATTGAAGGCACACAGAGTCGACTCTGACATTATGCTCGATACCACATTCTATTTTTGTTGAGATCATGACTTGACAGTCAGAGTTTCAGAGCTACCACGGCTCTTCGTATAGTCGCTCGATAGGACGATGCCTAAGCGGCCCAGCCCAGCCCATCGGGACTGAAACATTGACACGCTCGAGACCCTAGCCAAAAGTTCAAGGACTGCTGCCACTGGCTGTCACAGATGATGCATAGTACGAGAGGCCGCGGAGAGGGTCAATGCGCTGGCTCCGACGAGGTCTCGTGAAAGGGCTCTGCTCGGCCAGGCCGTGTTGATGGTTGATTAAGACCACCGGCCAAGCACTTAGGTCAGAACCTTACTATTGATTCCCAATAGACCTGTCTAACACATGCACACTCCAATTTGGGGACAGTCTTGAGCAGCTCAAAGACCAATCAGTCTGCTTTTGGCACGAGAGATCGACGATTTGGCCAGACTGACTTTCTAGGCCCTGTACCCCAATGGCCAGGAAACTCGTATCCGCAAATTGCCCGTCAGGGACAAGCCAACGACAGGCAGGGACCTCGTACTTTTGTCCTGGGATATGATTGTACTGTACCAGACAATAGCTGCGCCCAGGGACAAAGCATACATAAATGCCCTCCCATCCACAGCATTTAATTTCTGCGGTCCCTACGCTCCTTGTCTTCGCCTTCTTCTCTGCACTCCTTTGTCTTCAGTTCCAATCGTTACATATCTTCTCGTCAACATGCGTCCCTCTCTGATTCTCCTTGTCCCACTGGTGGCCACTAGCACTGCTCACGGCCTCACCCAGGTCGACGCCCTCCATCTCCTCAAACGCCAAAGCGGCGCCTTCATCCCCGGAACCAGCTCGGTGACCGACTGCCCAGAAGGCTCCATTCTCTGTGGCACGAGCAACACCTGCTACTTTCCTTCGCGAGGCGATACCTGCTGTCCCGGTGGAACCTGTGCGTGAACCCCCTAGCGACCTTCCACAACCCTGACTGACATTCCGTGCAACAGGGGCCTGTCCGAGTGATTCCTTCTGTCTGCAGGACCCATACTGCTGCCCCACTGTATGTCACCACTCTCCCTTAGCAATCTTTTGGAACACCACTGATGCAGAATAGGGTCTCGACCGCGAGACCTGCGCGCAGCAGTACGGCATAACGTTGGCCCCAACCGTGACGAGCGCCACCGCCGCCGAACCGACATCCGCGCCATCCACGTCGACTTCTTCACCGACCTCAAGCGTCGAACGCCCGAGCAGCAGCAGCAGCAGCAGCAGCAGCACGACCTCTGTGCCTGTCATCCCGGCGATTTCGATCCCTTCTTCGATCGCATCCTCTTCCGTGCATTCGGGTTCCGCTACCGTCGTGTCTTCGTCTACCCCCAGCCCCTCGGGCGGGCTCTTCACTGGTGGTGCACACACCCGGGAGATGGCAGGAGGCGCTCTGGTGCTGGGTGGATTGGGCATGGTTGCAAATATCCTGTAGTTGGATCGTGCTGTGGAGGGGCATCCAGTGCAGTCCAGGCTTGTGGTCCGACCAAGGGAGATGGGGTAGTTGGGGATGGCTTCGTTTGTGTAGTAGTGGCGTGAACATGGATATTTCTCAAGATTGGTGCATCTTCGCTACTAGATAACGGTAGAGCGTATGGATTCCAAGCGGAGTGCGTTGGTGACAAGCCGGCTCTTCGAGTAACAGTACACGCTACGATACCATCTTGACCCTGTCATCTGGCCCGTGATCTAGCGAAAATGATTGTGAGGGCGGAACAGAGTACCGCCTATAGATATTCCAGAGACTCTCATCACCACACGAGCATTCAGACTCTGTCTGCTTCGTGAGATGCGTCGTTGTTACAAGCCCAGGGATTATGGTCTGTTACTGAGAACTGCGCCTCCCTGGGATACTTCAGAGTCACCATGTCTGTCTCCGGCGAGTCTGTCCAAGACGCCGCAAAGCTCAGTAGGTAGACCTTGTACACCTTGTATCGTGCGTTTTGAGTGAAACCCAGGCGATGAACAGCCACGCTGAGGGTCATGGTCATGTGACCTCTGCTTTCCGATCCTGCCATCTATCTTATGTTCATTTTCATATTTTCTCTTTTCTCTCTCCCTTCCTTTCTTGTTTATCCTTCTTCTCTTGCCTTTTGCTGTGCCTATTACCTGTGTCATCAGGATTGGCTTCATTATCGGGATACCTACGTGGTCTCAAGAGTGGCTTGACCAGTGCCCTTGCCCTTGCTGTCGGCAACCATGGCTAAATCGATCATCGTTCTCCAGCTTGCTGGCCTGTAATTTATGTAAGCGATGTTAAGTTGAAATCCTACCTCCTTTACAGTCCCAGAAAAGATCGATGAACAATAAGGCATTGGGAGGTGTTGGCCGTAGGGAAGCAAGCTACTGTCCAGCCACAGATAACGATAAGAGACAGATCTCGCTACAATAGATTCAGAAATTGGGGTTGTATAGCTAGTGATTGGTGAATTCTTTTAAACAAAACAATAGTTACCGAGAGCATCGGAAGTTTACAAGTATTATATGGTCCGATCTCAGTGGGATCCGCGTCGAAGTCCGCCCTGAGCCTAGATGAGTCAGAAAGTTCTCGCTCTATATAGACTCGAAGAGCATAAGATCATATAGCAGTACTACAGAGGAGACGGCGGAATTCGTAGAAAAAGGCACAGCCAGGTCTAGTCTCTAAGAGATGACCAAGCCTGCAATATCGGGACCTATCGGTAGTGGGATGTTAGCTAGCAAGTCAAGTCTGCGACATAGGGGGTGTTCGTACAGTATCCCCCATTATACGCTGAGAAGCTGATAATATTCGAGGTTCCCTGCTTCACGTCCACGTTGAGCACACTTGTCCGCAGCGTCTGCGGCCCCCCAGAGGGCAAGAACGCGACGACATGCGTCTCGCCATTGACCGTTACCGAGCAGTAGCGCTGCGTGCTATCGCCATTGCCGTATGAAATCTGCACGGTACTTTCTCCCGTGGCGGTGAACTTAACCGAATCAAATGTCAGCGTGCCATTGTCTGTTCCGCCGAGCCAGCCGATGATCTCGGAGCTGCAGCCAGAGCAAGAGATTGATTTGGCAGATCCCCCGAGCGTGCCATCGGATTTCGCGCCCAGGGTGGTGGTGCTCGACACGGTGGTCCATGTCCCGGATGTGAAAGAGGGGGTCCAGACGGCATCGGAGCTCTAAGTTCACGAGATATATCAGCAAGACCAACGCTTTCGCAAGACAAGAAGGCGATGCATACGATTGAGGCAGTCGTTCCGGAGATGGTTAGGGGTAGCCAGATGTATGTCGACGAGGCGAGATCAGAGGAAACCCAACGGTCGCCCATATACCTAGAGCAAAATCAGAGACGATATCGACGTGTTACATTCGTGAAGTGATATGCCATACATCACCAGGCCGTTCACGTCAGCGACGAAGCTTGTTTGAGAACTGTAGGTATGTGAGCCCGCGGGCGCAAAGTTGGCCCAATCCGACCAAGGCTGCGATGTGTGTCAACGCCATTCCTTTCTTTCACTTTAGCAATATCGTAGTATGACCTACACCCGCGAGGTTGGTAGCAGTGGAGTATTTATTGTCATTTGCACCTATTGTTCCAGTCAGCACCACGAATCTGGGAAGTGCGACAAATACCCACTCCACCCTAGTCATCAGCTGTTAGTATATCCCTTGATATCAGGAACTGGATGCAAACTTGCCGGACAGCTGACTGGCAAACATGAAATATGTACTTCCACTCTTATACACTGCGGGCGCTTCGTAGTCGGCGGTAAACAGATGAACATTGCTTTCAACTGTCAAGTAATCGGACGATAAGCGGTCAATGCGCAAACCATTAGCTCTCTGCGGTCATCAGCAAGTTTCGTCCTTCGTCTGGAATGCTACATACGTCTTCGGTGAGGAGATAGCCTGTGCCGTCGGTATCTGATTTTCACTATCAGTGACATTCTTGCACATTTCAGAGAATGCGTACCCTTGAAGAGACCCAGATCGCGAGACTGAAATCCAAGGGGCCGCGACGCGTTCCTGTATCTATGTATCAGCGAATAGAGCATTAGCGAGAGCAAGTGCTTACATACAGGTAAGTGTAATCTCCGCACACGGAGGAGCTCGTGGCCACACCGGCGCGCGCTTCAGCATAGCTCGAATCATCAATATGCATCCACATGACATACTTTCTGGTCTTGTCATTGTAGATGACCTTAGGTCGTTCCACGACGCGGCTTGGACCCAGGTCACCGGAGCTCTGCAAGGTCAGAAGTTCGTTCTCAAAAGTCCAGTCGATGAGGTTCTGTGGCTCATTAGCATGGACATAGGGGTAGCACTCTCTGGGACGGGCTGCCCACCGTGCTCGAATAGCAATTGATGGATTGGAAGCTTGAGCCGGAAGTGTGATTCTCGCCGATGATATAATAGACTCCAGCAGCCTCGATGAGCCCTAAGCACATAAAACCATTAGTCGTATGCGCATGATACTTTTGAGTTGAGGGTAAAAGCCAGGGAGGTGATGTCTGTATACCTGTTCCATGAGCTTGAATATGCTTGTTGGTCCCCGCGGCTGTCCATGTTGCACCTGGTACAATATCCAGCGACGCAGAAACCGCCCGAGCGAAGAATACCAGGCGGACGAACAGACCAGCTCTGGGATACATTCTGAGGCTGTTTGAGATTCTGTAGGGAAATGAACCCACAGGATGTTCGTGAGGGATTGGGCGGTTTCTTGTACCCCGATTCCCCTACAGCAAAGTGCGTTAGCCTCGCAGGCAAGATGATACCGAGCCATGATAGGCGGAAAATATGCAGTACTTCAGTGATCTCATCACATCCGATTGCGGGGTTATGCTGGGCTTCGCTACCCCGAGGTTACATTTGCCATTTGTTGTGCATGCATCCTCTCGATCCTGGACAAATGGTTCGATACAGCTTCGGCAGGGAACGGGTGCCTTGGACCTCTTGGGCCTTGTCTGATCGGGCGGAACGGCGCGTTCCCAAAAAGCAGTCAGTCTCTGCATGCTCTGCATGCTCTGCATTTGACTAAACGCCCGACAAGTCGCCAGCCCAGCGAAGCTCATTTCGCGGGGGATGAGCCTACGTCTATGGTTGTCCAGAGTAGCAGGTTCGAATCGGCGACAGAGAATCCCAAACGAATGCGGTCTCCACCAGCCATCCCTGTGGCTTGTGCGCCCAGGTCATGCACAGTCTCCGCACCTTCAAACCCAAGCTGAGCTCTAGAAATTTGGCCCAGAATGATAGAGCGGTCGCGGAAATCGACGCCCCAACCTTCGACGCTAGCCTCCATCTCTCCCGGTGCGATGTCAATAATCACCTGCCCCAGCTTCCAAATACTCCAGGGTGCCAAGCAGTCGAGTTGGCGCAATGCTCAGAGTCCTAAAAACCCCTCAGGGGTTAGACCCCGGTCCGTGGAATACGGTCGTACTCAGGTTCCTTAGCACACCTACCATACAGCCGTCGCACAACGTAGGACGCGCTTCCAATACCTCTGTGGATTTTCACTGATGTAGGCTGGCATACTATCTCTGGGCTTGACGACTGTTAGGCAGAATCCCGAACCTTCGGTGGTAGACTGCGCGCCTTGTTCAGAGCTGATAGCAATGACTTCGGGGGCTTGAGTCTCGGTTAAATTGATATACAGCTCGTCATGACTACCAATTGCGCGCTGTCAGCTATAGGACAGACAACCAGATTCTAAGACCAATTCCGGAAGTGAGGCGCGGAGCCTTAGCATTCGAGATCAGAATACTGTGCTCTTGGTGGACAGCTTCGACAGAAGTCTGCTTTATCATGGTAGACCCCCGTAGACCGGTTATGCTAAGAAGCTGGTTTCTGTCCCTGCAGAGACGTCATTGTTGTTAGTTGGCATAGCCATATATAATGCTCTATACTCTCCCTCGCTTGCTCCTTCCATTCTCAAGACATTGCTTCTTTATTGTCTCGTACGGAAACCAGTTTTATCGCGTGCTCCTTTCACTTCTGATATTGTGACTAAGGTGGTCCAGGTCAGAGTCATATGCCCTTGGTCCTTGTATCCATCTACCCATGTACGAGAATCCTGGCTGCCCTGGCCGCTACTCTTTCCCATGTCCTGTTCTCCGGGGACATACATAGAACGACCTTGTAATTACCGAGTGGCTAGGTGCCCCTGTTCAATGATACACAAGACAGCTTGAGGTAGGTCGTTAACAGCAGCACACATGAGCGCAGTTGGGTTTGAAATCTGGGAATCTTCCAGCAATTAGTCCTTGTGTGACGTTCGAAATCTTGGAGCCAAACCCAGGGCGTTAGAACTCGGGAGCAGACCTCTTGGGGCCGCTTGTAAGACCTGCTCTCTTCTCTTCCCTCTCTTGCCTGCTTGGTCTTCCAAGCCATTCGCACTCATCGCAATTCTCCGGGCTATCAATTGGCTTTTGCTTCACTATTCTCACTGTGCTCCTTCTACTTCTTCCCGCTTCTCTCATCACTCCTGCATCTCTGTTGTATGGTACTTTTTCCTTATACAGTCTTAATGCACTGTCTTCTTGAATTGGAACCATTTCGACAACAGTGGCTAGTTCCTGGATTCTCGGATTGCGTCTGGGTATCCGTCCTCCCACGTCGTGCTCTTCCCCAAACATAGCTCAAGCGAGAGTATGTGCGCCTCTCTTTAACTCATGCCCCATCATACCAGGTGACCCATGACAGTTCACCAACCATGGATCCGCAATCTAGTACACAACGAAAACCTGAACCTTCTTCCGAACCCCGGGTAGGCCACCGGACAACTCAAACTGGCGAGTCATCACGTGCAAGACGCAACTGTGCATCGTGCACCTGCAACTGTGCATGCTCGAGCCGAGATATCGAAGCACAGGGACAGGATAACTCTAGGGGCTATGATCAGCTGGGAGGCATCATGGCTCGGGACCCTGGGTGCATGGTATTCCGGAGGTTTGTCGAGTTCAACTCAAAAAACCTGCTATGGATGCAGGCAGAGATTACGGCTCTTGAGGGGGAACTCAAGGAGCTCAAGTCTGCGGATCGGAACCCCGAGGGCGAACAGCGCTTTATCCATTCTGTGACGGCGATGTTGAACACTCCGGGCTGTAAACATTGGAACAAGATTTTGGAAGCAAGGGCCTTGCTTAAGGGTTATAGTAAGTGGTTTAACTTGCCTTGTTGCTCTCGAGCGCTCTGCTCTACCCTTGACGAAGAATACTCTCTCCTAACGGTGTAACCTATTTAGACGAGGCTTTGCTCCAACACCGGAAGATGCTGCGCCTGATGTCGCCGCATCCATCGGATCGGGAGAGTCTGAAAGTATTCCTGCAGAGAGTGGACAACAACTGGGCGAAGGGGCTGTGCTCGGACCCCCGGGACAATGGGAGGAACCGGCAAACGTATCCGAACTGGCGGCTCTCTGCAGCCCGGCGGAGGGGGCAGACTTTGTGACTCGATTTGCCTTTTATAGGATAAGCGCTTGGTGCTACAAGCTTTGGGGACATCGAAGTCAGGCTAGTCGGGACCTTCTCTCTGTTTATTTGATCTTTCCTTCTTACTTATGAGGGAAGGGGCGGGAACCTGCAATGTGTGCTGCAATCCGCATGCTCTCCTGCACTCGTGAAGTATCGAATTGGTCTGATTTCTGAACAGGAGAAACGGGAAGAGGCGAACGCCGTTCATTGGCGCTACGCCAATCGAGACAAGATCGAAACCGTGGTGCACACCCTTTTCCTCGGCCTGACAGCCGGTATTACGAGTGGCATGATGATCGGACTGGGGCTCCTGAAAGAGTTCTGGCCTCGTATGGGGACAGCCATCGCGTTTGGCGTGTTGTTTGTCGCTTTGATGGGCGTGATGGTCCATGCGCGGTGGGGAGAGACCATCGCGGTGGCGATCGCGTGAGTACTCATATCTACTTATTCTTATACCTATACTTATAGTTCTCCCATCCATTCCCGAAGCTATATCTCGCAAATCGGCACGCGCGCTAACATCAGGTTGTGGGGGTTGTAGGTTCGCCTCTGTTCGGGGGTCTCTGCTCATCCTTACGCACCGCTAGAGACCGTACCGGCCTTTCTGTTGAACGGGGTCTACGCGGTCCATGTCCACGCAGGGGGGGACAGATCTTGATATTCGGGGTTATTGATCGGATTGTTCTTTGACACCGCTTGTTACATACAGATTGCCAAGTCGGATTTTGATCTTTCCTGGTTGACTTTGCTCGATAGAGGAGATCGACTTCAGTCAGGGCTCCGGCCCACCTTGCCGTCGTTCTTTCTATTGATCTTTCAAGTTTTCTTTCTTTCGCGTCTTTGATTACTGCTTTAGTCACTTCTTCCGTTGTTCGTTCTCTCTGCTCTCTCTCTCTCGTTTTTGCGATCGTTCCTTTGTTTCTTCTTCTTCTTCTTCTTCTTCTTCTTCTTCTTCTTCTTCTTCTTCTTCTTCTTCTTCTTCTTCTTCTTCTTCTTCTTCTCCTTCGTCGAAACACGGCCCGGCGACCAGGTATAGGGTGTGCCAACTCATGGTAAGAAAGGTTTCAATCCTACGCGCGTCCTCTATCTCGGGGACGAGTTGGTCCAGTACAGGACCCTTCATCTTAGGATCGCGCAATGGGAGGCGCAGCTCCTCATACAGCAATATGAAATCAAAGAATAGCGCGAGAGATACTTTAAAGTCATGACTCACTTGGTTCTGAGGAGGCACGTTTGCTTTCTTGGCAGCTGGCACACTTGGCGAGGACATCGTGAGTCGATCCGCTGTTGATGATGATGGCCCCATTCGAAGTCGTCTTGAACCGGGGGCGGGTTCTTATAGAAGAATCCAACAATTGAACCAAGACAGACAAAGAGGCGCTTGCTCTTTCTAGGGGTAACAATGATTCCATACTCACAAAGGCCTTGGCTTGAGCCACGGACAGAGGAACAGGTTTTCAGCGGCTGGGATTGAACGAAACGGGCGAGATGAAAAAAGGAGGCGATACTATACATTGCAACCACTGCTAGAGGTCGGTGGGGCTGGCCGTTGATCTGATCCATGATATCAACACAGCATACCTGGCTGGATCTTTGAGATGGCGAATAAAGCGGATGAATTTCGAAATCAAGAGATGAAGAAACACGGCAAGATGAAAAAAAAAAAAAAAGAGAAATCTCCCCGACTGGGAGTCGAACCCAGGTCTCCCGCGCTTGTTCCCAGACTGGATTGACAAGCGGAAATCATGACCGTTAGACCATCGAGGATGGGATGAGGATCGGGTGCCATTTTTACGTCCTTCACCCAAACTGTGTGTATGCCATGTGATACCGGTCTATCGCCATCCCGGTCGGAACTCTCAGTCCCGGCCGACTTCTGGCAACTCCACCTTCATCATCATCATCATTACATTCGTCCCATGCATTGTTCAAGTTATGCCAGCCATTACCCTGTCTCAGCGCAGGATGGATGAGACGTCCGTGAACCGCCCGACACCTCTTCTACCAGCCAAGACGACACGTATAGGAGCCACGTCCCCCCAGTGCTCGTTCTCGACCATATTCTCCTACCGGTGGCAGATTCTCCGACAGTCTATCGAAGTCTCCTCCAACCCCTCGATGCTGTTCTACGCTGCGATATCCAGAAGTTGGTCGCTCGTTTCATCCGCACTGGTGCAGGTATTCCTGGCTGACCCATACGATTCCTTGGAGTCAGGCTGAAGGGCAGATCTTCTTGACGGCAGCGGTTGACTGGCATTGGGCATGTCTCCTACAACAGACTACACACTTTGATCTTCACAACCAATATTGCTGCGTGTCGGGTGTCCTGCTCCTGACATAGTATACTCTCATCGGTCGCGACGGGTATGAACGTGTGCTACTTGCTGCATATGCCATGGTCTCAGTGTCTTGAGCTTGCACAAGAGGGTTGTGTGATTGTAGGCCCATCCTAGACGCGGTTCACACTCTTCATACATATCTAGGCCACCGAGATACCGCCCGACGCCGTTCCTCTCCTTCGCCCTAGAGGATATACAAACATCCTCCACCAACACCACGAACATGATCGCTACCTACGATGCTCACCGTTGCCATGATTCGCAAACAGAATGGCAAACGTTGATGCTGGGAATTGCACCAGCCGCGCCTTCAATGTCATCGCACCGACACCACCATCATCGTGGGCAATATGACCAGAATAAGCAGAAAAGGTTTCTCGGGATCGTGAAGCCAGTCAGCCTGCTCGTGCTCGCACCCTCCCTTCCATTCCGCTGCGCCCCAGACACGGACACATTCTTGTTCCTCGTCTAGCCTCTCACTCGAATCCTTATCATCCTGCACGTCATCGAAGGGAACCGGTGCTTCCCCGACCATACTCAGTCAGGCAACTCTGATGCGTAAATGTTCGTCAGGAATGCGACCGGGCAGGATATATACACCTCATCAGCTCAGCGACGTGGTTTGAAGGCTCGTAGATATTGCGGGAGATTGACGTACGCGGCGACTGATTCCTGGGGCAGGCTGGCGATCCCTAGGCTCGGTGATCTGGGCTGAGAAGCGACGGTCGGCCGTGACCCACCGGTTGATATGGGCGATGATCTACAGTCGATGTGGAGTGCAGTGGATGCTCAAGACTCTGCAACTGCATTCCTGCGACAGGTCGGATGGCTTGAGCATTAGTCGCCGATGGTTTCCATCTGTCTGACACTCGGTAATCGCGATGCCATCTAGTTTCAAGCTCGAGATTCTCCGTTATTGAACCATAGCAGTACAATCCATTCAATTGCACCCTAGACATTACATTACAGGGACGCTCAACCAGACAACCTCATAAGGAGAATATCCCACGAACGGAGAACGCCATCTAAAACTTACCAACCGTACTCTACCCATCACAATCACAGAGCCTTCTCTACCCCAACGTCGTCCAACATCGCCTCTCCCTCGCGCCTGCCTCGCTCCAGTGTGTCCATCATTCTCGCCCAGATCCCCTCGTTGAGCCGCCCCTGCAGCCAATACCCCTCCTGCCTGCCCTCCTCCCAACGAACCCCGGCCTTACACGTTGTCAACCCATCGTCCATCCGCACTCCAAGCCCAGTCAGCAACTGGGTCAGCTGCGTGTTCCCAAGCACAAACGCGGGCCTTGTTCCCTTCACCTCGAGATCATACCAGGGGAGATGGCTCCACGAGGTGAGGGCCACCCTGGGTGTACGCGAGCCGTATCCCTTCGGCACGGCGGGGGTGTTCCTCACGGGGACATGCTGGGCGATAATCTGGGCGACACAGGCCGGCTCTCGGGCCTGGCGGATGGTGTGACGGAGGTGGGCAGCGATGCGGACGAGATCCTGAGCGACGGCCGGGGCGACGGGGACGTTGATCCAGGGGTTGGTGAGGGCGCCCTTTGGCGAGGCGACGTGCGACTGGATATTGAGGGTGAAGATGAGGCCGGTGTGCGCGCCGCGGGCCGTGGCCGCCGGGGGGAAGATGGACTAGAATGACGGAGCAGTGTTAACACGGAACCCACTCTTGCGCCAAAAGTTCGGCGCCCAGGGTGGTGCGAGGACGTACTTGGTACACAAACGCCATTAGCAGGTCGTGCTCCGTGACCTGGACGCCCTGGCTCTGGGCTTGGGACATCCAGTCATCGAGCCGCGTCTGCGGCACGAACAGCATCCTACGCACGCGACGGGCGGAGGTCGGGCAGACCGCCCAGAACCGCTGCCGCAGGTATGCGGCCAGGAAGCGGGTCCAGCTGACGCGGAAGCCCTGCGAGTAGCGCGCGGCGATAGGATGCGTGGTGCCCTTAGCAGCCATCTCGGCGCCGGATTGGATGACCTCCGGTTTGAGGACAAAGTCGGGGCGAACGGCGGGGTGGCGGTGGTGCGTGCCGGACAGGAAGTCGCAGTAGGTCTGTGCGATCCAGTGCACGCCTGACACTTCGTTAGGGACGAGTGCGGGCTCCGGGCGAGGGGAATAGCTGCTTACCTCCAGCGTCGGATAGCGCGTGTTGGACGATGAAGCGAATGACGCATGCATCACGGAGATGGACCGTTTGGATGGAGAGGGCTTGGTGGCTGTCATGCCTACCCGGTTTGCACTGAAACAGTCCCTCCAAGGTCTGAGGATCATAGAAGACAGGCTCGGGCTCAGTGTCTTCAGAGCGCGATCCTGCGGTGCTCGCCGGCACGAATTCCCCGAGGCTCCTGTCGACTGTCCGGGCGCGGAAGATGGCCTCGGGCTTGCTGTGACTGCGTTCTTCCTTGGTCAATTTCGAGCGCTGCTCGTCGCGAATTAGCCGGCCAGTCAACACGCTCGTTCGGCAATCCACGCACCATCAAATCCAACCTCGTCGCGAGAATCGGGTACTCGGCGACCAGCGCCTGTGTCGCTGCCAGGCATTCCCCCGGCGTCAGTCTCACTGGCACCGCAACAGTCAGATATACTTCGAGCTGCCGCGAGAACGACAGCTCCAGCGGCGAGAGCTTCATCTGCTGTTCCAAGGCGGTGTCGCGGGGTGGCGAGCAGGGCACCGCGTCGTCTCGCAGCTGTTTCTCCATGATGGCGATTGCTGTAATTCTCGAATCGCTCGCCCACCCCCTGGCGACTGCGGTTCGTATATATCCCTCCCTTTTCGCTCCGTATAGCTCGCGGTGTGGGGACCTGGTTGCTCGGCCACCATGCAGAGAAGAGCAAGCGAAGGGCTCGATCACCCACCGCGATCGTCATTGCGCCGTAATGAGGGATCTGGTGCGACGAACCACGCCAGGTCTCAGGAGATAGAGTGGGATGTTAGCGGGGGATGAAGTGGAGACCATGAGTCTAGAGCTTGAAGACACTGTTATGTGTAGGATAATGTTGTTTCGTAGGACTTTTTCTGCCGGCGTTGAGAGGCAGCCGGTGCCATTCCGGCCCTCTTCTGTGTGCCGCAATGCGCCCTCGCGAAGCCTGATTTGCATGTTTTCGTTTTGTTATCTACCTCATGAAGCAAACCGACATGTCCGAATGTTCAGGGGAGACCGCACGTGCGATCGACAGTTCGACCCCGCTGAACCAAGGAAGACGTTCTGTACTCCTGGCTTGGCGACTCAATCGGTGGGGGGTTCGGTAGAACCGGGCAAAGATCATCGAAGCTATTCCAGGCTTGTCACTGCTGCCGGGTTTTCCCCTCACCTTGACTCAGGACGCGCTGGAAGCGGGTGCGGCGGGTGTGAAGTCGAAGACCGGCATTGATTGCGATGACCAGCCATCGTCGACAGACTTGTCGAAAAAAACACACTGCGCGAACCCGATCGCCAACGATGTCTCCGAGAATCCGCCGATCGCGTCGATCGAGAGACTGCCTTTCCTGTCCATTGGCCACAGGGTTGTGGTCCTCCGACAGCTGACAGCTTCCCCCTTGCCAAACTCTGCAACTGCGTGCATCCCTTCCACGTGGCTGTGGCGCGCCGGGTCTGATGCAGCTCTCCGTCTTCATGCAGGGCCATCTGCAGCGTCTGATTGCGACTGCGGGACTCAGTGTTGAACGTGTCCAGTTGGTTGTGGCGTCGATGCATGAGACCTTCTACAGGGTCAGGATGCTGCATATACGCTGTGCGAAAGGGGAAGTCGAGGACCCAGCCGCTGCAGAGTGGTTAGGGTCTGTCGTGGAAGTACGGTTTATGTGCATCGCGGGAGGGGACTTTCAGCTTGACCTGTCAATGGACGGTTAGCCTTGTGCTCTTTGTGATGCTCTGAAGTCTGCGGCCCGGTGACGGGATAAATATATATGCGCAGATCGACTGCCGATGTGCCGGAGACAGTACCGCATTACGACCCAGAAGAGAAACGGGCGAATCAGGCCCCAAAAGCCCACCGAGCTTTGATACAGTTGTCGAAGTCATCGAGGTCATCCCATCCCACACTGACACTGACAAGGTTATCATCAAGCTAACGTCAACACACCAAACCGGCTTGTGCGGACTTTACGGTATCGTTTGGACGCCTGTTCAGAGGTATTGGGATAGACCGAATCGGGGGATCTCGAACGCGCTGCTGGGAAATAATCGCGCGGCGGTGTTCACGGTGCATATCGCTGCCGTCGAGGCGCTACGGGTATGTTGTTTGACTACGCGGCGGTGACGATGATGTATAGAGACTGGTTCGGCAGATGGATGAGACTGAGGGAAGTGAGTAAGCAGTTTAAATAGAGGGTCTTTCTTGTGGCGGGTTCTTCATGGGTGGACATGACGTGAGTCCAGTTGATGTAGCGTTGCATTTCACTTTGGTAGGAATGGAGCTGATTGTAGGATTGTCGGATCCAGATTAGATCATCTCGCCTAATTTACAGGTCGCCAAGCCTACCTCTGAGGCCTTGATGTCATTATCCGACTTGGAGTATAATGAATACCTACATTCTTGAACACTTGAAGCTTGCATTCTTTGTTTTGTTTAAAAGTCATTCGGGTGCATCGGCAAATAGAAGGTACTTATATATCTTCAGCTCGGTATAACCTTAAGCCTCTCAACCGAACACATATATATATACAAAGAGAGGGTCTAGGTCTACCCTTTTTCTCCGATGACTACCCTTACTTTGTTACCCTCTTCCACCAGTGGATCTCAGTAGTAGGGTCAGAAATTAGATAACCAGGGAGAATGCAGCAGCAGTAAAGTCCCGAGCCCCGACCTCCGACGGCACCACCTCGTAACGGAGCCTATGGTTCCGTTCCCGCGTGGTTGACAGAATTGACTCAGAAGCAAGACCAAAGAAGAAGACTGTGTCAAGACAAAACGACTGAATCCTTGCCTCCTCCACTGATCATCATATTCATGTAGGTCCACCCCACTGAAAGAAAATGCAGGAAGAGAAGGGGGGTGGGTGATCGGATCAGATTAGATTGCATTCCTTGCCGTGTCGCTAACCGACTGGTTACTGGTAGTTCCACCGTGGCCCAAGGATGTAGGACGTGGTCAAGGTACGGTTGGGGATCAGATACAGTGGGAGGAAATTAATATGCACCCCCCCCTCAGAAAGAGTTCAGCACTTTCCCTAATCAAGTCTAGCCTATGGCTATTCTGCCAGCTTCTTCCCATATATTTTAGGCGGTGTGTGAGCGCTTCAAGCAGGCGGTATCTCTAGAACCAAACATTGGGGGAGAGGGGGGGGTGCAAATTAATTTCCTGCGACTGTAATTTCCTGTCCCAGGGTGGATTATCTACTGATATTGCGTAACTAACAACTCACCCGGTGAACTGGGTCTGGGCGGGGCACAAAAGGGAAGAATTTTCTGCGGGCGCGACTAGCCTGGACTGTGGTTTTTGTTGTGCGGGAGGAAGTACTGTACTTCCCTCTGTACTGTACACATCTGTAAAGATACATACATACATACCATACAGCACGATAAAGACAAGACGTCTCTCTAAACTACCTGCGGTGTTAGGCAGCTCCCCTTGGAATATTCCACATGCTAAATCGCAGTGTAGCACAGTATACAAACGATTTCGCCGATTGTGCGACGTGACATCGCCTAAAAGGTACGTGTGTTTGCTGCAAGACAACACGACTGATCATGTGCAGATTGCATGTAACACCGCCGCCGTGTGTTGCGTTTGCAGGCTGTGTGATGTTCCACGCATACAGACTGTAATGTGACACAGCGGGACCGCCTTACATGCCGCAGTGTAACAGTCAAAAATACCGCGTTGTCACAGAGTAAAGTACCACTAAGCCAGCTGCACAAGCGGCCCGGCTCAGGATCTGATTAGACAACGCGCAAGCGGATCAGATAGACCAGTGGTGTGGTGCGTCGCACAACAACAGGATCTGATTAGATCAGGCGCGGGCGCGCTAGCTGGTTCGGGCTGCCAAGGGTGACCTAGTGGGCTCGGGTATTTTTGGTATTTCCTGCTGTTGAACTTGTTTACCGGGATGAGATGGAGCAACTTTTGAGTAGTGTACTGGCTAGGCAGTTACTCTCAGTTATGGTAGTGGTATCGACTGACTACCATGTGCTTATCTATACTATACACACTCTCAAACAACATGAACGAAAGATCTATTCTATTATTAAATACAGTATAACCCCAACACGGGACTCACGCAACAGTCTGATGCAGCACATTGGCGCGATAACTCTCGGAGCGCACCAACAACTCCTCATGGGAGCCACTATCGACGCAGCGGCCGGCCTCAATGAGGAAGATGACATCGGCCTTGCGGATGGTATTCAGACGATGCGCGATAGCAACCACCGTAATCCCCTTCGCCGCTCGCTCGAGCCCATCCTGCAGCAACTTCTCGGACTCAGCGTCCAGGGCACTGGTAGACTCATCGAGGATCAACAGCTTCGGCTTACGGACGAGGGCGCGCGCGATGGAGAGCCGCTGCTTCTGGCCGCCGGAGAACTGGCTCCCGGAGGGCCCGCAGAGGGTCTGATAGCCGTCGGGAAGGGCCATGATGGTATCGTGGATGTTGGCCAGCTTGCAGGCGTCGTGGATGTCGTCGAGTGAGACGTCGACGCCCGGGGGCGCGCCCAGCGCGATGTTGAACTCGATGGTGCCCTCGAACAGCACGCTCTCCTGCGGCACCAGCGAGATCGAGTCGCGGAAGGCCACGCCGCGCGTCTGCGTCACGTCCAGCCCGTCCACCACCACCGCCCCCTGCGCCGGCCGGTACAGTCGCTCCACCAGCGAGATGATCGTCGACTTGCCCGCCCCCGACGGGCCCACCAGCGCCGCAAACTTGCCCGCCGGGATCGTCAGCGTCAGCCCGTTCAGCACCTTGATGTCCGGCCGCGCCGGGTACGCGAAGTGCACGTCGCGCAGCTGCACCGTCGATGCGCCGCCGGCGCCGCCGGGGACGTGCTTTTCAGTGGTGGCGGAGGACGACTCCACGTCCGTCCCAAGCGACGGCGGCAGCCGGTCGACGTTGCCGCGCATCTTGTCCGAGCCGATCTCAATCAGCCCCAGAATGCGCGCCATGGCGGCCTTGGAGGCCGACAGCTCGGGGGCCAGCGCGAACATCTGACTCCACAGCAGGGCGCTGACCAGCAGCGAGAACACGACGATCAGGAACTGGGTCTGGGTGTAGTTGCCCAGGATGATCTGCTTGGCGCCCCACCAGTAGGCCAGGGCGTTGACCATGTTCCCCAGGAAATAGGTCATGGCCTGCCAGAAGCTGGCCTGCAGGGTGACCTGCAGGGTTTCCTTGCGGGGGCCCTTGAGCGAGCGGCGGTAGGTGCGCAGGGTGAGGTCCTCGAGGGCGAGGGAGGCGACGGCCTTGATGGAGGAGATGGCCTCGACGCCGATGTCGACGGACTTGGTGTAGGCGGTCTCGTGCTTCTCCTCGAACTGGCCCAGCACGCGCAGCTCCATCAGCCCGGCGCCCAGCAGCAGCGGCACCAGCGCCAGACACACCAGCGCGATGCGCCACGCGATGATGTGCGTCATGACGATGGCCGCAATCAGGTTGATCGTGATCGAGATCAGCGTGCCGACCACCGACCCGCTCAGTCCCGCCAGCGCCTGTCCGTCGCGCGTGATAAACGACAGCAGCAGCGCCGGCGTGCGACCCTCGCTCTGGTGCCACTGCAGGTCCTGCTCGAACAGCGCCCGGAACGACAGCACCCGCACCGTGTACACGATCTTCTCCGAGATGCGCCCAAACCCGGCCCAGCTGACCACGTTGGCGAAGAACTCGATGATCGCCAGGATGAAGAACATCAGTCCGTAGAAGTTGCCGCTGTCGCTGATGCTCGACGCGCCCTCGCACGGATTCAGACTGGCCACCGTGTTACCGAAGATCACCGCCTCGCCCGAGAACGCGCCGCCGACGATGGCGGACCCGATCAGCGCGAGCAGGATGTACAGGAGGTGCGGACGGAGCGCCGGCGCGTAACCCTTGGCTAGCGCCCACAGGGACTTCTTCGGGGTGGCGAGTTCCTCCGGGTCGGCCTCTTCGCCGGAGGACGGGGAGGAGGTGTTGGGGGCAGGGGTCTCGTGCACGACGGGCGACTTCTCCGCGGGATCAGCCAGGCTGGCCTTCTCGGCGTCGATTTCGACGTCTGTCAACGAGGGCTGGTCGGACCGGCTGGCGGTGTCGGCGGCGGCGGCGGCGGGGGCGTCGTCCTTGTCGCTGGCGGACGACATGCCCTGCAGCTTGACGAGGTCGGCGTAGGCGCCGCCGCGGGCCATGAGCGTGGCGTGGTCGCCCTGCTCGACGATGGTGCCCTTGTGCATGACGACGATGTTGTCGGCGGACGTGATGGTGGAGAGGCGGTGGGCGATGGTGATCATGGTGCGGCCGGAGGCGATGCCGTTGATGGCGCGCTGGATGCGCTGCTCGGAGCGCGAGTCCAGCGAGGCGGTGGCCTCGTCGAGGATCAGCACGGCGGGGTCCTTGATCAGGGCGCGCGCCAGCGACACGCGCTGCTTCTGGCCACCGCTGATCAGCCGGCCGCTGGAGCCCACCAGCGTGCCGTAGCCGTGCTGCAGCGCGCTGATGAACGAGTGCGCGTCCGCCAGCGTCGCCGCCTGCTGCACCATCTGCACGATCTCCAGCACCTCGCCGCCGCGCTGCGTCGCCGCCGCCAGCAGTTCGTGGCCCTCGCGCACCTCGGCCGCCAGCTCGCCCAGCTGTGGCGTCAGCAGCGTCGCCTTGAAGCGTGCGTGCTCCGGGTTACTCGAGTTCATCAGTCCATGCGCGATGTTCTCCAGCAACGAGCGGTCCAGCAGCGAGGGCTCCTGCTGCACCAGACTGAGGTAGCTGCGCAGGTCGCGCGTGTTGATCTCGCGCAGGTCGTGGCCGTCGAACAGGATCTGGCCCTCGGTGGGATCGTACAGTCGCGTCACCAAGCCCGCGATGGTCGACTTGCCGCTGCCGGACAGCCCGACCAGCGCGGTGTGCTTCTTGGCCGGGATGAGCAAATTGATCTTGTCGAGGACGGTGATCTCGGGGCGCGAGGGGTAGACGAAGGAGACGTCCTTGAACTCGAAGCCGCCGTCGGCGTGGCGGTCGGTCAGACGCAGACCGGCGTCGGTGGTGGCGTCGATCAGCGGGGTGCGGTCCATGTCCTCGCGCAGCTTCTCGTAGGAGGCGACGCCGGCGACGAACAGATGCAGAAACGGGGCGACCTGGCTGAGCAGCAGGGTGGCCTCGACCAGAATGAAGATGACGGTGAAGACGGCGCCGACGCTGATGCCGCTGGTGCCGTCACGGACGTGGGCGGCCACCTGCTTGGCACCCTGCCAGAACGCCAGACCGTTGGCCGAGTAGGCGATGAAGTACAGGAACCCGGCCTGGATGCCTACCGCGGTGGCCTTCTTGAGCCCCTGCGTCTCGGCGGACTTGAGCGCGCCCGCGAACTTCTGCTCCAGACGGGTGTTGGCGCCGAAGGCCTGCACGACGACGATGTTGTTGAGGGCCTCGGAGGCGATGGAGGCGGCGGTGGCGGCGTAGTCGGACATGGCGCTGGAGTATTTCTCGATGTAGTGGCTGCCGATGAACGACATGAGGAAGTAGGCCGGGATCAGCGACAGGAGCTCGGCGGCCAGCTTCCAGTCCTTGATGAAGGCGACGATGTACGCGGTCACGAAGAACGACAGGCTGGCCAGCACGATGCCGACTTTCTCGGAGGTACCGGAGCGAATGGTCTGGATGTCGCTGCTGAGCCGTGAGGCCACCTCGCCGGGAGGCAGGTTGTCGAAGTACGAGGGCTCCTGGCGGAGGAGGTTGCGTAGGTATTTCTCGCGGAGCCGTTGAGCGAGGCGGGCCCCGGACAGCGTCCAGCAGGTCAGGTGGATGTAGATGAGCACGAACTGCGCGATGCCCAGGTAGACGATCAGCAGGATCTCGTGGTTGATGCCGCCTTGGTCGGAGTCGCGCTCGCTGGTGGTTTCGGGGTGGTCACACGAGATGGTGTTGAAGTCGTCCAGGAGTTGACCGAAGATGATACCGATGATGGGGAAGGGCACGCCCGACCCAATGGCCGCCACGATGCCGGTCAGCAGCACACACACCTCGTACTTGGTCGGGTTGCCGGCCAGCAGCAGACGGGGGAAGCCCGCCAGCTTCTTGACGAACATGTTGGAGGAGGAGGAGGAGGAGAGGGAGGGAGGGAGAGGCGGTCAGAGTGGTGGAGTGCCAGATTGGCAGTGCAGTGCCGGTGCGACGCCCTCAGGAAAGGAAAAGCCTGCTCATGCAAAGGGGAGGGAGTGGCATCCACAGTCCTGGGGGTGGTGGTATAGGTGTTAAGGAAGATGAAGGAGTGGGAGCAAACGCAGAGCAGAACAAGAGCAGAACAAGAGCAGACAGCGGTGCTGAAGAATGTCGGCTTGACAGGGGCCCCTCCGGTGCTTTTACGTAAGGTGAGGAAGTTTTTGGAGCTGCATGGCTGCATGGCTGCTTGGCTGCTGCTTGGCTGGAGGGGGAAAAGATAATCAATAATCAATCAGAATGATCTCTTCTCCACTGCCGATACCCAATCTTTACCTGGTCTGTACAGTATGGAATTGTATGATTTTGTATGGGACGGTATAACCCTAACCGGCGGTTCTGATACCGTATCGTCGCTAATGCCCCGGCCTTTTTTTCGCCGCTGATAGCGACGAGGCCAGGGCAAGTGCGCCGGGACAGAGGCCAATAATAGAGAATAGAAGACTGGGGCTGCGTGGGATTTCGATCAGATAAATTCTCTGATCCGTCGAAAGTCGCTACTCGGTGCAGCGTGAGTCGTGACTGACATTCGAGTGCTTCCTCGACATGCAGCATGCAAGAACTTGACTCGTTGAACGAGGATTCGAATAGTATCTGATCAGACATAATAGCACTCACTTCCCTGCACTCTCAATTCCTAATCCCCAATCCCCAATCCCATACACGTTGGCAAGCAAACCCGCGGTGAACAACCGGCAAAAACGGAGCCCTGAAACCAACGCAACCCACTCTGCCCTCAGTCACAACATCATACGAACCCACCGGCGCCTCCCTTTCCAAGGCCTGTCATGCGCGCCAGCGTCATGCATACGAGCCTGGTTCCACCGCAGTTATCTGATCCTGGGCAACCCCTCCTCCCTTCTTTCAGGTGGGTTGGTTGTGTCTACTGTATCCCCGACCACCGACAGCCCCCGGGCGCGAGCCCTGGTTGCTGTAGCTGGCTCACCTACACACACTGTAAATACAAAGTAAACCAGACTTCTCACCTCCAGTAGAACATCACAATAACATAACCTGCCCACGAGTAAGCCACACCCGCACAGAGCACCCGTTCGCTCAAGGCGAAGAAATTCACGGTCGCAGATCGGAGGCCCACGGCTAAGACTTTGCGTGCCTGCAATGCCAATGCTGCCAATACTGCCAAGTCGAGCGCAGCGCGAGTAAGCTTTTGCGACAAGACATGGCCAAGATTTAGATGCGATTTTCTACAACGTCTGGAAATTCGGGTCATTGCAATGGTGAAATGCAGTGGAATTAAAAACTAGATAAATAGGTAGGTATAACTAGAACAACGGAGTGCAACAAGGATGGACTCGCGAATACAGGAGGATGGCCACATCGGCCAGGTATCTGAAAGGGGGGAATTTCGATCGACAGTCTTGCGAGCTGTTCTTTCTCTCTTTTCCGAGGTCTACTTTTTTGTGTCGTGGCATCTACCACACAGTACCATGCACCTGCTTCTTCTTGCGCAGGTCGATGTCGCGGATCATGAACATCCAGATGAACGCCAGCGCGAACAGCCCTGTGCCCACGGCCAGCATGCGCGTCTGCGCGTAGCCGTACGCCTGTTGGATGGCCAGACGCGTGGCGCTGCCGACCGGGTAGCTGAGCTGGGTGTCGAGTTCCTCGTAGATGGTGTCGATGTCCGGCAGCGCCGAGGCGGGCAGGTACTTCTCGAGTCCACGCTGGAAGGTGTTGGTCCAGATGGCGCCCGAGATGGTCGAGCCGATGCCGTCGGCCACGGTGCCTACGACGTTCAGCAGCGCCAGCGTGGCGGCGACGTGGCGGTGGTCGACGGCCGCCTCGACGGCCAGCTGCTGCACCAGGATGAAGACCGCGCCGCCGATCGAGATGAAGATCTGGCACATCACCAGGTAGCCCACCGACTGGTTGGGACGGCGGAAGTAGATCATCAGCCCCTGTGCGAAGATGTACAAGGGCACGGCGATATACAGCAGCCACCGGAAGCGTCCCGTCCGGCTGATCAGCCAACCGATGAACAGCAGCAGCACGCCCGACACCACGTCGAACGTGTTGTTCACGTATCCAGCCTCTGCCACGCTCAGGTCGTTGACCACCTGCAGGAACGAGGTGAAGTATCCGTCCCAGCAGTAGTAGCAGATCTGGTATGTCGCGTCCAGCAGACACGCGCCAATCACCGTCCGGTCCGTCAGGTACTCGAACTTGAGCAGCGGTGCCTGTGCGAAGTAGTATTCCCAGATCGCGAAGAAGATGATCATCGAGAAGCCCACTACGATCATCGCAATGATGTAACCTGTGCCCCAGCCATCGGGCGCCATGGCCGCGATGTCATAGGGGAGAAAGAAGACGACCAGACCGGCGGAGAACAGCAAGACGCCAACCACTTGATGAATTGGTTAGTACAAACAGGTCAAGATCCTGGATGGTGTTACTCACGGTCGAATTCCATAACCCAGTACCAGATGCTCTGCATGAGCGTGCGGCCGCTCTTCTCTCGCACGAGACGACCTTCCTTCTGGGCCTTGCGGATGTTGTACTTCAGAATGCAGTACAGCGGGGCGGCCACCACGGGGAAGATGATGGCGAAGGCACCGAACGCCCACCGCATGCTCATGCCCAGGGCATCCTCACCGGCCTTGGGACCCGCGAAGGCCGAGATGATGTAGGGCGAGGAGGTGAAGGCATACGCCAGAGCTCGGTTCTTCAGCTGGGACGCGTCGGCCGTGAGGGTGTCCACACAGAAGGTGATGCCGGAGAAGCCGACGTTGTAGAACACATAACCCGCACAGAAGGTGGGCAGGTTGTTGCAGGCGGCCATGATGATCAGGCCCATGGTGGCCACGATGGCCATGAACAGGAAGCCTTCCGCACGGCCCCAGACGTCCATCATCTTGGCCAAGGGGATGAAGATGGCGGCCGTACAGGCGTCGGACACGACATAGATGACGTTCAAGAGGGAGTGCGAGTCCCAGGCGGAGGTGAGATAGGGGACCAGGGTCGACAGGATTTCCACCTGGAATGCATTGACGAAGTAGAGGAACCAGATGCTGTGGGAGTGGACGGTTAGAGGGGATGCTTCGCTTCTTGCTGAGGGTCGACGGCAGCGGACGGAAAGACCTACTTGATGAAGACGGCGATCAGGGAGGCCTTGGTCCAGGTCGCGGTGATGGCCTCGACGCCGTGGGTTCCGGCTTGGTCCTCGGTCGAGTCAGGGTGTTCTTCATCAGAGTCGCTGTTGGTGGTCGGGGCCACGCCAGCCTCAACGTTTTTCTCTTGGGTGGTCGCTTCGACGGGAGTCATAGTAGGGGCAGTGCCGGCCTCATCCGTCGTTGACCGACGGAAGGGAGCCCGCAGTTTGGTGAACATGGCGAAAGGAGGGGAGCCGTGCTGGGATGAACCTGCGAGGGGAGGGATGAAAGGACTCAACAACGGACAACTGAGGCGCAAGGGAGGTCCATGCCCTTATTAAATAACCTTGCGTCGGGCTAGCGCGTAAGACAGTGGTCGTGGTGGTGGACATCACCGACGACCGACTCGACTCGCTCGCACACGCAGTTAGCGCATGAGGCATCTGGGATTTTAGGATTTCAGGAAATGTGCTCCGATCCACCCCATCTGATTAGTGCTTAGTATGCTGGGTAACTTTCCACCACCGGAGCTAGAGTGGGCCGCCTTTGCCAGCACTGGACGATGTGGCTAAGGCTTCGGCCGGGCGGAAACGGAGGGAAAGGTCGACGACTCGAGAGGGAAGTGTGGGCAGGTGCAGTGCCGGTATCGTATGTCTGGAAGATACTGTATGTAAAGTACGGCCATGCAGCAATACAGTAATTCGAGGGACACCAACGATACCAGCGAGACGGATAGATGCTCTTGGCGCAGCGAAACCGTCACAAAAAGAGGGGCATTTTGAATGCGATGGAGCTCTCTTCTCCCCCCACTTCTGGTCTGGCAAACCCTCTCCACCTATCGCTAAATTGCTGGCTACTCGTACTGGGTACTGGGTACCTTGGCTCTCGAGGCGGGCCAAACGTGGCCGATGGAACAAGTCGTGGACTGACTGGTTTGCGGTGTTGAATAATGAATATCCTCCCCTCCCCCTCCTGCTTAGGTTATCTGATCGCGATCTTGTCTTATCTGATCCGTGGCCCTCGCTATCAGATTTTTCACCCTGGAGCCCGTCACGCAAACCAAGTGGATAAAGACTGGAATGATGGGGACTCGGCGTCTCTCAGTCCGTGGGTAACAGCCTGGTAGCGAATTCAGGAGCGTCACCGGCAGTTTAGAGGTGGACTAGCCTGGCTCCTTGCAGCTGTTCTGAAGCGTGGTTTGGTGGCCTTGACCTTCCCTCCATCCACTCACCCACTCCGCCGAACTCTTCTTTCCTGGCCCCCGTCGAACTGGATTCGTTAAAGGCACTCCGCAGCAATATCAATTGATTGATGTAATGTGATGATAGCTACCTGCATCACATCCGGAGTAATCCTGCCGACCGGGATTGATCTCTTGGGGTTGTGTGATAGGATCCACTCGATCGCCACGGTCGCACCGGGCCACGCCCACAACAGCTCAAGCTCATCCGATGAAAGGGAACTGGAAGTAGTCATTTGAATGCTCTCACAAGGCTGCATCGCTTTCCTGTTGAATGCCTTGCTTCCGCCCCATGAATCGTGCAATGGAAAGCGCCATGCATGGGCGAGATTACTTTATCCACAGCCCCCCTGCTAGCCGGTGACGGTTGCTGTTAGTTTCAGCTCAGGCACAACGGCCGCCCCGGTCGCCTCACAGGGAAGTAAGCCGACGACTAGGGATGCAAGCAGCTGTGAAGAACGGGTGTAGCCCGCCGACGCAGACGCGAGGACGAGCAGCAAAGGCTTGACTCGCGGCACACAGATGTGGATTTACGAGTACACTCTGACATTGGACGCAATACGCTCGTCCTGCTGTCAGAGAAAGCAAGAATAGGGCGAATGACGGAGACGAGAGAGGAGAAGGTGGCAATGACGATGGCGAGTGAGTATCTTCCGATGGCCGGACCTTGCGTTCCGTGAGCATCCCTGCACCCTCCTGGTCATACTGACGCTTCTTTGGCTGGCTGGCTCTTGATGAATCACGGTGAACAAGTGGCGTAGTGGCAACGGGGAGCTTACGCTGCCTCAAGAGAGGCGGACGCAGGCAGCGTTTGGCCATCAAGTGTCATGATGACAACAAAAGGCAATGTCCGCTAGATACTGCTAGTCGAGCGCCGGCACCGGAGCACGCACAGTTGCACCATTCAAGACTAGGAGATGGTGGATTCACCCCAGTATGGTCACGGGTGGCCTTACCCATTGGCTTTCCACTATCATGTAGATGTCTCCCTCTGCTGTAGCCGAATACAGTCTTCTCAACATCTTAACCCTCATCACTGAGTTTCATCGGATTTGGAGACAATGAGAAAAGATCCGAAAACACCCCGATGCTGCGGAGATGAGGGACGAAGCATCTCATACTCGCAGCCAGCTCCACTTAGGATGGTTTGCGCCGACCTCCTGACTATGCCACGAGTCTTTAGCCGGTGGGATGATGTACGGGTTTTCTCTGCAGTGGGTCTAATGGTTTTGCTCTAACTCTCCAGCGTGCTTCAGGGGTCAGTTCTACTCGCTTTGTCTGCTTGCGCTGTGATTTTCATCACCTTTGTTTCTTCGTTAGTTGACTTTTGTTGGATGATTGAACTCAACTCCGGTTCAAACCCAACGGTTGCTCTACATTCATGTGGCTTGGTCTTCTGCAAGCACTGACTGGGATTATAAGTCAGCTCAATTTCTCGCAGCTCTACCCTGTACTCGAGCTTCTTTCTCCTGAGCGGAATTGACCGCTTGCGCGCTACCCGACCCCCAGGCAGACTTATATATCCATGACAAACCCAGAGAGTAGTCCTCACGTCTTGTAGGTTGCACTGCAGCACACCTTGGCCTCGGTATCTGACTAAAATTGGACAACGTCCCAGGAAGCGCCGTACAGCATGCCATATCCCGCCTTCTCTCTTCCCTCATGCAATTTGCTCAGCAGTCTACAGTATGCCCGACCTTATAGCTAAGTGGCGCATCTCTTCTAAACCTGCTTGGCACGATTAGGGACGGGGTTGGGTCTTAATCCTGTTGCTTAGTTCTCATCCTTTGTGGATTCTTTACTAGGTGAAATCAATTTTCGGTGAGCGTAGTTGCGGTCATATCTTTAGATTCGGCCATTCAAGGGGTGAAAGTCTCTGAGTACGGGAGCACGGTGCTCAGCTACGGTCAATTGACTACTGCCAGATCGTCAGGATGGAATTCATTATGCTGTACTATGTGCGTACTAGCTATTCCGTGGCCTGTAGGCGGCTTGCTTATCGATGTACTGTCAACAGCCACAAGTGGCCGCTACATGACCTCCATTGCGCAGAGCCGACGTAGAGAGACAGAAAGGAAAGAGAAAAGCAACAACAAATTGAGAGAAGATTGAGCCAAGCAGACGACAGAATGAGCCAACAGTGTCAGCGAACAGACTAGGTACGTGATCTGCCAATATGCGTTGACTAATATCGCATCAGAGAGTAAACAGAGAAACAAATGAAATCAGGCAGAGCTTGACGTGATGTAAGAGAAAGGTCAAGCCAGCATAAATAAAAAATCAGTCAGACTGATCACTGAGAATCATTCAGCCCATTATGGCTCGACACGAATCCAGCTCTCAGCCGCGCCAACTGCTGTCGGAACATGTACGTCATGAGAACACGCTGAATTTCGTAATATTCATATGCTTGCGCCCACTCAAGAGCAGTGAAACCCCAAGAGTCCTCATACTCCATCACCGCACCGAACTCCACCAACACCATCACTGCCAGCAAGTGGCCGCGACGAGCCGCGTACGTGAGGCAGGTACTCCCCCCCGGATTCCGCAAGTTGACCTGCGTCGGGTCGTGATTCAGCAGACGCCGAATAACCTCGTCGTGGCCTTTTGCTGCAGCCCAGAAGGCAGGGGTGCGTCCGGACGAGTCAAACCTCGTGGACTCGATGTCTGGGTGGTGAAGCAGCATGTCCACAATCTCCTTGCGACCATGCTCGGCAGCGTATGAGAGGGCAGAGCGATCGTAAACGTCCAGCATGTTGACCATGACGTCCGAACGCTGAATCAGCTTCCTAGCGATCTCGATATAGTTGTACTCGACGGCAAGAAACAGTGGCGATCCACCAAAATTATCCCGGGTGTTTGGGTCCACACGCGGATCTTGCAGGAGTGCATCCACAATATTCATCTGTTTGGAAATCAAAGCCATCTGGAGAGGTGCAAGTTGATGGATGTTCTTGATGTTCGGATTCAAGTCCTGGCGCTGCAGCAGAATTTCCACCATCGCCAACGATTTGTGCTCGACAGCATGCGACAAAGGAGTGTCTTGCACGATGTGAGGTGACGTATAAACACCATTGGGATTCACGTCTCTGCGCTGCAGAAGGAGATAGGCGACATTGAATGCCTTCTTTTTAGTCGCCCAGCAGAGCATAGAACAGCCTTCTTGGCAAATATTCCCGGCTTGGAACCCCTGGAATCTGTGTTTGAGCGTCTGGAGCAAAAGCTGCACAACGTCGACATGGTCGCGAGTGACCGCCCTCCAAAGAGCATCAATCATGTCGTCCCAAGTTATCTGGCTGCCCAGAACGTTGAGAAACAACTGGACAAGCTGCACGAAACCACCTCCTGCGGCGGCACCAAAAGGAGTCCAATTTTCTCCCCTGCCGCTCCGCCAGTTGATCTTAGGGTGGTGCAGCAGGATGTTCACGACACTGAACCTGCCCCAGTTGCAAGCCCAGAAAAGCGGGGACCCCTTGCTACACTTCAGATTCACATCTACAGCCGGGTATGTAAGAAGAAAGAGGACAATAGCGAGGTCGCCTCTCATGGCTGCAATAGCGAGCGGGCTGCTTTCATACCCAACAATGTTTGGATCGGCCCCATGGTCCAGGAGTAGTTTGGCAATATCCAGTCGCCCCATCTCAAATGCAGCGAAGAGTGGTGTCCCCAGAGCCTTGTCGTGGCAGTTGACGTCGCAGCCGCGACTGATCAGTGCCTGCACCACGCCAATCTGCCCAGTGCAGACTGCAGTAATAAGCTTCTGGGCGATAAGGCTGCAAGACACAGGGTCTGGCTTGTCGGGTCGTATGAATTGTTCGCATGTCTTTTTCCGCTGTTGGTAGGACATGACCGAGCTGCACATATTCTTGACAGTGAACACTGTGATCCGGTCCAGATCTCTGCCAGTCGGCGCCGAGCCCAAAACAAATGTCTTGATTTCTGACATAATAGGCAGGAGGATAGAGCAGGCTTCGGGCTTCAGGCTAGACACTTCAAACAAAATCTTGTTCACCAGAAGGGAGCGCAAACAGTCACGGTTGACCTTGGCGCTGGACCTCTTCAGATCCCCCCACTGAATCTTAATTAGGACGAAAAGCGAGATGAAGACATTGAAACGCTCTGTGAGGTAGAAGCTGTTACTATCTGTGGTTAACACGCTGGCTGGGACGACTTACTGCACACGCGGCGCAGGTCCAAGACTTTGAAGTCCTCCTCGCGACTATTCCAATCCTGAGGCACCGTGTGTTCCAGGATAGGCTCCAAGATCTCAGAGGGAAATTTTGACAGATCCATTTCAGCGCTGGGATATGAAATTGATGTTTCGGGTGGAATGTGATGTTGGTTGTAAGAGAAAATCCCGAGTGAGGGTAGGTTTGACTATAGGAGTTGAGAAAGGAAAAGGCAGAAGTGAGAAAACACCAAGGAGAGAGTTCAAGAGATGGGAGAATTCAGATGCAGTTGGGGCGAAGGAGTGGTTGGGCGTGTTATGCGCTGCCGCACTCCAATGTGTTTTTCTTTCACTTTAGCAAGCAGAAGGGGAGGACAGTATTCACTAGCCAAACCAAACATGGGCCGGAAAGTGGCAGAATCCCCAGTAAAGCCGTGCGCATGGCTGGTCAGGCAAAGTCACATCCTCTCAGTTGTCGTGGGTTGGACTGTCGGCATGCCAACATAGGTTGTGTGCGCGCATACACATATACTTCCTTCCACCCAATCCAGGGTCTAACAGCAGACTTGGCAATTTCCCTAGTGTTGCGGGGTCGGCCAAACTAACTCAATTTCTCCTCAGTCCAGACAATCTCTCATGGCCGACCTGCATATCTGCATATCTGCATTTATACCCTTGAACCCTCATCCCTTTCTGGTGGACCCTCTCTCGATCTCTTCGGGTGGAGCAGGGCTGATTGGTTTGGCTCTGCAGGTTGCCCCTGTTCTCCAATCCTATGTCGCCGGCGTCAGATCTGCCCGCGATGATGTTCAAGCTTATCTCGACGAGGTCAGGGCCCCCTCTCCCATGTGTTAGGCCGGGTGTACACGTTTCTCGATTCGTCCGGCATGACAAGCGACCGCTTCTAGACAACAGAAGCTGTGCTGCTGCAGACCATAAAGTTCTGCGACAAGTTTCTGCTCGAATTGATACGATTGCTGAGGAATCCAGTGGGATTGACAAAGAGGTTCTTGTGGCACTTGGAACAAGCCAAGGTCGAAAGCATCATCACGCAGATCAGACGATACAACCAGCTTTTTCACTTCTCTTTAAGCGTCGAAGGATGGTAGGCCCGACTCCTACCGAAAATTTGAGATGCACTGCTAATTTTCCGCTCTTCGCAATAGGGCCGTTCAATCGCAAACACCTGAACAACTGACCGCTATCCTGCAGTAACAAATGCAAATGTCGGAGAAAATGCACGAGATCATCGAAGCGGCTTCACTGTCGGCAACGTGAGCCAGAATATACCAGGAAAAGACAGAAGAATTGGTTTCAGTGCTGGAGAACGTGGCATTATTCGCGAATCCAGCCAGACAACTGTCGGAGTTCCAGAAGAGCATCGAGAACATTGGTCGTGGCCTGCAAGGTGAGCATCACCCCTGCAAGGTTGTGAGAATGCTGATATTTGACCCAAGAGTCATTGTGTGTCCGGGAAACCCCAGGGCTCTCGGGAAAGTATGCTGATCGGTCTCAATGATTTCAAAGCTGTCCTGCTTCCCTGTGGCAGGAGCGACAGATGTGGCTATGGCGAGCGACTTCATTTCATTCCATTTGCCCGCGCAAGATAAGCGGGAACTCAAAATCCTCGAATGGCTTACGCATAACCAAGGCCCGAGTCGCCACCCTGAAATACGAAGATATCGAACCCCAGGAACCGGTGCATGGGTATTTTCCCAGCCACAATTCAAAAAGAATGGATCGATATTGATTCCACAGCAAATTTTCTGTGGTGTATTGACGGACCCGGCTTTAGAAAGTCAACATTGATGTAAGTATAGCACTTGGGCTGGGATGTACTGGTCCACTAATGTTGCACAGGTCATTCGTGATTGACGAGGTCCGAAGCTCTCACACCGGCGCGGATGCAGCAGCAGTGTACTACTACTGCGACTATCGGATGCGTACCTCACAGCCTTTGGTTTCAATACTCGGGTCCATGATAAAGACATTTGCTGAGCGGTTGAATAGCCTCCTACCCTCCCTTAGTCAGTTATATGATACCTGTCACCGGGAGAGCCGGCCACCTTAGAAATCGGAGCTGGACGCCATCCTGAATGAGGTCTGCTGTCTACTCAAGTCTCCGCCCGTTCTGATCGATGCACTAGACGAGTTCAGGCCTGCAAACTCGACACAGACCACACTGTTTATCCATCTCCTAGACAAGCTTTCGAAGAGAGGCACACGTATCTTTATGACAAGTCGGTGTGGACCCGAGCCTCACTCGGCCGTGGGGAATGTAGTGCTACAGTCCGCGGCCGACAGTCCAGATATTCGATCCCGCGTCACGTACGTCCTTCGGTCCGATGACTCGATGCTCGAAATCCTCGATCAACAGTTGGAGAAGGAGATATGCGACACAATTGTTGCTCAAGCAGGTGGAATGTAGGAGCCCACTGTAAGCTCGTTTGACGCTTGACAGCTGCTGACCTATACAGATTCCTGCTAGCAGCTCTTCATCTGCAGAATATCCGCGACCAGGTCAGCCGAGCAGGCATTTGCAGGTGTCTCAACGGACTGAGCAGCGATCTGGGTAGCGCCTATGACAAGTCCTTCCAGGTGTTGAGCCACCAATCCCAGTCACGGAAGCGACTCGCGCTCAATGCCTTGCGATGGGTGGCTTGTGCGTACCGTCCACTCACTGCGCTGGGATTGCGCCACGCCCTGTACTGCTGGCGGGAGGGCGTTCAACAACTTGGCAAGACGGTCGTCATGTCAAGCGAGAGACAGTGAAATATTTGAGTCTCCCAATGAGGATGTCTTTCACGAACTTATAGTTATAAGAGCTGAAGCCGTAGGAGGATTCCCTTGAGACCCAGAAGAGGAGAGTTAACATGAGCGGCCATAGTTGTGTGAAGTATAACACTAGATCTACCCGGAAGGTGCTGCCTTCCTAATTTGTGAAGCGAGGCGGTGAGGGGACGCACGCGGCAGAATCAAAGATCACGTGCATGTGCATATCAACACTACAGGCAGAAGGAGATCGGAAATCAAGTTGTATAGTCCTTATGGGTACTCTGTACAATATTTGAAGTAGGGAGACTAGCTACCAGTATATAATGGCAGGATTACAATACAGTAGACTTCTAAGCATTCATCACTATAGTGTGATCCTCTACCCCTTAGATACACGTGGAACGAAGTCTGAATAATATACAAGACTTAGTATAACTATGTAAAGCAGACATCGTCGTCCAGGAACCAATCAAGTCTGTAGCAGACGATCAACATTTGGGCTTACCTTCTTACCACTGCATTTGACTGGTGGTCATGACTTCTCTATTCCCGCTCATGCATCTCTAATGTTCGGATGAGGCTAGAATGGGCGGCGAAGTCGTCAGCTCCGGAAGAACAACCATTCCAGTGATGAGACGAAGACAGCACCTACACCCAAGACGTTCCGGAAACATATTCTAAAACTCTAAATTGTGGAGCTCGTAGTCTGAACCCATGGGCGGGGCATAATTTTGCCAAGCCGGTGGTCTCGTGTGGGAGATGTCTTGTGTGGCAGATGTCTCGGGAAACAGATGTCTCAGCCCTCTCTAGAGAGAAGCCTTCGTCTCTTGATGGATGGCTGGGCAACTCCAAAAACTCGTAGAAATATAGCAAACTGTCCCTGTCCGCAACTATAGCATCACTGCATAGGTCATCCTCTTCCCTCGGCGGCCTTACCTATTCTCAGACAAATGCCAAATCTAGGTATTGGGGCTGTTACCAGAGTACGATATCTTTCCCGGCATGCCTGTGAAGGTGGATGTAAACACCGCAGGGCCACCGTCGAACTGTTCTACCACACGGGCGAGAGAATGCGCTATGTCAAGACACCTGCAGTTGAGGCTCACCAATGTCTTTCTCCTTTCCCTCGGCTTTGCTCGCAATCATATCATTGATGATCGATACGATGAGGTCAAAGACCAGGACAGAGATAGGTGGGACCTTCAACAACTCCTGTCTCCAGATCATTCCCAGACATCGGATCTCAGTGCACTCGTCATCGCGCTTGTTCTTGGCTCCCGCCTTTGTGCAGTAACGACGCAATTCAGGCTTTGCGAGAGGCTTGAGGATAGCGAGCTTGGCTGGTTGGACTCTCCAGGCCGGCGGGTGAGATACAGCGGCGCCCAGATAGATGACTCCTGTGGTGAGGGAATCTCTTGGATGGAGCTCGGATAGGCGATGTCTATCGTCTCGCCCTTCGATTGGGTCAGAAAAGCCATCGCCGGTTTCTCAATGACATCGTTTTTCGCGGCGAGGTGGGCTTTACGCTGCACTTCGATGATTCTGTCTTTTTCGCTTCGTGTGTCCTGAGGAATGGGTCGCACTTCGTGGTTGTCTTCAGCTTTAGTCTCAAAGGATTAACGGGTCTGACTTACGCTTCACTGACTTGCTCTACTGTCGCTCCATTTCCGCTTCCATATCAACCTTGGGTTCAGAGGCTGCCTCGTCCTTTGATATACCGGCTTCGCTGTCGGTGTTGTGGTCTGCTTTGTGCTCAGCTGGAATCGCGGCAGGCTTGACTTCAGGCTTCGCTCTGTGACTGATGCTCTGGTGAGTCTCGTGGTTGATTTCAGCTTTTGCTTGAGATTTCGGATTGAGGTTGGCTTCCTCATTATCAGCCATGGTTGAGTAGTTTGTTGGTGGTGTTTATAATGGAGGGAAGCTTGTGGATACTGAATTGAATGAGAGGATAGCGAAGGAGAAAGAGAGCGCCAGCTGACTGTTGAGTGAATGAGGAAGAGAAGGTCTGCTGCTATGCAAACGAGCAAACAATCTTCATCACATGACTCCCTCCCCCATCCTTGATAAAACTTCCCCAACGGACATTTCTTCCTTTTCCTTCTTCCCATGGAACTTGAATCGTGCAATTTTCTATCTCATTCACGCTGCAACTGTGCCTCCTTTGGGCCAGACTTAAAATACCGACACCGACTAGATCAATGCCTGAGTCCAACCAGATTTGACTACATCATTCACCTCCTTCTCGCCTGCAATAATACTAGACGTCTGCTTCCCATCAGATGCGACACGCATGGCCTTCTCAGACAGCGTCACATGCGAACAGTCATACATCGAGTCAAGCCAGGACTGTGACGAGGTGATTTCAAACGCCCACCAGCCCTGGAGGGAATATACAATCGCGTCCACGAGCCGGAAAATAGCTTGGTCTGACCTGAACCGGCTCTTGGCCACGATCGCAGCTTGCACTACAAGATCCGTCAGTCAGTCATCCTTCGAGCCGGGCAACGCGTCACTTACCAACTGAATCATCCAGGTGATGGATATAGTCCCAACACCGATCAACGGCCTCCTGCAGGGTCTCACCAGTCCCTCGCATAAGCCAAGCCACACAGTTTATGCTGTCCATGTCGATGCGGCCATCGTTCAACATCAGCTCCTTGGGCAGGGAATAGAGGTCGTTGACAACGCCACTTTGAAGACAAGCCTCATCCATGAGAAATTGCATAGCGGGATCATCCCAAGCACTGCCGGGGATATGCAGATCGAGGGCAAACTCCATCCAGTGGAACAGTATGTACATGCCCGTGCCGTCGATCCGATCGCGCTTCCAGTCCTCAAGGTCGTCCGAGCGGGCCTTGCTCGAGCCACCCTCTTTCGTCGAGCGCATCGCCGCGATAGCCCTGACACTTAGCCCACCGAATCATTCTCGAATGAAGGAAAATGGGAATTACCTTTCGAGGTAGTCGGCTGCACGGAGGAAATGGTCTTTCCTCGGACTGAGACGGAACATCTCAGTGAGGACTTCCCGGACATAACGCAAATATTCGGGGTAGCTTTTGTCGCCCAGGGCCGGATACCCCGCCGTTGCAAGGAGTCTCATATCATCTGGTAGGCTCTTCAGTCCCCGCCCCAGATGAAGCATCTCGCGCTGACTGAAGCAGGGATACTCGAACAGGTTCTCGAAGAGCAGCAGGCAGGTGAGCCATTTACAGAGGATGACTAGTCGGTCACGGCTGGTGGAATGCGGGACCATGAAGGCCACAAGCGCGGGTATACGCATCGAGCGGATCGATGCTGCCTTGCTCTCGTCGACCGTTGGAAGGATGGCCAGCATCTCGTCCATGATTTGATCGCTCATTGCCTGGGTGAACAGCGGATGAAGACCCCGGATCTTCGTCGTGGGCGGCCAATAAGCTGGCCAGCGAATACCATCGTTTTTTGCAGCCATTTCGTCGCTAGACGAGGGTTGCAATGATGATGAGCTGAGTTGACCACAGATACAGGCTGGCTTTATTGAGCATGGCGACTATCTGAGAATTTGGGTTTGGTGGAAGTTCACCCATCTTAAAAGATTCATTGACCCGGCAACGTAGCAGGACTATCAAGGTATGCCATCTGGTTTATATCTCTCATTCTTGGCTCGATGTGGAGTTGTGTTAACGTGTTTGCGCGTCCTCCAAGGCATCGCGCCGAGCACTGGCCAACATTCCAAGATTTGGGAAAGCCTATCTCAATAGAGTTTGTTCCCTAGTCCCTTGCCGCCCGCACTCCCAGAAACAGGCTCCGAAGAGCCCCTTGATCCGTTTACTGACAGCACAAATGCCTCGGTGACATCTTCATGCAGCTGTTAAAATCGATGACGTGGACCCCTTGACTCTTGTTTTCATTCCTATTCCTTGAATCGACACGTGTAATCACCTTCACACAGCTACCGATCTGTCACAGCCACTCGTTTCCTATCATTCAGACCATATCCCCAGATCTTCGATGATCGCCGACTACGGGTTTCCATTTCTTTCCCACAATGGCTAGCTTGACCTCCGCCGCAGCTTGGCAGGCATTGACGTGTTGACGGGCTGAAGACTCCGAGGAGAGTATCCACCGTGCTGCCGACAGAGGCTGTCTGTCTTTGACTGGCTACGATACAGTTTGTCTGCTCGCGGACCCTGATCTTCGTCTTATGCTTTGCAGCGTTTGATACTAATGTTTAGAGCTTGTTGCAGCTCGCCAGGCAGTCTCCTACGTGTTTTATACCGGGTGCTTCTGTGAAGCGCTATGGATTGGATTAGGAAAAGCCTTCGTGAACATCGCCACAAGCCAGAGCAAACATGTCAGAAGATACTTGTTTCCCTGACATCTGTACCCGCAGCTCTTTCCTAGCCTATAGAAATGCATAGAACAGCAGCGAGTGACTTTCAACCTCTCGCTGTCACTCAGAACAATCAAGGAGATTCTAACCACCCAGATCACTCTTTGCTGGCATGACTGGCCGAGGGGCCGAGGCTCATACTGTGGCGGGATGGAGGCAGCGCACTCCACATTATAGCCTCTTTTGCCCCGTTGGCCTCATTCGTTGCCGCCCTGATTCGCAGCTTATATGAGATTATTCATTGCTCGAAGCCCCTTCAGACCCAACGTTTCATCGTTCCTCTTCTCGTCCTGGTCAAACCTAGTGCTTCGCAGCACCCAATAGAATAACACAACACCACCCCTCATACCTCACTCCCGCACACTAACAACGATCTTCCCCTTGGCCCTCTTGCTCTCCATCCTCTCATACGCCTATCACAATTAGCCTCATCCATCACCCATTCCTCCGGGCCCCAAAGAAAAGACGAGAAAGCTCAACAAGAAACATACCTTCCTGACCTCGCCCATCCTCCACACCGAATCCACCACCACCCTGACGACCCCCTTCTCGACCAACCGCATGATCCGCTGCATACTCTCGACCGTGGGCTTCCCACCATAGAACTGGTACGCGCGCGGCACACCCCCAAGCACAACAGGCCAATACCGCGTGGCGAACTGCGTCCACGCCCAGGCGATCTGCCCCCAGAACCCAGGAGTAGCCTTCATCTGCCCGAGATTAATGAACGGCTTGCCCTCAGCCAGATACGGCACGCAGTGGGCATAGATCTCGGGATCTCCAACGCAGTCGACGATCGCGTCGAACGGGCGGGCCGCGTGGTGGGCGCGCAGGTACGCGTGCAGGGGGTCGTGGGCGGTATAGTCGACGACCTCGTCGGCACCAAGAGAGCGCAGCAGCGGCGCGTTGGCGGCGGAGCACGAGGCGACGATCGTGCCGGTGGGCCCGAGGACGTGGCGCGCGACCTGCAGCGTCAGCATGCCGACGCTAGTGCTACCGCCGTTCACGAACAGCTTGTCGCCGGCAATCAGACGCGTGGCGTCCACGGTCTGTATGGCGGTGCAGCCGCAGGCTGTCAGACCGGAGCCTTCGAGGAGGGAGACGGGCGGTTCTGGGGCTGTTTCGGGGTCTGAGGATTTTAGCTCGGGGCTGATGAGCGGGATGATTTGTGAGGCGGGGACGACCAGCCGCTCTGCCAGCGCGCCCTTGCCTGAGCCGAAGACTTGCTGCTCGGAGACGCAGCCGAGGATTTGTGTGTCCGGGCTCAGCTCAGGGCGGGCGGCGGGCACCTGCGAGCCGGTGGCCAGGATGCGTCCGGCGAACTCGAATTCCGGGATCGCGGAGCGCGAGCGGAAGGGCAAGCCGAGCGAAAAAGGCTGCGGGGGGAGGGCGCGCATCATCGCCGTGCAAATGGCGTTCAGCGAGACGTAGTGCACTTCCACCAGGACATCGTGCGGGCCGAGGTCGGATGCGGTCGGAGCGGAGACGGTGGTTTGCGTGAGGGTCTGCGAGGGCAGGCCGGATTGGGTGTATACCCAGGCGCGCATGGTGGGAGACATTTGTGAATGTGGAATGGAGGTGTGAAGAAGTTAAGACAGTCAGCTCGGGGTTTTACTGCGCCGATTCCCGTTTCGGCGCTAAGGCACAAGTCCGCAAGCACCGCTAAAACACCTGCTCTAGGCAACAGGCTCTTACGTGCACGAGTCGTGCAATTTCTAATTTCTGCTCGCCAGAATGTCCTGGGCCACCCAGCATTTGTTATATTCTCGGCAAGTCGCCGAAAGTCACCGAAGGGTTGAACTCGCCGAACATGGGTGATCGGCCTTTCCTTTTCCTGGTGGGGAATCGCTTGTGCGCAGGGTATAGCTTAATCCCCCGCATCACTTACCATGCATTTTGATTTGGTTTAGAGCTTGCTGCTATTCTGGCCATCAGAAATCCTTGTCTTATCTGATCCTATCGTGTGCTACGCATGCACTTACACGGCAGCCTGGAATAACATCTCCGAAATATCCGGTCTGCCTGCAGCAAAGAATAATTCGATCAACATCATCAGCTATAATAAGTAAGGAAGCTTTCTCCTGTTTGGAGATTATAACTATTTTTTTTATTTGCAGGCTACCGATTTCAATACTCAATCTCCGCAATATACAGGCTACAAGAACGTAAAGATGCAGGATACAGAAGCGCCTGATTCAACTGAAGTTGTTGAAATCCCGGGCCCAGAAGTGCTGCAGTCTGCGTTTTCAATCAAGAATTCGAGGGATTCGGGGTCAGAAGCAGAAAATGGACCGATATCTGCAGGCCGGACAAAGCTCCCAAATCGAATTGATGGAATTAACTACTAATGGTGTATCGAACTCCATGACATGCGACAGATTACATTCGGGCTTAATGTAGCTAGGGAAGCACATATCCCCCATCAATCAACAGATCACTCCCCGTCATATACGTGGACGCATCGCTGGCTAGATAAAGATACAGCCCCTTGATCTCCTTGACCTGCCCCTGCCGGCCCAACACAGCCATGCGGTACGCCTCCTGCAGCGTGTCGGCGCCGGCGCCCATCTTGGTATCGAAGAAGCCTGGCGACACGATGTTGACGCGCGCGAAGTCCCGCCACTCGCGGGCCAGCGACTTGCCGAAGTGGGTGACGAAGGCTTTGGTGGCGTTGTAGACGGGCTGGTCGACGGGCACGTTGACGATGTGGGCGCTCATGCTGGAGGTGATGATCAGGTTGCCGAAGCCTTGGTGCTTGAAGATATCGCCGACGGACTTGGCGCAGTAGACGACGCCGTCCACTGTGAGGGTTAGCGCGGCCGCTGCATCATTTTTGCGAGCACTTACCGTTCACCGACATCTGCTTCCTATACTCATCTAGCGTCTGCTCGAGAATCGGCTTGGAGATCGCCATTCCTGGGACCGTTAGCCATCTCCCTATTCAACTGGAGATGAAACATACCCGCATTCGCAACAAAGACATCAATCTTCCCAAAATCACGAATCACATCCCCAAGCGCCGCCTGGATCTTCTCGGGATCAGACACTGCACCGCGTCCGCGTCAGCCTCAGTCACCACAATCAAGAACACGCAAACAAACCATCAACCTTATACGCCAGCGCCTTAACCCCATGCAACTTAGCCAAACCCTCCGCCTTCTCAACAGCGACATCATTCCTGCCTCAGACAGTGAGAACCACGCGCATACCCACAGAGATAAAACCAACTCACGAGTTATACCATAAGGCGACATGCCCCCTCGCCTCAGCCATAGCCTCAGCAACCGCATAGCCAATCCCATCCGCCGCGCCCGTCACGACCACCACTTTCCCGTCCATCTGGAATTGCTGCAGCACGTTGCTGGGCGTTTCCGGGAACGGCCGCGGAAACCCCTCGCGGGGCTGGTTGCTATCTGCGACGGTCATGGACATTTTGTGTGTGCGTGTGCGTGTGCGGTCTGGGGTGAGTTCGTGGGTTGGGACCGGGATGCGTTCGGGTTATTTATTGATTGTTCGGGGCGGTGGGCGGACTTGGTCCGATGGATGCATTGATGGGGAGTCGTCGGGTAATTGTGAGGTGGTGACGGGTAAATGTTTCGTGGTGGTCGGGCCGGGGGCTTGGCTGAGTTATAGTACTGTACAATGCGGGGAAGCTGTGCATACTGCATAGTAGCTTGGTTGTGGTGTGGGGTAGTTGGGTTTGCTTGAGGCCCGGAAGATTTTGAGGTGCATGGCTGGGCCGGGGTCCGATGCTTGTCTTTCCAATGTTGGCCCAGAGAGCTACAGTCTTGCCATCACTGGAGTTTACAGTGAGGTTGTTCGGATTTGCTTCGAACTTGCGTACTTTTTCTGGACCAGCCTTACGCTCGCGCTTGTTAAACCTGCATAATTGCTTGCATGAGCTTTAAAAAGGCTCAAGAGAGCAGGGAGCAAGGTATGTACTCTGATCGAGCAGTACTCCTTTTATTGCCCCCCGTTCAGTGTGTAGTGAGTTTTTTCCACGAGAATAAACCATACCGACTTCGCTGGCCACTTCTTATAATCCAGATATAGATGAGACACCAGAGATTCACGTTTCTCCTTCGCATCCTCAATCATCTGAATCCAGGGCCGTGATGGGCCTGATAGCGAGTCCCTTTACTAATCTACATTGTGGGTGGTTTGTTGCATATTTGCCTTACTCTTCCGCTACTCTCCTTCTCATGTCTTCTATTCCGACTGCCCGCAAGTTCTTCCTTCTTGTCTCGAACTTTGCGTATGCCTGTCACCCAGAGCGGCAATCTTCCACTATATGTGCGCCGCGTTCGCCGTGTACGATTCCGTGATGGGGTACGGCGTACTCCCGCCTGGATTGCCCCAAGTATTCAATTATTCTCATGCATTCTAGAGAATGACCCCTTCAGACCACATGCTACTGCACTCTTGGTGCTGGCCGGAGCCTGGTCAACGCATGATCAAAGGGTGAGGTGACACGCGATGCTTCAGTTGCACTGAAGTTTTCCAGGTACGGAAACTATGAAAGTCGGCGAGGAAATATATACACGAGACAAAATCCCAAGTCAAGCCAGGTCAGGAGCACTTTCATCCTCCTCTAGGAAGAATGATCACGCAGAAGCAGAACAGAATAGATAGATACGCAGCTGCGGTCTACTTCTATAAATGACGAGCCATAGCAGAGCCGTGAATGACGAAAACCAGGGATCAAGTCAAGTGTCTGCCATGTAATGCAACAGGTATTGACCAGGTTTGCTGATCATATTCCAGCTTGGCACAAATTCAAGCACATACGACCACAGGGTGTGGAAAACAGGGCTTCCCGTCCGCTCAGCCGTACTTAAGCCACACGCCGGGAGGTTAGTAGTTGGGTGGGTGACCACCAGCGAATCCCTTCTGTTGTATGTTTTTTTGCTGGATCAATCCATATTTGAATTGAGACGGGGTCGACAGAGCATGCCAGGTGCATCTGCTTCCGATTGCGTTGCGGTAGACGAGTATCTAGTGCCCCTTGGCATCCAAGCCAGTCACATGAAAAAGACCCATACTACAGAAAGCCAAGCACCTCGGCGACCCGCGGAAACAAGCCCAACGCATTTCTCGCATGAATCTGTGTCATTTCCGAGCCATTAAAACCGCCATTCTTCTGGATCGTCGGCAGCGTGGCCGCGATCTGATTCCCGGGGACGTACGGATCTGTCCGCCGTCCAGTTAGCCACACACATCACACACAAAGCAGCAAAAAAAAAAAAAAACACAAACACATACAATCCGTGCCGGTCAGGACCCGATCCACGCCGATGAAGCTCTTCATCGCCGCCAGCTGCACGGCCGACGTGGCGGACGCGGTCTCGAAATAATACCCGGCCAGCTGAGCCAACGAGTCCGCCAGGCTCAGCCCGCCCATAAACTCCATGGAGGCGAGGCCCGCAATCCGCGGCGCGAGATACGGCATCGCGCCGCCGCCATGCGCGAAGATGAGTTTCACATCCGGATACCGCGCGCGCTGGCCCGTCAGGAGCAGATTCTCCATCGCGCGCACCGTGTCGAACGGGTACTCGGTCAGCGGCATGGGATAGCCGCGCGCGACGGCGGTGCAGGCCGGAGCCGCTGGATGCACAAATGCGGTGGCGCGGCGGGCGTGCAACGCCGCGAAGACCGGGTCTAGCACCGCGTCACCCAGGTAGATGCTGCCGTTGAAGTTGGTGTACAGGCCTACGCCGGGAAAGTCGAGAGTGTCGAGGCAGAACTGACCATGGGCTGTTAGCTAGCGCTATTGGTGACTTGGGATGCTGAGGCAGGGAGATATACTTCGAGTTCGGCAAGGGACTCGTTCACGTGCGGCAGTGGCAGCAGGCAGAGTGCGCCCAGTTTGGTCGGGTGGGTTTGGGTCCAATTGTGCATCTGCAGATTGATCGTCCGGGCTAGTCGGTGCGCGGCGTGCGAGTCGTGCGCGAGGAAGGCTACGCCTGGAGCGGTGACGCTCACGGTCGAGAAGTTGATGCCGCGTGCTTGCATGGTCGAGAGATGCGATTCCAGCGTCCAGTCTGGCACGGGGAAATCGTCCACGTACAGCGTGCCATTTTGTAGTGGGTATCCGGCGGAGATCAGAGCTTCCTTCCAGATCGGAGGGATTACGTGGGAATGCACGTCGACGATGTAGTCGGCGTTCACGGTGGCATGGGTGTGTCCATGGGCGAGACTCGTTGATGCCAGGCCCAGCACAACTGATTGTAGGATTGATGGCATTTTGACAGCGCGCGGGAGACGAACGGAGACACTGAGTTTCATGGCTGGGATGCCGGGCATTATCTAATATACAGGGAAACCGAGGGGCTGAATATATTGAACGCGACTTGAGTAAGCTAGCCTTTCATTAGTCTCGATAAAAACGATATCGGGGACAGACGGGGTTCCGCTGGCGAGCCCTATTTACGCTAAGATGACCGGGGTGCGCAACACTAACAGCTTCCGTCAATACTAGCTGTTAGACTAAGATTAACTACACACGGGGGCTTGCCAAAGAGGGCAGTATTTCCCAATGAAGTGGACAAGACGCAGCCCACAGTCCCACAGCGCCATTGCGTCAACTTCCGAAATCTTTGTTCCCCGAGAAATTGGTTACTCCAATACCCACTATCGTACGATGGATTGATAACAGCCCTTGCCAAGGCTATTTACTAGTTCGGAAATAATGCGCTCGCGTTCATTTGTGGCAGAAAGTTGACGAGTCTGAGTCCAGGGTATAGATGAAAGCCTGTCAGCACTAACGCACGATCTGCCAGATACTGCCCCTGAGTTTGCCGCTTACCAATAGGCAATCCTTATATTTCTTGGTGTGCGATCACATCATATTATTATAAAATATTAGTGATCCCTACTATGCTCCCTCGAGGTGGATATAGGATCTCTCCACTCTGAGATCTCCTGAAGCTGTGCCCATTATGGCCAGCTCTATTCCGCCGAGACCCGGCGAGGTACGTGCGCTTTCAGATCAGTGTGCTTCCAAGTTCATCCTTCTGATGAAATTCAGGCCGACAATCGAGGACCATCACTAGTCATTATCAATACTTCGTTCACAGCGATCGCCGCGATATTTGTTGCTCTGCGGATCATATCGCGAGGACTCATCTTGAAGAAACCAGGCTTGGACGATGGGATGATTGTTGCTGCCACGATCCTGGCTATTCTGAATGTGGTTGTTGCAGGATTGGGTATGCCGCTTAGCAACGGGGGTGGTCTGTATGATTGCTGACTCCAGCAGGGGTTCAATATGGCACAGGAAAGCACATGTGGGACTTGGAAGCGAAGGATGCCAATCCTGCGGCCAAGGTATGCACCATGTACGATCCACGATGCAGCCTGCTGGCTTGGCCGTCACGGCACCACAGCATCACTAACGTAGCAGCCAGCTTCGTTTCATCACCCATATCATCTATGTTCTGGACAGCGGCCTGATCAAGATCTCCATCTCCCTGCTGTACCTTCGTCTCTTCCCGAACATCCGCCGGACCACTCTCAGTACCATCGCCTTCATCACATCCATGACCACTGCGATATTCCTGGCCACCATCTTCCAGTGCTCCCCGGTCGATGCGGTCTACGACCCCCAGAAATACCGACACTACTCGTGCTTCGATTCGGTCCCGTTCTGGTCCTCAACAGCTGCCCTGTACCTGGCCACGGACATTTGGGTTTTACTGCTCCCAATGAAAACCATTCTAGGTTTGTGTGTCTTTGCCTACCTTCACTCTTGCCACAGCCGTCTAACTTCACCGCTCCAGGTCTCCAGGCGAGTCGCAGAAAGCGTCTCGTTCTGACGGGCCTCCTCTCCCTCGGCGCATTGTGAGTCCAGCCCTGCCTCCCGTCTACTACCGTTCCTCACACCCAGCCAGCGCCTGCATTGCCAGCATCGTCCGCATGGTCTACATTGTCAAGCTGTACCAGGGCTCCGACCAGAGCTGGCACAGCGTGGACGTCTCGATTTGGTCCGGGGTGGAGCTGGCGCTGGGGATCGTCGCGGCGAGTATCCCAAGCCTGCGACCGATCTTGAACCAGATCTCGCCCAGGGTATTTGCCTCGTCGGCTCGGAGGAGCGAAGTCCAGGGGCTGTCTGGAGGGAGCGCTGGGGGCCGTGGCCGGGTCAAGCCTGCTGCGTCGGTCCGTGGCCAACATGAGGATCTTTCGCTTGTGCGGTTGACGCGGAAGGAGGTCGCGGGCGATGAGGATTCTGCGGTGAGTGTTGAGGATGCTCGCCATCTAACTTGAAGGCTTTCTCGCGGATACAGATGCAGATTTCAATGCCCGTGGATTCGGCATTGCACTGCACCGATGGCAGTAGAACAAAAACAGTGACAACAACATCTCGTCCTTCCCGCACTAAGCTTGTATCCATCCAAGAAAACTGGGAGAGTTTCTGTTTTCTGGATACTAGGGCAGACACGTCCAAAAACTGGCTGCAAGCAAAAACATACAACAGAAGGGATTCGCTGGTGGTCACCCACCCAACTACTAACCTCCCGGCGTGTGGCTTAAGTACGGCTGAGCGGACGGGAAGCCCTGTTCTCCACACCCTGTGGTCGTATGTATCAGTACTCAAGAGACAAGGATTTAAGACAGGTGCATACGATAGAGACTGCCTAATGTACCTAACCGATTTCAGCGTGAGTGACTGAGGAAGACTGGCCCTGCACCCTTTTGCGATGGCCCGAGTTTATTAAAGATTCACTCCTCTATTCTCTCTATCACCTGAATATCATCAATACCGGGACCTAGACGACTGCATTCTCGACGACATGGTGAAATAGAGGGTTGGATTCGTGGCTCGCAGGGCTGGCCATCAGGTATCTCCCGAGCGTGACACTCAAGCAGAGGTCGAGGACTCCGTCATGCCCTTCTTCCCTATAGCACAAGTGTTAGCTCAATGAAGTAAAATACTTGGTCGTGAGTGCAACAAACCCAGTACGCAGTACTCAAATTGTTCAGCAGCAGCAAGGCCCGCTTCACATATCTCATGCTCCCGACGACACCGGGATTCGATGACGGCGTTACCATATTCTTCGAAGAATTTCCTATACATATCTTCCCTCTCCTCCCAGTTGGTTTCGTGTACTAAGGCAGATAACGACTCCCTCAATCTTTCTATTTCACTCATTGTGCCCCTGTCTTGCTCAGTCTCTTCGACGCATTGAAATAGAGCCTTGCAGCTGAACTGTAGCAGTTCGGGCTCGATTTTGATCCCGTTTGCAAGCAACGCTTCCCAAGCTATCTTTATGTCTGGCGTAGCCTCCTCAGTTATGTTACATAATATATTGTAGTAACACTGCTTCTCTATCTCAGAGTCGAGCTTAGGCATCTCCCCGATCGCAGCACTATCGGACTGGGCGACAATCAACGGAAGCGAGGAGCCAAGCACCGTAAAGAGAAGAAATAATTTGACCATCTTGACCAGAAGCCAATAGGAAGACCGTCAATTCAAGGGGAATAGATGAAGGATTCCGAGTAATATCAAGAGCCCATCTCCCAGTCTGAAGGGAGTCAGCTATTTATCAACCCCAGGGCGGTGTGTGTCTGCCCTTTCGGACAGGTAATTTGCATGATTGAACCTTAAGAATGCAGATCTCTTCCGCGAGTGGTGTGTCTATGACGCTGTGTTGTGATATCATCGATCTGCCGCAAGGCATGGACAGTTTATAATACACTATTGATTCCTCCGGAGTAAATATTGCCGAGATCGGCGGCAGTCAGGGCTTCCTGTCTAGTGGAGGCCTAATTACTCTACGGCTGTAGAGAATCAGAGCTTCCTCCGCTCTAAATATACACTGACTAACTGACAAAAGGACCGAGGAATGCGCCTAATGTCCGTACCCGTTCTCAGGTCCAATACGGCGGGACCAAGCAGAAGATCTGGCAGCCCTGGTTGTTAGAAGCTGCCACCAACCTCAGCCTCGTGCGTCCCCCCCTGAATCCACACTGTCAGAATAGGTAGTTCAAGTAAGGCGCGAGCTCGGAGCAAATTCCGTTCCTGTCATCGTTCCTCGTGGCTCTGGCTTGTTTATGAATGATCTGCATATCTCAGGAATGAATGCTAGATGCACCCAACCTCAATCTAACTAAGCAAAGTGGATACTTGTTTCTCTGTTATGCTGCTTTGTCTCCTCAATGACTGGACCATCTATCCCTTTTAGGGGGATTCGCCTCGGGAGTATCATGGCGATCCTTTCCGCGAGTCTAGTGTTTGACACCTGCAATGACATTTCATACTAAACACAAAGACTGCTTGAGCTCACGCGGCACGAGAAGAGAGTGAACTGAAGTAAGCATAGGGTAGAGAAGGGTGTGCATGTATTTTTCGGGTTTTCCGGGGAGATCCTCCTCCTGGTTCTATTCTTGGTTGACAGCGCTGTAGCGGAGTACTACCCTGAAGGTTCATTTTATTCTGCTCGAAGCTACTAGCCACGTCGAGGTCCGGGTTTGTATTGGTGTCTCGGGCATAACTCACTTTTGTCAATTACCGACAACCAGAGTACTGATATAGATGATCCATGCTGATTCGAGTAGATAACTGCATTAATCCCGGTTCAAACGATGCTGCATGTGCCGTGAAGGAGCTGTACGTTGATTGCCACACGAGGACCTCGATTTGCAAACAGTGCATATAGCCCAGGGTCTCTGATTGACAAAAGTCAAGTGCCAGTACTGACACAATGAACCAAATCACGCGGATGTGCTGAAGATGGCTACTTACTCGAACACGGAATAATTTTGATAAAGAAACCAGGCTAGAACATGTATTAGCGTGGCAAGGAGCTATGCATCGGTCATTGGACGAAGGACTATAAGCACGCCATCGTCGAGAGAATCGATCTCCCCGGTCTGTATTCCGTAAATGACGTCCGTATGCTTCGATGTCCATCATCCAGGGAGATATTGTAGCCCCGCTGACCATGCTCCTACTATTGTGGCGCTCGCCGTGCCAATATTGATGATTTTGCGGAGAATAAGCTTGGCAGAAGAGCATAACGCATTGTACAGTGGATGGCGCTGCGAGATACTCGTTTGACGTTAGCAGCATCCGGGATAGGAAAGTCAGCAAAAATACAACATAGGACTGCATCCCCACCTTTAGATACAAACAGTTATTTAATTGAACCAAGCAGCATCGTGTTCAAGCTCAAAACCCGGCATAATTCATGCCAAGAAGACCTACCATCAAGGTTCTTGTGGCGACTGTCTCCCGCGAAATAACTACCAAATTGAATGATATAGAGTGCCAACAAAAGTGACTCGGTGACTTTGACACCGCAACGGACAGCATCTGGAATCCCTACCCAAGGTTCGCACGCAGCAAGAAAAAACATACAACAGAAGGGATTCGCTGGTGGTCACCCACCCAACTACTAACCTCCCGGCGTGTGGCTTAAGTACGGCTGAGCGGACGGGAAGCCCTGTTTTCCACACCCTGTGGTCGTATGTATTTACTTGGGGCAATCTGTAAACTATGTTCTACTCATAACAAGCTCAAAGATTGCCGCAATAGCTTCAATCGCTATTCGAAGACTGTACTTGTGACGAAGCAGTGGAGTCCGCAGTCTGCATACCTAACCCGTGGTGCATTCAACCAGCGGCAATATATCACTGTGTTAGAAAAAGTCTTGTAAGAAACTCCTCCTGTTCTATTAGCTGATCAAGCGATAGAACCTAGCGAGGATGCTCTGTTCCATGCTGAACCCATCACCCGCGCGGAGACAAAGGAGTCAGCAGCGCACGGGCCCGGCTCAGCCCTAAGACTGCGCTGGCGTCAGCACGAGGTCGTCATTATTTGAAGCTCGTTATCACCTCTCCACCTCAGCTCCCCACTAATCTGATCCAAATACGCCCAAGCTATACCTGGAATATATGCCCTCCCACGCTGGTCATTAGACTATCGGAGCATTAGTATTAGAAGTTGAGGAGGGTATACAGAGAGCTCCTGTATGATGCTTCAATGCCAAATCTAAGTATGCATATATACAAATCTAGTCTAGTCTAGTCTAGTCTAATCTATCAAACTAACCCGAAAATCTACCAAATAGCAGCAACAAGCGCATCCAACGCAGAGCTCTGCGTAGAAGCATTAACCTTGACACTGACAACCGGACCAGACCAATCAAGCCCAAACCCATTAGCAGGAGTGCGATCATTCTCCCACAGACTCTCAGCGGAAGCATTGATAACCCTCGCGAAGGTCTCATTGGGCGCGATCCCCTGCAAAACCTTCAAATTCCGGATAAAGATCCCCTTGAACTGCGTCTGATTATCATCGCACGCATCCGGCTCACACGACTCATGGATCACGCCCTCCTCATCGGCCAAGGCCGCGATCGCACCATGCGCAATCCGCGACGCAGCCGCAAGGTACGTCGAGTTAGCAGCTGCTTGCCCCGTGGCGCGGTGCAGCTCGACCAGCCCGCCGAGCACGATGCCCTGGTTGTACGACCACAGCGTCATGCCGTTGTTGGTGCACGCGTCCGTCAGCCCGTCGTTGATGGTGTGGTTGGCGTTGATGAGCCCGCTATCGGCGAACCAGCGCCACTGCCGCGTCGCCCAGTCGAGGTAGTAGTCTTTGTGGGAGGCCCGGTTGGCCAGTGCTGCCCCGAGCTGCAGGAAGAGCTCGTTGGAGACGGCCCCCACGTAGACGTGCGTGTAGTCCGAGTCGAGGCCACCGTTGCCGCACCGAGAGGGCCATGCGCGACTCTATGCAATTGTCAGCTTTAGCTTCGCGCTAAGTGTCCACCGCCGGGATAGCGTCCGCGGGGGTAATGGTCCCCTGGGATATACCCCCGGAATCAAGAAAAGGAAAAAAAAAAAACCTACCAAACGGAAAAACACCCCCTCGGCCAAATCCAGATAATCCGGCTCCCCCGTCAAATCATAAGCCGCCACCCACGCCAACCCCCACCACATATCATCGTCGTAGCTCCCATCCAGCCACAGCGACGCGTTCGCGGCGCCCGTCGGCTGGCCCGGGATCAGGTAGGCGGTGCCGTTGGCAGCCGTGTAGTCGGCGTCGATGCTGCGCGCAGGGAACGGGTTACTGTTTGTTGCGACGCGGAAGGTGTTCTCCAGCACGCCTGGGGCGGTGGCATTGACGTTTTCGTTGAGGGCGGCGAGGTCGGCGAGAGTCGTGAGGCAGTTCGCGCCGTTCCACCAGCCGCATGTGTTCCACAGGCCTGTGGACGGGTTGTAGAAGGTTTGGAGGGTGGTGGCTGCTGTTACGGCGCGGTTCATTGCTCTTGTGTTTGTTGCTGTTGTTGTGGACAGCAGGGTGAGGGTTGTGGCTAGGGAGCGGAGGGAGGGCATTTTGAGGGAGTAATCCTGTGTACTACACAGAAGGAAGAGGGAAAGGAGAAACAGTAATTCTAGCAGGAAAGGAGTAGGATGAAAGCAATCTCTATTCAAATAAAGAAAGAAAGAAAGAAAGAATAAAAAGTGCAGAGACAAGACACCACGGGCGCCTGCGCCCTTTATCAGCAATCCCAGCCAAGCCAGCCAGCTGCAAAGATGATCAATCACAAATCCTCGTCCCCACAGCTCGAAAGAAAATTTCCTACACCGCAGCAAACCCCGGTCCTCACGCAGGCAGAGCACATTGACGGATCACACCACTTCACAAACCCACGGTCAGAAGCAAGGGTGGAAAAAAAAAAGACTCACCCCCCGCCACTGATAAGCCCGATAAGCCGGGCGGTGTGCCGGGGTGCGTGCCTGGCATCAAACCTGTTCCTTGCATACTGACCAGTCCGTGTGGCTGGGACGAGACCAGGCACGGGGTGTCGATCTATGGTTCGGAGTTTTCTCTGCATGGATGGTGTCCGGTTCCTGTCGTGGCCCTGACGGGTTTCTGGTTAAGAAAAAGTCTATCGAGGCTGAAAATTCGGGCACGGCGGTGATGTTTGGTTCCGAGAAGTTCCTTCAATCTGGGTCGGGTTTGCTGTTGAACTTTGGGTGAGATTCATGGGGGGTGCGCGTGGCTGGATCACAGGTAGGACAGCTGTCAGGTTGTCGTGACTTCATCATGATGATAATCAACTGGACTGTCTCAGACATGAAACTTGAATCCGAGGGCGGGGAATCAGGGTCAAAATCGAAGAAGAAGCATTGTCGATGGCGTAATGATTGGTTAGTGCCTGCTTAGTGCGCGGGCCCTGGTTTAGCCGCCGCCGCTAAGTGCTTTGGGTTAGTGTGCCGCTGAGTCAGGAGCAGAATCAGACCGCCTACTATCCTGGGACTTGTACACGAGTGCAGTCTCATGGAGAGAATCTAGGCTCTGGCCGAGTTTTACACTCCGAGTTTTACTGTAGGGCAGCTAACAGAAGGTGAGTATTTCTGTCTGTAATTTAAAAAGCTCTATCTCTTATAGATAAGTAGAGCACAGGGTTGGGGGCGGCCGTCTGCAAGGCAGTGCCCAGAGCGAGAAAGACATACCCCACGTACACGCCGCCGGGCTTGCGGCCATACTTGTTGGCAATCCACACGAGGCTGTCGGGTATCCGACACCACAGCCCAGCCAGTAGATCATGTTCAGCCAGCCAAATTTAGCTCCGGTGGGATTGTTCATGAAAATCTTCCACTGATCCAAGGCCTAGAGACCGTTCATGAGAGAGCCATCGAATCCGTTGGCGGAAGAGAACATGACCAAGGACAGGATGATGAGGTTGAGACCAAGGAGATGGCCTTGCTTATACCAGGGACGATCTCCAGCAGGTGACACAGCAGCAAGCGCATCTCCAGCAGAGGGCTTGCCGCCAATGTCCTCCTTTGTCGAGCCCATTTTGTTTGATGATTGTAAATCGAACGAAGAACGGTGAAGAAATGCGGATGCGAAACCAGACCAGGGGATGCAGCGGTTTTATCTCAAATCCTCCGTCCCGATCGGATGATTCATTTCATGCTTTCCCCAGCCGGAGTAAGTCTTCGTCCAACAGGATCTAGTGTATGATGCAAACCAGGTAAAATCTGTTTCCATGATGCCAGACCCAATCTTTTCCTTGTGGCTTGATACACGCGGGGAAACGGCCTAGAGAGGGCCAATCAGACACAAAACAGCGCACTCATCGGCTCCGTAGCGATAGGTAGTCGGCTTGTTGCCGGGAATGCAGCAACGCGCCGGGGTAAAGATGGAATGCGACGTGGAGAATTGTTGGGGATTCTTGGCGGTTTTTGGGTTGCGGAACAAGCGGAGAAACGGAGAAAAAGAGAAACGGCGAAATATTGCACGAAAATGCGGATTTGTCTCACCACCAATCACACTGCTACTTCAGGGCTTGATCTGGGGTACACCAGGAATGTGGTCTCCACCTTAATCGGGGGCGGCTTATCGGCGGGGTGTCGAGTAGTCTTGTTTCGGGCTGCCGGTAGACATACATAATGGCTCACCCAGCGACACGAGCATTTGCACAATTTTCCCCTCCCCAGCTTGTGTGTTTCATTGTTCCCCCTATCCCATCTAGACAAGTCGACAATATGCCGTTCGTCGAAATTCCTTCCCGAGAAGCAGACAGCGCCTTCGCCCAAATCGCAAACGCAGCTCTAGAAGTCCTCTTGAAGCAGCTCACACTGGACGAAGAGGTCGCTCTTTTGACTGGTACGTGCAGCCTGGGCAAACAAAAAATCAGATACATCACTAACAGCCTACTCATACAGGCGACGACTTCTGGCACACGGTTGCAATCCCGCGCCTGGGCATCCCGTCGATTCGACTATCCGATGACCCGAATGGTGTCAGGGGACACGCTTCTTCGGCAGTGTCCCGGCGGCGTGTCTACCATGCAGAACGGCGTTGGGAGCTACAATTGACAGAGATTTAGCGGTAGAGGTTTGGGGGGGGTGGTTTGTTGCGGATAATGCCAAGGCGAAAGGTGCCCATGTCATCCTTGGTCCAACAATCATTATCCAGCGAGGGCCGTTGGGCGGTAGGGGCTTTGAGTCGTACTCCGAAGATCCCCTTCTTGCAGGCTTCATGGCTGGCCACTATTGCAAGGGACTGCAGCAGAAGAACATCAGTGCCACTCTTAAGCACTTTGTGTGCAACGACCAGGAACACGAGCGCACGGCAGTCAACTCCATCGTCACGGACCGGACCATGAGAGAGGTCCGCCTGCTTCTTTTCATGCTTGCGATCGGGGTGGAGAAGCCAGACGCGATCATGACGGCCTACAACAAGGGGAATGGGATCCACACCTCCGAAAGCCCAGAGCCCTTGCAGGATATCCTGCGGAGTGAATGGGGCTGGAATGGACAGTTGATAAGCGACTGCAGAGTATGCTTAACATAGCCATCGAAACTGTAACTAAAGGCAAGCAGGTTTGGCACCTACAGCACATCGGAAGCTGTCCAGGCAGGCCTGGATCTGGAGATGCCCGGACCATTTAGATGGCGCGGCAGTGCTCGCGCCCACGCAGTCACCGCAAACAAAGTGTCCACAGCCACATTGAATGCTCGCGGGAGCTGTTCTGAAGCTCGTACAGATAGCCAGCAAACCCGGGAACTCCGAACATGCCACGGAACAGCAAGTCAACCGGGCAGAAGACAGACAACTCCTGAGAAAGATTGCCGCGGAAGCAATTGTCCTGCTTAAGAATGAGAACAACATCTCCCATTGAATAAAAACAAAATGATCGCCGTGATCGGGCCTAACTCGAAGATTGCAACATACTGCGGCGGTGGGAGTGCTGCACTAAACCCATACGAAGCCATTTGACTCTTCGAGGGCATTTCAGGTTCAGCGCTAGCTGATGTAGGATTTGCACAAGGTGTGTACGGCCATCTAATGCTGCCGTTGCTAGGCAAACGTCTGCGCACTGGCGACGGACAGACGGGTTTCACTCTCAAGATCTTCAATGACCCGTCAACAATTCTTACCCGAGAACCGTTGGACGTCAGACATGAAACGGACGCTCAGGTTCTCTTCCTGGACTACAACCATCCTGGCCTGCAACCAGTATGGTATGCTGAAGCCGAGGGTGACTTCGTCCCTGAAGAGTCCGGACGGTACGACTTCGGTCGGTCTCTGCGTCCGTGGCACCGGAAAGCTGTACGTTGACGGAAAACTGCTAGTGAACAACGCCGACGTTCAGCGACCAAGGCCCAGCTTCCTCGAAAGCGGCACAATGGAGGAAACAGGGACACTTGCGCTTATCGCAGGCAGATCCTACAAGGTCCAAGTACAGTGGGGGTGCCAAGACGGTCAAGTTCAAGATCCCTGGTGTGGTAGACTTCGGGCACGGCGGCTTTAGATTCGGCGCGTGCAAGCAGCTGTCCCCCGAGGGCCGGATCGAACAGGCAGTCAAATTGGCTGCAAGCGTAGACCTGTTGGTCGGCGTTGCCGGTCTGAGCGCAGAATGGGAATCAGAGGGCGAAGACCGAACCAGCATGCGCCTGCTGCCTCATACCGACGATTTGATTGCGCGAGTCCTCAAGGCCAACCCTGACACTGTAGTTGTCGTTTAAAAGCGGAACACCCGTCGGAATGCCATGGATCCACGAAGCCAAGGCTGTCTTACATGCATGGTATGGAGGTTACGAGACGGGCAATGGTCTAGCCGATGTCATCTTTGGTGATGTGAACCCGGTATGTTCATGATTCTGTTCTCGGCGATATCAGCTAACAAGAGTTATCACGTCCAGTCTAGTAAACTGCCATTGACCTTCCCCCGCCGTCTGAAAGACAACCTCACATACTTCAACTTCAGCTCCGAAGTTGGTCGAGTGCTCTGTGGAGAAGACGTACACGTTGGATACATATTCTATGACGCAGCAGAGATCGAGCCCTGTTTCCTTCCGGACATGGCCTGTCTTATACCACCTTCGAGCTGTCGGACTTGGGCCTGGAGAGGATCGCAAGAGGAAGTAGTCACCATCCCACTTGATCTGGTCCGCGCGACAAGTTCCTGGGATGAGCGTAGCAATGCCTGGTGCAGCCACTGTGGGACATATCGTATCCTGGTCGGCACCAGTAGCCGTGGGAAGTTCCCGGAAGGTACCATTGAGATGGAAGAAACGACGTTCTGGTCAGGAATTTGAGTAATCTAGATACTAATGACGCAGCTCAAACATTCTATGTTGAACGAATCCGATCCGTGTCCACCCATGCTTGTAGAGTCATAGCGTTTACACTTTCTCTGCTGTCTAGCCGAGATAGGAGTTCGTGACATGGCGGATGTATTCTGCGGCGCTTTCGGCTTCAGGCTCGTTGGCTTGCAGCAACTTTTGCAAGCACTGCAGCCGGTCGCGCTGGTATGCTACCCCGACACTGGGGTCTTGGGCACGAACACATGCACGCGGCTCTGGCACGCTTTTGTTCGGGTGAGAGCTGCAGATGGCAGCCCAAAAGATGCGGGACTCGATGATAAAGCCGTGGCCAGACACGGAGTAGGCATGGTCGGCATCAGAACCTCATTCTCGAAGATCAGCTCGTCGTCCACCTCGAAAGGCATCATGTCTTCGGGGTTGATGGTCTGGAGTTGCACGGGATCGAGATACGACAGTCGCTCTCCCAGCATATTCTGTAACTGCGTGTGACTTGTACCACATTTGTACGTCAGTCGCACCGCAATCATCTGTTCCAAAGTCCAACTCACACAAAGCCGTAGAAAATCAACCAGAACCCTTTCTTCCGCAGGTGTGTCTCGATACAGTTAAGCCCCTCATAAGCAGAGATAGAGAGCAGATTCAAAAGACGCGCAAACTGCATAGACTCAACATCCAGCATGCGGGCACGATTGTGATCCCCCAGCTGGAGGAACGCCGCGAAGAGGAGGAACGAGGTGGCGAACTTCTGGAAATTGATCTCGTCAAAGTAGTACGACGTTCTGAGCGCGAGGTTCTTCTCGTAGCAGAAGCGAACCATTTCGCGACGCGTGCAGAATCGCAGCGGCGGGTCATGCGATCGGTAGACATGGAACTTGCTGAGCAGGGTGGCCACGACCAGCGCGGCGATGGCGACGGTCAAGGCGAAGAACCCGCTATCTTCTCGTGGCGATCTCTGCGGAGACACTCTTGGAAGGACGGGCGGTGGACGATCGGCACGAGGGGGTAGATGTGGTCGAGATAGTCTTGCATAATGCGGTGAAATAGAGTTCGCTCGCACAGATCGTCCGCTACGCCGGTCTCTGCATGCCGAAGTGAGGGGTCATCCGCCGGGGGCTGCTGCGCCACGGCCTGGTCTGGGCTGCTCTGTGACCTTGCCAGTGCTATTCCCGTGTGTTCTATTCACGGAGAGGCAACATACCGCTTTTTGGGACTCCTGGTCTTACAGGGAGCGAGGAAGGTGCAGGGCCGGTTCAATCGCTCGCAGCGCGTGCATGGGGACCTGGGGGCGCGAGAAGGGGAGCTTGGGAGCTGGCATTTGACTTTGCATTTCCGGCACAGATCGCAAGCTTGAGTGGCGTTCTCAACGCATTGGAGATTGGGTCGGACGGGGGGTATTGAGAAGCATTCTATAGAGGCTTACTGAATCGTTACCAGGATAGTGAATTGCACCGTGGATGGATCCCTGGTGAATGGCGGAGAGCCGAGCGGGATGGGAAGGCACGGCCCTGCCCTCATTGGTGGGAGCGGAGAGCAGGTCACGGGATGAGAACAGGGTATACCTCTCATGCCTCAGGCCTCATGCCACTTTTCAAGGCATCAACACCCTCAATTCACTTGCTGACAGTACATGCTCTCCGCCCACCTCCATTGTCCTTATCTGCAATACACAATCATCAGGAATATCTCAGAGAACATTCGATCAGCCTTACAATGAGCAAGCACATGGAAAACACCTGATGTCTCCGTGACCAAAAGTAACCTTGTTGATAGTATAGTTGGGGTTTGAAAATAGCATAAACCAGAGTATAAAGCATCCCGGGGGAGAACACCCGGGCCCCCGATTTCTTTCAACTTCTGGTGTACCCCAGACCTATATAAACAGGACAGAATATCAATCTTCAACAACATACCAGAGATAAAGCGTCCCGGGGGAGAACCCCCGGACCCCCCTTTCTTTTCAGCTCCCTGGCCACTTTGATTCTAAGGCCAAGTATATACATCCACCTGAATATGGAGTAATCTAAATTGAGGTTTCCAGGAGGCTGAAAGAAAAGGAGAGTCCCGGGATTCTCCCCCGGGATATTATCATAGAACAAGTAGTGATTCCGGGGGAGAACCCCCGGGCCCCCCCTTTCTTTTCAGCTTCCTGGGCACCACAATCCTACCTGGGACACACATCCACCCAGCATCGACCCGAATACAGGGTAATGCTGACTGAGGTGCCCAGGAAGCTGAAAGAAAAGGGTGGTCCGGGGGTTCTCCCCCGGGATGCCATTGTAGAGTTTCTTCGGACCCCACCGTCGATCAGGCATTCCCCGGGCCGGTTACGTACTGAAAACTCCACATGGTCCGCTTCCCCGCAAGCGAATGTCATACGATGGGGAACATGACGCGCCGACTTGCCCCAGACGCGACCCCAATGTAACCCTGGCCGCCCGTTCCAGCCCGAGGTCCGAGGGCGGGTCCGACATCGCCGTGGGCACGATGATCCTGCGACAATTACGTGGAAGGCTCGGGGCCGCCTACTGGACCACGGGACTACGGGCCTACGGGACTACGAGTAAGGATCAAACTCAGAAACAGATGTCATTGAATCCACCCCCTAACGCCCTTTATGCCATTATCGAATGATGATATCATGATGCACCCGCGGCCATGCAAACAAATAACGCTGGCTAGATTGAGAGCCCTCGCCCAGCCGAAAGGCCGGCTGCTGGGCCAAGGGCATGATGCGTCGCGGTGAGAAAAACATTATAATTATGTGAGGAGAAAATGCAATCAACGGGGTCCGTCGTCATTGGGTATGCATCGCATCGTCAACGAGAGGTCGTGTCGTGTCGTAAACAGAAAGCAAGAGTCCCGGACTTAGTCGGTGTTGGCGCAGGTGAAACTGTTGCTGTTCGCGTCATCGTGGATGGCGGTGCCCGAGGCGTAGAGACCCAGGACACACAGGATCAGACCAAACAGGGCAATGCTCATGTTGAGGATCGTGAGGGCGATCTTCTTGGGGCTGGAGAGCCACTGGCCCCAGTTGAGGTGGAGCCAGTAGATGCCGCTGAGACCGTAACTGAACCAACTCGCGAAGAGGGCGCTGATCAGGCCGTTCAGGTCGCTGAAGACAGGGATGGCCTCCGCAATGATCCAGGCGACAATCCAGCAGACCAGACCAAGACCAATCCAGATGGAAACCGAGCGCCAGCCGCGGCTGTGGATGAGGTCGGACTTGTGGCAGGTGCGGAAGTAAATGTACTTCAGACCGATGTGGCCGTTCACAACACCGGCTCCAACAATCTGGACCATGCATTAGCTTTGGTACAATGCAGAGATTACAAGCAAGACTTACAGTAGGAATGGCAATGCCATAGGCGATCTTCTTGAGGAGAGGACCGGCAGAGCTCAAGGCAGGAGACTGCACATCCTTGCCGACGTAGTAGTAGACCACAATGGCCGCCGTGGTGTACAAGCTGATCTCGAAGCCCTGAAGCATGAACAGGGACTTCTTGAAGTCCTTCGGCTTCTCCATCTCGGCGATCAGGCCGAAGAAGGCAACGTGGGCGCAGTACGCGAAGACAATGTTGGAGACCGCGCTGAAGGCCCGGTAAAGCGAGGTGTCAACGGTGGCTTCGATGATGCGACCGGGGTGGTCCTGGACGCCGACTCCGATCATGGTAATCATGACGGCGCTGAAGATACTCAGGAAGGCTGAGACGGGCTGTCAGTGACTGTCCAAATGACAAACTTCCGGGATACTCACAGGCGAAAGAGATCCAGGTCATGCCCTTCATGGTACGCGGAATCGACAGAAGCATGGAGATGATCATGCCGACCACACTGAAGACAATCGAGCAGGTGGCGTGTTCAGTGATGGTATTCATCATCACGCGGAAGGTCAAGATGTGGCTGCCCATGACGAAGATGCAGAAGAGGAACTGGCCCAGGCCGAACAGCTCGCGGCCAAAGGGGCCCATGAGGATTTCGCCGGCATCCGCCAGGTTCTGGATGTGAGGATAGCGCTCGCGGAAGAGACCGATGTTGTAGCCGGTGTACGTGGCGAGGATACCAAGACCGATAATGAGAATGATGGCACTAAGAAGTTGCTGGTTAGAGCCGCCGTGTGCAATTGACATTCGACAGACTTACGGGACGAGACCCAGAGCGGCCACGGCTGCGGGCAGAGAGAGCACACCCAAGGACACGGACTCGCAGATCATGACTGGGAAGATTAGTGGGATTCAATTTGGTTTCTCAACGGGAGTCTTACGCAAGCCACATTGCCTAGAGACAGGTTAGCTGTGATCGAACTGAGAATGAACTGCGGTGACACGTACCACCACTTCAGCGTCTTGTACTTGATTTCCGCCAATTCTTCGTTACCGAAGGCATCGGCCTCCTCGAAACCGGGCTTGTAGTTGACCTCGAGATCGGCAGAGGCATCCTTCTTCTCGTCGATGTGATCGGTCGCGTAGGGCGGAGGGGAACCCTGGACAGTCTGCATTGTGTATAGGATGGGTGAGTCGGTGGGTAGAGAGAGAGGTGGTGAGGAGGATGAGTGGCAGAGAGAGAGAGAGAGAGAGAGAGAGAGAGAGAGAGAGAGAGAGAAAGAGAGGCAACAGCGATGGGTGACGGAGAAGAGGATCAGGTCGGGGAGGAGGTTGAAGATGGAGATGGAGAAACAGCGACGGAAACAGAGAAGGGGGGAAGGGGAGGGAAGGATTTAAAGAAGATTCGGGAACAGGCAGTTGGACTGGAGCTGAGTTGGGGCAAAACTGGGCTTAGATTTCGGAGTGGGTTGACATGCCGAAGACCTGGGGAAGAAGATGGGGCAGCAAGCGTTCAGTTGCAGGCACGAACACATCGGCCCGGCGCCGAGAGATCCTGGCAAGTGTTTTGCAGGGTATTTGTGAACGGAATTGGTCACCCAGCCGATCATCGGCCACTGCGGACCAATCACCACCTCTACCGCCTCGGGGACGCACGCGGATTCCATGGGAGCGATCGGGCGGTGCAAATCAGCGACGAGCAGCGGAAAGGCTGGAAGCTTGCCGACTCTCGCGACTGGCCGGAGTTGGTCATCGCCGCCGGCCGGTTTGTCTGGCCAGACTCTCCGCGCATTTGCAATCCAGTCATTTCCACCGAACCGTTGGGGCATCGCTTAGTCCTCGTGGTTCCCCAGTTAAACATCTATCTTAAGGTTAAAATTTACCCGTAGACGAGTCGAATTGCCGGTCGGGTGTTCTTTCACCCCGGGGATCCCCGGGAGGCGTGGAAAATTCGACGATCTCACCTGCAGGTCATGTGACGTGGCCTGCCTTGCATCGTCCCCCATGGCTAATAAGGTAGGATACAATCAGGAAGAGACAGCCACGAGCAGGCCACGGCCAGAGATACCGCGGAGTCCGGTGGACGCCGGTGACCATCTCACTCAATGCCAATCCCCAGCCGCGCTTCCCCTCACCCTAGCCCGACACTGCAACAGCAACGATCCTACGCCACCTCGCACCTCCTCACTGAAACAGGCAATTTGCACGGCAGGGTAGCTCTGGAGTGCGATTTGACTCGGTGGCGCCGCGAGAGAGCCGCCCGCAAAGGCTTATTTCTCGTACGTAATTTGTTGCCCGTTAGCGGCCGACAGCGTTGCACTCATTTTGCTAGGGAACCTGCCAAGCTCCATCCCAGACTGCGACCGTTGCTTATCTCGCCCGCATTTCCACCGCCGGCCACTGGCCAGCCTCCAGTCGCTGTACTCGTACGTAATTTAGCCGACCGAATCTCTGCCACTGATCGCTAATCTCTCTACTCCGTATCACTTCTGATACTGCAAATCGATGCTGCCTAAGAATCACCTGCGCTATCTGCCCTGCCCGGAGACACCGGTGAGTTTCGACCATCTTGGCACCTGGTTCATGTCTGAAATTAAGCATCGCGCTACAATTGAGCAAAACCTGCCGATGATGAAGTGGCTCAAACTCAACCCTGTCCTCATCCTCCTGCCCATCGGTGGGAGCCACCGTGTGCTGTTTGCAGCCTGCCCGGAACAACTCGGTCCGCCTTATCCTCCCTCGGTCTATGCATTCATGCCTTCACCCATGTTAAGCACAATGTCCGGCCTTCTACACAAAACCCCATAATAAACCACACAACCTTCATAATAAAACATCCCGGGGGAGAACCCTCGGACCCCTCTTCCTTACAGCTTCCCAGCTACCTCAATCTAAATACTATAATAGAGACTACCCGGGGGAGAACCCCCGGACCCCCCTTTTCTTTCAGCTTCCTGGCTACCTCAATTCTAAGGCCAAGTATATATGCGTCCCGGGGGAGAAACCCCGGGCCCGCTTTCTTCCAGCTCCCTGGCTACCTAATCTTAAACCAGGGATATACACCCACCCAAACACAGAGTAATATAAATGAGGTTCCCAGGAAGCTGAAAGGAAAGGGGGGTCCGGGGGTTCTCCCCCGGGACGTTTTATTCTAGAGGTGGTTGCAGTAATTCCGGGGGAGAACCCCCGGACCCCCCTTTCCTTTCAGGTTTCTGGCTAACTCAGTTTAACTTACTCATAACATATAGTAACTATAGTGATTGATACCCAAGGGTAAACACATAACATAGATGAGCACATACCCGCATCATCCAGTATTCCCGCCCCGCAGCAGACAAGCCTAAGGCCGCAAGGCAACAGGAAGCTACCCCGCCAAGCCCAACACAGCCGCGCCCATCTCACCTCACCTCACTCCCAAATCTACCCCACAATCACACCCTCAACAAACCCATCCCCAGAATTCAAAATGAGCACAAAAGAAACCCAAGCCGTCGTCTGCGTCTTGTAAGTCCCAGTCCCAGTCCCAGTCCCAGGTCCGTCCCCGTATCCCGAATAACCCACGACTAACGAATACCCAATGAAGCTGCGGCTCCTACCCCGGCACCTCGCCGGCGCACCTCGAAGCCGCGCGCGCACTGGCACAGCAGTTCCACGAACACGGCGTCCAACTAGTTTACGGCGGCGGCACGGTGGGGATAATGGGCGAGCTGGCGCGGACGCTGGTGGCGCTGTCGGGGCCGCAGGCGGTGCAGGGGATTATCCCGCGGGCGCTGGTGCGGGTGGAGGAGGGGTATAAAACGCCCACTACCAACAATACCATCAATGGGAATGGAGGGGCGGTAGGACCCCATGAAGGAGAAGGCAAGGCGCCGGAGCGGGCAGGCGAGGCGCTGGGGGAGACGACGGAGTACGGGCAGGTGACGGTGGTGGCGGACATGCACACGCGCAAGCGGCTGATGGCGCAGCGGGTGCTGGCAGGGGGGCCGGGGTCGGGGTTCGTGGCGCTGGCGGGCGGGTTCGGCACGATGGAGGAGCTGATGGAGGTCACGACGTGGAACCAGCTGGGCATCCACAAGGCGGGCGTCGTGCTGCTGAATATCAATGGCTACTGGGACGGGGTGCTGGCCTGGGTGCAGACTGCTGTCGCGCAGGGGTTCGTGAGTCGCGAGAACGCGGGGATCCTGGCTGAGGCGCGGCGCGCGGAGGATGTGCTGCGGATGCTGCGCGAGTATCGGGTCAGTAGTGATCGCATGGCGTTGGACTGGGGGCAGGAATAGAGTTTTATATTCAGTATATAGAATTGAGGTACCAGGGAGCTGAAAGAAAAGGGGGGTCCGGGGGTTCTCCCCCGGAACGCTTATATACTTGGCCTTAGAATTAAGGTGCCAGGGGGCTGAAAGAAAGGGGGGCCCGGGGGTTCTGTCCCGGAATCACTATTTATTCTATGATAACATCCCGGGGGAGAACCCCCGGACCCCCCTTTTCTTTCAGGTTCCTGGGAACCTCATTTACAATACTCTATATGGGGGTGGATGTATATACTTGGCCTTGTAATTAAGGTGGCCAGGGAGCTGAAAAGAAAGAGGGGTCCGGGGGTTCTCCCCCGAGACGCTTTAAGTACTTTAGTTTATACTATTCCCTACTCCGGACATATATATCAACATAAAGCCCTGAAGACAGCAACACCCTGCAAGACAGCGCCCAAGCCCACGGCAACCGCGTTCTCTTTGATGCCGTGGCGGAGGTACCAGGCGGAGCTGGCCCACAGCATGGCGTTGGTGATCAGGGCAATTGCTTTGTTGGTGGGGGTGCGGAGGAGGGCGGGGTTTTGGGACCATTGGTAGTGGAGGAGGCCTGTTTTATTAGTATTTCTTGGTAAGATGGGGGGGGGGGGGTTGGGTAGGAACAGACCTGTTGTGAAGAAGAAGGCGCTTCCCTGGTGATTGTTAGTTCTTCAGTACGGGGTAGTAAGGGGTGGTTATTCTGGGGGTATGGTATATTCGAATGGGTGATGCTGGATGAATCTAGATCGTGCATTGCTACTCAGCGGGGCATTGATCTCACCTGGTACCAGCCTACGATGCCCATGGCCCAGGGCTGGGTGTTGGAGATGATGGTGTACGCGGGGTCGGCGGTCCATTGCATGCCGCCGAGCTGGAGGGTTGTTAGTATTTCTTGGTGAGAAAGGGGGAGTGATGTGCTGACCGTATGGCCGACGGAGAGCCCGATGAAGGACAGCGCCGAGGCTTGCAGGGTGCGCGAGGGGACGAGGGCGGGGGTAGCCATTTGTGTATCTTCGATCTAGCGGATAATGGTGATTAGAGTAGAGTTGAGTAGAGTAAGCAGTCAGACAAGGTTCCGATGGGCGCGGAAGGGCGGAGGCACGGTTAAGTACACCGTGCGGGGAGTGAAACAACTATTTCAGCTCTTACGTCAGGCCGCGCCGGATTCAGGTACGGAAGTTTGTCGCCGAGTCGGTCGCCGACATTGTTACATTTGATATAGATTGAAGAGAGATGCTTTGAAGTTTCCATGCTATGCTGAAAAGCGAGGATAGTTTGTTATGCTCGTCTCATACTTGTGCTGCGTTGCTGATAATGTGTAGAAAGTAGATTGATAGCATATGAGATTAAGTCGGTCAATCCAGGGCAGCTCCTGATTGGGTTAGCGTGGCTCGGCGAGTTTCGACCAGTTGAAATGCATCGGAGAGCGGAGGGAAGTGCCTGCTATGCAGTTATGCAGCTTAGAGCACTATGCACTGCTAGTTCATCACACCGCGGGCTCCGGATACACCAGGAAGCTGAAAAAGAAGGGGGGTCCGGGGGTTCTCCCCCGGGATACTTATATACTTGGCCTTAGAATTAAGGTGGCCAGGAAGCTGAAAGGAAGGGGGGTCCGGGGGTTCTTCCCCGGGACGTTACAATCTATATACAACCATCCCCATCAGCTCAGGATTCCTACTCCTCCAGTCCGCCTCATCAGAGTTATACAGATACGGCATGACGACGTTCCGCACGGTCGAGAAGAAGTAATTGAAACTGAAGCCCAGCGCAAGGGACTTGGCGCGCAGACGCACGGCCGAGACCTCGCCGGCGACGGCCATAGCGGCGCCGATGGCGGGGCCGTACACCCCCACCACGAGAGCTGAAGGAAGACGCCGACCACCCTTTCATCTTCCCAAGCGGTGACTTTTGACTTGGTTACTATATTGTGTCAAGCCAGTTCTACCCCCAAGGAGCGCTGCTCAGCACCGCTCCGCTCATGGTCGGCCTTAGGATATAATTCAATCCTCGGTCAGCCATTCCCTTCCATCGACAAACAATATACACACACCTAAGAATCAACGTCAGCTCTCAAAAACGAGAACACCACTACAAAAGAACCAAGACCCAGACGAAAAAAATTGCAGTACGAACCTAAGTATTGAACCTCGATACCCTCCTTCGGGAATCGATACACCGGACAGCGAGTCCCTCGCCACCAGTCCTCTCATGACAGGCCGAGCTGTCTCTGTAATCGGTTTTCCCCAACTGGGTGCTGTCGTACTCGCCTCGCTTGGATATCGTTCAGCTACCAAAAAGCTTGGGCTTTCGCACCGGAGTGGTTGAAAGGTCCTATGCCTGCTGCTTGCGTGCATTGAGTAGGTTTGATGCTTGTTATGCAAGGCGCTTGTGTTACCCACGGTGTAATGCTCCTGACTATTTGCAGTAGCCGCTTTCCGGAGGGGGTCGGGTTCGTATTATAGCAGCGTCGCGAGATGAGTTCAGGTAGCGGCAATTCCAGCTAATGCACGATTGCAAAGGTGGAATGAGCTAGGAAAAAGGTAAGCGCCTTGGCAGACTGAATCGAACGCAGGTCACAATGCAGCTCCGGAGTTGGGACTAGAGGCGGTAGCCTAAAATGAAGCCAGCGAGCCTCATTTGAATGAATGATCATAGCGCATGTGAAGCTGACCACAAGGGCTTTAACGATGAAGGCCCAAGCGACGTGCCATTCGCAAGTTAGTCGCATGGTAGGCGGACGATGCGACAAGGCTAAGCGCCGGGAGCCGCCACGTCAGACTTTCGCACTGGGATGTTGCATAAAAGTCTTGAGGGTGCTCAGTACTATGTTCTGGGAGCCTGAATTGTCATTTGAGGATGCAAAAGCATTGACAGCAATCTAAACACGAAGCCATGAACCCTCCATCCCGCCCCCTAAGACACAAAGACTACACGATCGCGTGCATCTGTCCGATGGGCGTCGAGCAAGCGCCAGTCGAGGCAATGCTAGACGAATTCCACCCGGATCTCCCCACAAACCGGAACCAAAACAGCTACACGCTTGGGCGCATGGGGAGGCATAACGTGGTGATCGTGATTCTGCCCGGAATCGGGCTCAACAGTGCAGCAGCCGTCACGATGCAGCTGCTGAACGACTTCCCGTCGGTTGAATTCGGGCTGCTGGTCGGTATCGCGGGCGGCGTCCCCGATCTGCAACGTGGCGTGGACATCCGACTGGGCGATGTGGTGGTCAGTAAGCCATCCGGGACTTCGGGCGGGGTCGTCCACTTTGCCTATGGCCCTGCTCTTGGGAACGGTCGCTTCGAGCGCATCGGGAAATCGTACAGGCCCCCCGAGGTGCTGCTCGCTGCTGTGACGAGGATGGAGGCACTTCATCGTCGTGGGGGGAGTCAGATTCCATTGTACCTTGACCAGATGCTGCAGAAATATCCGAAGATGAGGCGGGGGAATTATGTTTACCAGGGCGCCGAGAACGATCGACTTTTCGAGGCGGAGTTCGACCATCATGGTGGAAGGGATTGTGCGGATTGCGATCCGGAGCGGATCATAGAGCGCGAGCTGCGTCTGGAAGATTCACCGGTTGTGCATTATGGGGCGATCGGTTCATCTGATGTTGTGGTCAAGGATGGGCGAATGAGGGACCGACTGCGAGAAGATCTCGAAATCAAGTGTGTGGAGATGGAGGCCGCTGGTGTCTTGGAGGTTGTTCCCTGCTTGGTCATCCGTGGCATCTGTGACTATGCAGACTCACACAAAAACAAAAGATGGCAGCCCTATGCGGCTGCCGTGGCTGCGTCGTACATGAAGGAGCTGCTGTCTATGGTTCCGCCAATCCAGGTACAGGATGCGATTCTTGAGCAAGGAATGGTAGATCGGGATGTGACTCGAACAGCTGTTGACATACTGCTATGTCTTTTCGGCGTATCGTTAGCGTACAATGCATACAGCTTCTTGTCGCTGGGCTGACGAAGACTGAAGCAAGTTCAGCCTGTCTGTTTCTGCATGATCAACACCGTCGTGGTCATGGCGACCGGACCAGCTAGTGGCGTTGTGACTTGGCGGGGTGCCATAAGGTCGGCATCAGCTCGAGTGTCGGTGCTCTGGTCGTTTTGATGTATTATATAAAGTCATGGTCGTCTTGAAGGAAGGTTCAAATGATTATGAAGGCCGAGTTCGGGGATATGTTGATGGGGCGCGCGAGGTGTATCGAGCTACAGTGTCCTCCACATCACGAAGGCGCGGTGGTAGGTTGCGTCGAGGTGTGGTCGACAGGGTAGATGACTTCGGTCGTGGCGATATGGAATGTGCTGTGGTGGGTGGACGCTATATACTCGGGATTTGAACATGGAGAGATGGGTGGCGGGTTTGTGAGGGTGAAAAAGGAGATGCAGTGAGAAAGGGGAAGGCGAAATATATATGTTCGATTGATTGCCCTGAATACCCTCATGTCGTACAAGTCTTGTCTGTGGAACACGGTTCAGGCGAAGGGAATCATTAGGTAGCGGTTGCAGGCATGTTCTTCGAGGTGGCAGGGATGTGAGAAATTGAGGTCGGTTGTTGTGAAGGGAAATGCGATGGACTATGTTATGCTAGTTTTATTGACAAGGTGCGGTATAAAACTACGTCGGCGGTAGATGATCTAGACCAGGTTGCTTGGATAGCCCGTGATTATTGTGCTGGAGGTGTGAAGGACTTATATTCGGAGAGTCATCGAGTTTGTTTCTTCTGACGCGTGTTGGTCAGGTCATTTAAGACTAGGTTTGCCTTTTGTACATCCATCTGCCATGCGCTACTATGATCATATTCTGCACTGATCCCAACTCATTTTATATACAGTACGAGGAGACTGGCGAACTATGTTGTCGATGTTCCATGGCAGCAAGACCACGGGGTTGGACTGCATCCAATTACAAGGCCGCCTCTCGAAAGCCGCAATCCAGCCAGACCGGCAGTGAATTGTGAAGAGTAGAGCAAATTCCGCCCACTCCAATCGAGCCCCGTGCGATCATAGCCGTTGAGTCCCTACTATACACCAGGTCTGACATCGATTCATGTTCCCTGCTTTAAAGAGCCGCCTAAACCTGCTCCTACCAATTCAAGTTTGCGTCTAGTCCGGTTTCCTGGCCTTTCTAAACACGTTCTTGCTGGAGCCGAAAGTGTGCTGGGGCCGTAAGGGTGGCGAAGGTGGCGGTGGCACGGGCTTGGGAGCTGGCTTCACTTCCTTCGGCAGATTGGGGTTCTGTCCTGGCTTGGACGGATTAGCCGGCTTGAAGAATGAGTGTAGTGAGACGACTCGGTGGGGCTGCTGCTTGATCGCCTCAGTCGGCTTCAATTCGGGGATCATTGCGGGTCTGAACAGGCCACCCGGCCTAAAAAATGTGTGTTGAGAGGTTACTTGCTTCGGCTGCTGGGCGGGAGCCTTAGATGTCTCCATTGCCGGCGGTTTGATGACTCCTTCTGGCTTGAGCTCAGCTGGAGGATTTTCCGATTCATGTCTGAAAGGCTGCGGCTTTCGAGGCTGTGTCTCTGAAGGCTGCGGTTGCGTAGCGAGCGATTCCATTAGTTTTTCGAATATTGCGGTGAGCTCCGCATTCCGTTCGACTGTCCCGTCCGGGGACTCTGCAGCCAGCTTCCCCGAAGCCTGTTCAGTCGTCTTCGGTGGGGCTTGTTCAGCCATCTTTTTCGGGCCTTGTTCAGTCGTCATCTCCGGGATTTCTTGAGCTGCTTTCTCCCGAGTCTCTCCAGCCGTCTCTGAAAACTGTTCAGCTGTCTCTTCTGCGGTCTGTTCTGCGGTCTGTTCTGCGGTCTGTTCTGTGGTCTGTTCTGTGGTCTGTTCTGTGGTCTCTTCTGCGGTCTGTTCTGCGGTCTGTTCTGCGGTCTCCTCTGCGGTCTCCTCTGCAGTCTCCTCTGCGGTCTCTTGTGCGGTCTCCTCTGCAGTCTCCTCTGCGGTCTCTTCTGCGGTCTCTCCAGCTAGCTCCTCCTGAGTCTGTTCAGTCAGGTTTTCTGGGGCCTGTCCAGCTAATTCCTCTGCAGCCAATTCAGTCATCCGCTCCGGGATCTCTCCAGCCGTCTCCTCCAGGATCTCTCCAGTCAACTCCTCCGGAGTCTCCTCAGCAGGGTCTTCGACTACCTCCGCCTCAACCCTTTTCACCTCATAATGGTCTAATATCCTATCTATCCAGTGTTTGGTCTCTAGATTATTCGGGCCCCCAGGCATATACTTCCTGAGAGGAGGAGTGAGCGTGCTCCGTAATCCCACCAAATCTCTCGCGTCCTCGTTCATCGACGCCAACTCATCTTCGGAAACCCACGATGCAGGGCCCGGAGTTCTGGTGAAGTATTTGTTGGCGGGCTTCGGGATCGGGGCCTCGGAGTGTACCAAGAAACGAGCGATCTGCTTCAACCGGGCGAAATTCTGTCTCCTGACGACAATTTTGGCGTGGTGCCACACGGGATTCGAGTTGAGCAATTCGTGGGTTATCTCTGGCGCCACAAATGGCAATGGTGCATAACGTCGTTTCACATAATTTCGGAGGCGTGGGTGGAGTTGTGGGTTCGCGACCTTTAGATATTTGCCAAGGTCGATCATGAGGCCGGTGGTTTCTGGGCCGAGGCTGAGGTCGCCTTTGTAACGGGTTCCTCGTTTGGATTCCGCTATCAGTTGGGATTCTAGGATGAAGGCGTGGATTCTTTGTTGCTGTAGTAAAGCGAACCTTTTGGTTAGGAGCGTGTCAATAGGTTCCCATCTATAGAACGTCGGCACGAAATCAGAAGACGAGCACTCCGGTGCGTCGTGTGTCTCTGCGCAGAGGGCAGAGAGCTCGGGCTCTTTCGCGAAAACCGCGTGCCAATCCACTTCTTGGATCACGGTGTGGGTGTCAATGATGCCCATCAACGCGGCATGTCTCTCTTTGCGTAGTTTCGCTGCATGAGGAGGAGGGGGCTGAGTACCCGTAAGGTACTTAGTAATGCCCATTGCGCGGAGGGCGGCCTCCGCGTTAGCGCGTGGCCAGAGTTCTTCGTCCCAGTCATAGTATGGGTTTGCAGGAGGTGGGTGGTCATGACTGATAGGGAGCGGGGTGACCGGGGTAGCTGCAGTAGATTGGTGTATGATGCTATCACTGGAAGGCGGGACATAATCCGCTTCACCGAGCTCTGGGCTTTCAGGAGGCGGGTGACTCGCGCTAGCCTCCGTGGATTGCTCCAATTTGCGTGCTCCAACAGCGGAAGCCTCGCCAATAAGTGTTGTGTCATTACTCTCCCTGTCGTGACCATGGCCCTCAGATAGTGTGTCTCTCTGGCTGGTCGTAGTAGACTGGTCAAATCCGGCTGCAGCAAAAGTGGAAGCCTCACAGACAGAGATTGAGCCAGAGCTCTCTCTGTCACGACCCTGGCTTTCCGAGGGCGTCTGAGTCTGACTGGCCTCCATGGTATGTCCTGTAATCTCGTCGGTGGGTACCAGGTCATCGGGAGATTCCTCAGGCACCTGATTCTCGACAGCCCCCATAGACTGGGTCAATTCGGAGGCAATGACGGTGGGATCGTGAATAGACATGGAGCTTTCGATCTTACCACTATCGTCTTGGATTTCAGGTAGCGAATCACTCTGGCTAGTTGTAGTAGATTGGTCGATGATCTCGTCGGTGGGCATTGAATGGCGACTTTCTGCTTTATGGCCATGATCTTGCGAGGGCACCGGACTCTCACTAGCCTTGGTGGTCTGGCTCAATGCTGGTGCGCCAATGATGGGGCTGACAGACATCGAGCTTTCGACATTTTTACTGTCATTTTTGATCCCAGATGGAGAGTTGGTCTGGCTGGGCGTAGTAGATTGGATGGTGGTCTCGCCGGTGGGCATCGAATGACGACCTTTTTCATGGCCATGATTTTGCGAGCGCACCTGACTCTCCCTGGCCTTCATAGGCTGGTTCAATGTTGGTGCGCCAATGATGGTAAACCCTTGGATAGGTATCCAGTCATCAATGTCATCGTCGGGGTCTTCTTTCCGTACTTCCGGCTGGTACAGACCGAGCGCGTGGAGAACGGGGCGCACCGCTTGCAAATCACAATTGCTATCGATGAAAGCCGCTCCAACGATGGCAACAGCACTCGACTTGAGCTTCAGAGGATCGGGCTTCAATTGCGAGTTCGCCAGTCCCTTGTTGGGCAAGGTCGCGGTCACAATAGCATTGGCGAGGTTCGGTTTGAGCTGCAGCTCGGAAAATTTCAGCGGAAGGACGCCCGCCGGTGCACTCTTACGTAGTGGTAGCGAATGATCATATTCCTGGTCACTGTCAAAAATAGCTACTCGTTAATAGTGAGGGAGGGGGCATGTATCGTAGGTTTTACCTTACTCGTGGCGTAACGGTAATGTTCAACCTGACGCAGCGTTCTCACCACGCCGTATCCAACGTCTGAAAGTGTCCGGCTGCGTGTCGAAGGCGAGCGGACACGAGCTGGCTGAAGACGCAATTGTCCCAGAGCATCTACTAAATAGGTGACATTGCGAAATCGGTAGCCCAGCTCACGCTGCAACGCCCTCAATTCGGCCAGCGTCATGATGTCTGCTCGATCATTGCAATGCGCATCCCATAATCGACGGGCTTTGCAAGAGGGATAGTGCAGGCCGCCAAATTGGTTTGCAGTCGCAGAGTGCTAAGCTCGGCGCAGAACGGCGAGAAGTCGATATCAACAATGCTTTACAATCTGCAATGGTGTCAGGAGAGAGAAGATTTCTTCAGTTGCTTGTCGACGCGCCGACTGCAGTCCGTTCACCGCTTTGGCCTCCGCGGCACAGATCCTTTCAGTCTTTTTGCCTTCCTTTACCGCTTTGGAGCGGGAGTCTCACGTGCCAGGTACGTCCTCGATCTGGACGCGGGTCAAAAACTACTTAACAAACACACACTCTCTCTCTTCATCTCTCTCACACACATTGAAGTCGCCCCTTGCCAGTTTCATCTACTGTCTGCTGCTAGTTCTCCAAATCACTCGATTATCAAAGGGAAAAACGGAAGATGAAGATATTCTTCTCCTGTTCGGACAACTCAGAATGGCAGACGATTCCTCCAATAACAGCGGGCGCTACACGACCCCGAGTGACGTGACAGGGAGGCTGCACTGGTGCTGACTGCTGAGATGCGCGATAACTGCTTTTCAGGCAAAATGTCAGCTCCATCCTCTCTCTCGGCTCACTCACTTACTCCCTCTCCCATTCCTCCGCTGATAGCCTTGCATGAAGGATGGGATGCGGGGCTTTCCGTCTTTTCCGCCATCGTCGATCCCCACCGACAAGTGCGGGATCTGCTCAAGGAGTGGAGCGCCGCCCGGAGCGCGTCATCCGCGACACCCAACCTCAGCCTTCCCCAAGCCCAAACCTCACGGCCAATAAAAGACGATCCAGACCACCCTCCAGATCTTTGGCAAGTCGCCTATGCCACTCTTGATGACGAATCTCGACTCAACTTCCTTCACCTCGACCGGTTGATGGGGATGCTCGCGCGTCGGCTGCAATGCTGACCATCGTCGATAAGGTCATTCGGGACACGCGCGCAGAGTACTGTACCAGAAACACCAGGCGAAGGGTCTGGTATTTAACCTCGGGCATGACAGAGTGTTGGACATTAGAGGAACGGCGCAGAATGTACTCCGATCTGCCCTGGCCTTCAAAGATGTTGTCAGTGCGGCAGCCGCTTTTGATCCGACCGGCCATGCGTCCAGTGCCTGGACCGTGGTCTCGCTCGGTCTTACGGTTACTTGACCCCTCCCTCTTCATGGTGAAAGTAGCTGACCATATGTCTAGCCACTAGATGATGCAAAATGGTCTAAGCCAACGCGACGCATTCTTCCTCTCCGCCGACGTTCTCGCCGACGCCCTTGCCCGTTATTCTCTCGTGGACAGCCATTATCGCCAGCGGAACATCCAAAGGCAGTCATATTGACCGAGCCATTACGAATGTCTACATTGCCATACTCAACTCCGCAGAGGTTGTTGTCACGCGCGAATCGAATCGAGGGGTCAAAATAATCGAATCGATTCTACCGCCGAGCGAAACGGCTCTGAAGCAATTGGAAACGGCCATAGGACAGGCGGACACTGAGTTGGGGAAGTGGATACAGGTTGACGAGAGCCTCTCAAGGGACAGGGAGGCAAGAGAGATACTGGCCGGGATTGACAGACTCCAGTCTAGCATCAATCAGATCAACGACCAGATCCCTGCACTTCCCGAAGCCGAGGGTGTCACTTTCGAGTCGTTTGCCAACCAAGATGATCCCCGCTGCCTAGAGAACATCCGAGTCGATATCTTCCGAACTATCTACGACTGGGCCGTCGATCCGGACACTCAGTACTCGTCATACCTGAAGCGATGAACGCAAAGTGCAGTTGCAGCATTTGTCCTTTAGGAACTAACCGACAGACGCTTCGATCAAGAACAATCCGTTCCACGTTGATGAGAAAGCCACCCACCATATGGTAGCATTTGGCTGTATCGACCCGCACTTCGATATGGAATGCCGGTTGTCCGCTGACGGGCGGCTGCTCGCCATCATTTGAGGCGACCGCTACGCCGGAGGAGCCAAGCTTGTGGAAACAATAAACCAGCGCGTGATTCTTGACTCCCCCCCCACATTCTCGGATGCCATCCCGTCCCTCAAGAGTGGTGAAAAGAGCCACATGGGAAACCTTTCGCAGGATGGTCGGTTCTTTGCTCTCGCACAGCCAAACGGGTTCTGGATATATGATACCACGAACGGCGAGAGGATAGAATTGAGCTTGCCCCCGGAGAAAAATCGCAGTCAGTGGCTCGGCCAGTGGTTGACGACATTGAATGTAGCCAGCTATACCGGACGTGCCCTCACGGATCTTCCCAGACAGAATTTGACACCTCCAAAAACGAATCATCAGAATCGGATCTATCCAGACCTGCCATCGGGCGATGGCTTGAGGCCATCATCCTAACGGATCTATCAGCGGGGCTTGCGCAGAGAGCTTGGCGACTTGACTCAGCTAAGTTAAGCCTGAGGCCATTGGGTTTGTGGGGCTCGATGGGGAACTGGCTATAAATTGCCGGAGACCCTCCTGTTCCTTTCACATCGTATCCCTTTCCCACCTGAACAACCCACTTCCCTCCCCGTACATTCCTCGACTTTCCACTGAATCCACAGAAGAATGGCCACTGCTCAATCCAGCGCTCTCGCGACCGTAGAAATTCTCGAGAGTATCCTCCTGCACCTCGACATCCAGTTCATCCTAACCTCGGCGCAGCGGGTATGTCGCACCTGGCAGGATGTGATCTCGACGTCACCCTCGCTGCAATAGCACCTCTTCCTCCAGCCAGACTGGAAGTGCAAGCCTCCGCTACTAGTCCGCGTATTCCCGGCATGGTTCCTCTCCAGCGAGTAGAAGTCCGAACGGAAGGAGGAAACCGGACCGTACGGCGTCACATCACGGTGGGACCTCGACGACCCGGCGCAGAAGGCGTGTTTCACGCGCCGCACAGCCAGCTGGCGGCGGATGCTGGTGCGACAGCCGCCCATTCTGGGAGCCATCTTCTTCAAGCACACGCCGTATGACAAGACGAAGATCGACAGAATCGACCTATGTCTACGGCCTATTCCTTTTATGCGCTGGTCTTCCGTCAAGTAAGCATGCCACAGATTCTAAGCTCGTTAGTAGTAGGAGGAATAATCAAACAAGCATTTGCATCACACCCATCCCCAAATATAGAAGCCCCAACCAAACCAATTGAACCAAAAGCAACCCCCTAACCGCCAACAACCACATCATCCCCCTTAAAAACCGCCCTCCAATGCGCGCGCACCCCCTCACACAACCCAGTGTTATTCCTCCACGACACAAACAACCCCTCATACGCACACGCCACACTAACCGTCTCCTCCCAGACGACCCTCTCAGCATCAAACCCGATGCTCTCCAGCGCCATCGGCGGATAAGTCCACAGCCTAGCCGGGCGCCCATCCAGACCCCTCAACTTCCTCCCGAGCAGCTCCTTCCCGGGATTAAACTCCGGCGCACCGGCGTGGATGAAGAATGCGCGGGGTGTCAGCCCGAGCCCTGCTCCCTTTCGACCATCCGGTCCCATCCGATGAACAGCAAAATCCTCTCCCGGATCAACCTGAACAAACCCCGCATTCAGCGCGGCCGTCGCTTTCGCAGCGGTATTCATCCGCCCGATATCTACCGGCGGAGTGCGCACCGCATAGAACGGCAAGTCCAGAGCCGTCGCGGCGTGCAGGAAGGTATCCTTGTCTCCGGCGCCGGGGGCACCTTGGTTCAGGAGCGGGTAGTAGTATTCCGGGCCGTGGAAGTTGTAGTATGCTGCTAGCAGGAGGGTGGGGAGGTGCGTGCGCTTAGAGAGGAGAAGGGTCCCTGCTTCTGTGGACGCGCGTGAGGTGGATTCAGGGGTGGGTTGGCGGGAGATCGTGAAGTAGATGCCTGCGGCGGTGTTGGTCCAGAAGTCTGGCCATGTGACTAGGCCTGTTGTTGTGAATGGGGCGGAGGTGAGGAGGAGAGCTGGGTCGTGGAGGGGGATGTTGTCTGCGTCGAGCCAGAGGAGGGTCTCGAAGGTGGAGAAGAGGATTGCGAAGGCTTTGAGTTGGTAGCCTTTTATCCTCGTTGTGTTTGTGTTTGTGATGGAGGAGAGGAGGATGCAGTTGGCGTTGAGGGCTGGGAGGACGCGCTCGCAGATTTCTGCTTCGTATTCGCTGTCATCTTGCAAGAAGACTTCGACGGGGAGGGTTGAGTTGGTGCGGCGGAGGAGGTGGAGGGTTACGACTAGCGTCGGTAGGTATGTGCCTCCTGCGGCGGTGACGATGCCTTTTGTCCCTGAGATGAAGGCGCGCGGGGAATTGAGGGTGTGCAGGCTTTGCACGAAGCCGTCGTGCGCTGTCTGCATCGGGAGCTCGATCTCGTTGCGATTCTCGATGTAGTCTTCGCGAGGGATGGGGGTGACGCTGTCGAAGCGGACGGCGCCGGCGCTGCCGCGGAGGATCGGTGCTGGGCACTGCGGTGCGTATCGGGCCAGCAGGGGGTGAAGCTGTTGCCAGAGCTGGGAGCGTTGGTCGTGGAGTGTGCTATGCTGGCATTTGGGTCGCTGGTGCCGGAGGTAGTGCAGATTCAGGAGGAGGAAGACGAGAAATAGAGACGCGACGATGGTCCGGCGGGCACCCGGCATTGCGTTAAGCTTACACTGTAGATAGGATGATAAAACGAGAGAGTTTGACCATAGTAGCTATGAGAGAGATTATGAGTAGCTTTGTTGCAGTGCCGCAGATTGATTTGGGGTCTTGGTGATAACCGCGGTGCAAAGCTGGTATCTGGGGCGGCCAGTAAGCGAAGCCCTAGAAGCGCCGGGACACACTATACAGCCTCAGTAACCACACAGGCTTAGCCGCCCGGCATTCCTGCAGTCTCGGACCGGGAAGCTGAAAAGAAGGGGGGTCCGGGGGTTCTCCTCGGGATACTTATTGGGTCAGTCCGATGTCTCTGTGACGCAGGTCCGGCGTGATGCTATACAAAGGCATACGGCCCATAGTAGTGTGATTCAACAATAACTCCTAATGGAAAGACAAAGAGTATGCTCTGACATGCTGATATCGATCCATTATCACAGCTGTTGTTCCGACGCCCCGGATTGAAACTCTCCATAATCATTCTTTATGTGGAGTAATTCAGCCTACACAGACCATTGTTCCATACCTTCGATTCAAGACTTGAAAAAACTACAGAATGATAGCTTCACAGCATATCAGCTGGCTATAAATATCCCGTTAGTCTTTTCATCACTCCATCATATCCCACACATTCCCAGGCAATAGACTGTCCGAGAACCTCAAACGCAACCATGCAGCCTTCCATGAACGCCTGCATGAACGCCCTGGGGATGATCAGCAGCTCAATCGAGGAGGAAACCTGGGAGACCGAGTTCGAGGGCCACAGCATCACGGTGACCGGAGAGAAAGAACCCCTGCAGCGCCTGCGCAGCCACCGTACAAGCCCGGCCGCCGACCCCGAGCGTTCCGAACTGCTGATCCCCGTCCTCACCTTCTGCATTCCCCCCAATGTAGACGAGCCATGGGAGTTCGCCGTCCGCTTCCTGCAACACGAGGTCAACACGCAACGCCAGAACCACGATTATCCCGCGGACACGACCTTCGCGGGCGTCGCCTGCTGTGAACAGCTCGGGCGATATCGCATCTTCTACGAAGCGTCTCCCGCCGATCCCGGGCCGTTGCTGGGTTATACCTCGCCGCGCGGCCAGGTCGAGCTCCCTATGACGTTGGACCCCATGGATCACTCTATCATCCAGCACTTGGGCGCGTTCGTACTCTTCATGCTCCTCCAGAAGAACGGGAGACAGGCTCGGGCTGAGGCCACGACTGACTGATTATGGCCAGTATGCATAAATACACTTGACTACACCCTGCTCTTTATCCTTCAATCCAGATATAAGCGTCCCCGGGGGAGAACCCCCGGACCCCCCTTCCCTTCAGCTTCCTGGTGCACCTCAATCCATACAGAGACAAACTATGCCCCCTCAGCCAGAACCTCAGTCCTAGACCGACTCTTCGGATCCAGATACGGCCTCTCGCCAATCCCAACCGCACGATGCCCAAACCGCTCGCCGAGCCCCTCATAATCAAACGTCGCCGTATGGAACACACTGCGATTATCCCAGATCGCTAGACATCCACACATCAGCCACACCCCACCCAAATCCCCACCAAGGAAGGAGGAGAAACATACCAATATCATGTTCATTTCTCCACTTCAGCCGAACCTGCAAATCATGATTCCGCTCCACAATCTCCCGGAACCGTCCCAATAACTCCACCGACTCCTCAGCCGTCAACTCATTAATAAACTTCGGAAACGGCCCGACCGCAAACACACTCTTCCAGCCCGTCACCGGATTCGTCCGCACAACAGGATGCACAGCGGTAACCTCGGCCCCAACATTCAACGGACTCCCGCGGGGGTCCGTATAGATCCGTACCTCAGCGGGATTCCGCTCGGCAGCGCGCAGGAACCCCTCGCCGGAGAACGTAGCCGTCAGACCCTCGAGAAATTGCCGGTAGGCCGGCGAGAACCGGTCGTAGATCTCGTAGCCCGAGGCCCAGAGCGTGTCGCCCCCTGTGCGCGGGAGCTGCGTCAGGCGCAGGGAGGTGTAGTCTGCGGGGGCGGGCTCGAACTGGATGTCTGAGTGCCATTGCGCGGAGTCGTAGTTGCGTTTGTTCGGTTGAGCTGGGTGGTTGAAGAGCTTCTTGCGCGCGAGCGAGCTGACGGTGCTGATTTCGGCGTCATCGACGCCGAATTCGTTGGTGTTGTTCAGGACGGGGTGGATGTGGAGGGTTGAGGTGCTGGGTTTGCCGGTTAGGATGCCTAGGCGCTGGATGAGCTTCTTTTGCAGGTCGTCTGTTAGGTTGCTTTGCGAGCGGAAGATTACCACCCCGCGTTCGGAGACTGCGTTGGGTATTTGTTAGTCAGTTGGGGGTGGTTAGGGGGAAGGGGTGTGTACTGGTGATGGCCAGGTCGCGCACGAGCTCGTCCGCGTTCGGCGCGTTCAGCAGGTCGTCTACGATGTTGACGGTCGGGTACTCGCGTCCGATGACCGGGGTCGTCTCTTCGTACTCGAACTTGTCCAGTGCGCCGCTCTTCTTCAGAGGTTTGGGGTACTGTGGCTGTTGCTGGTCGGCATCGGGGTGCGGGTGGATGGGGATAGAGTCGTCGATTCCAGGTGCCATGATGAGAGTGGGGGGTTTGTTGTTCAAGGGATTGAGTTTGGAGTTCAATTGAGATCATGTTGGATAGCGCTATTTATACTTCTAAGTACCGTAGGACTGGTTTCCTGTATAAGCCCAACGTCTATCCCGGCATATCACGCAATCAGCGGTGCATGTTATGCAACCACCCGCCAACAATGCATCACCGGCCGTGCGTACCCCGCAACTGTCGGCTCGTTGCGCCATGTGTGATCTTATCGATTGATCTGGCTCTCTGTCGTCCTATCGAGGTGCTTAAACACGCGGATTACGCCATCGGTGCCATGGATGGCATATGCGGTAGCGTTTCTCATCACGAATCGCATGCCGAGTACCCGGTATTGACTGCGATGAACACAATACATTCTTACTTGGAGTGCTCGCACTGTGTAAGCATTATGCTCGATAGGAACAATGCGTGGGTGACTGCAGTTCTGTGGGGGTACTTTAATGAACCATGTCATAGACATCTACTGAGCCGTATGTCGGAGCCTGGGAGATGTGAGGCGAATAGTAGCAGCATCTCTCTAAAATTGAGGTTGGCTGGGAAGCTGAAAGAAAAGGGGGTCCGGAGGTTCTCCCCCGGGACGCTTATATCTCTGGTAAAGGCTTGAGGTGCACCAGGAAGCTGAAAGAAAAGGGGGGTCCGGGGGTTCTCCCCCGGGACGACCATGTTCAGTGTACATTATAATGCCTACTATATTGTGACCGTGTTTATAAGAATAGCGTGATGCAGCAAAAGCAAAAGGTATCAATTCTGCGGACTCATCCCCAAGAAAAACAACATATGCATTCCAAAACGGACGCTCAAAAACTCCCCCACACAGATGCACGTCTGGGCCAACCACCCCTCACCCCATGTCACGTATATCGTCGGAATCTAGGCAAAGCCGGGGAAGCAGTCCTGGAGGGTCTTGTTGTGCTTGTTCTGGGCATGCTCGGTGAGGGCGGGGGCCTTGGCGGTCTTGAGGAAGGTGGACCTGCAGATCTGGCAGATGATGTCCTTGGCGGCTTCGTTCTATGAGAGTGTGAGCGGTGGTCGATGATCTACTCCATCTTCTTCCTTTTCTCTCTTCATCGCTCCCTCTCTTCAGTTCGCCTCCCCATGACAGCCCCTCTCCGGAAAGCAGAAATACGTACGGCCTTCAACTGCGACTTCCCGCCCTTGTTAGCATCCTTGGCGTTGCGGTCACGCTTCATCTGGGCTTTGGCTCCCTGCGAATCAACCATGATAAGTATGGGCTGGCACAGATACCGCGGGGTGGGTGGTATCCCGCGCGCGGTTTCGCTGGACTTGAGCGGGAGACTCCGCTCAAGTCATCGATCGCGTTGCATCTTGCAGAGTAGAAATCAGTTAGTCGCTTACGTTTCCCATGGTGGCGGTGGTGCTTTTGGCAATAACTCGAGAGAGAGGAGAGTGGTGGTGGTGAGATGGAGTTGGTCTGTTCAGGGGTTGTTGTGAGAGAAAGTGTCAGATGCGGGGGAAATTTTTCTTCGAAAGGAGGGGATCGGAAGTTTTTTTCTCGCGCGGCTTATCTTTGGCCAGGGGCAGTTGGGTCTTGCTGGATTGGGGTTAGTGTGGAGGACTGAGGCAGAAAAGTGGATGGGGGCCTCAGGCTGCCACTTGGGTCTAGACCGTGTTGGAGCCGAGGCATTTTCATCAACAGTTGGTATGACTCTTCGGACTGCGCCAAGTGTGAAAGACAAGGTGAATCGATATCGCAGATGGATGTAAGGTATTCTTTGATGAGTATCTCTGTTACTTTTTGCTTCTATGACCTCTCAAAGTGACAGCGTGGCGAGAGACCAACCTTGTTGCAGTGCCGCTCTGTCGGGTTCGTTGCAGTACTAGGACAATATGACATGCCATGGCCCTGTCAACAATTGTCACCGCTTTAATGCATGAATTGGCCCGGGGAACTGACTGCGAGCTATAAAGTCTATTTGTTCATCAAAGCCCGGGCTCTTCCTACATACTCTCAAGCATCTGGCCACTGTCAAGTCGATCTTATACGCTCGCGCGACGGTGCATGACAGTATATCAACTCTACCACGATTTGACCGATCACAGAACGAATAACTCATCAATTAATCCTGATCCGTGAAGACTCATCACTGTCTCATCCTCAGGGCAGGACGATCAATCGCAGCGAATCTAAGAAGCATGTCAATCCTACTGCTGCTTTCTACATCATTTTCTCAAAGCATACTCAGCATGATTGTGGATGTCGACCAGCAAGTCCAACTCGTCCCCCTTCAACTGATATACTATTTTTGTTTGTACTCTTGATATGGTGATGCTTTAACTCAATCCCCATGCGTACCAGCCATGATCAGCCAGTACGACGCTACCCTCCGGTAACTTCCTCAAACCTTCATAGAGAGAATCAACCGCCGCAACGGCGCATTCGCACCCCTCCTCGCCTCTACCTCATCCAACACCCCCCAAACCCCCTCCCACAACTCCTCAAGCGTCGTCAGCGTATATTCAAAAGCCCCACACTCCCTCATCGCCTCAACAACCGCCTCCTTCTCCTCATCCGCTAAGCCCCTCCTCACCTCGCCCACCGGCCCCGGAAAAACAAGCCGATGAACCTCCGTCGCCCTCGCACTCCTGCTCAAAGTGCAAACCAACGGAAACGAGAACTTCCCCTCATCCAGATCCTCACAGCGCCCTTTCTTAGCCGTGTACTACCCAGCATCGCATCGTATCGCATCAGCCTCTGCCCTTCACTCAAACCAGAAGAGTACGCACCTCAAGATCGACAAGATTCAAATAATCATCGCGTATCTGATAATACCGCCCCAACAGCGCAACAAGCCGCAACACCTCTTCATTCCCTTCGTCCCCGGTATCCGCACCGGTACCTCCAGTCCCGATCCGCATCCACCGCACCACCAACCGAAACAAACTCCCGGTCTTGTTATCCACCATGCCCAGATACTCGGCCAGCGAAGGGCATTTCTGCTCGAATGTCCAATGAAGATCCAGCGCCTGACCCGCGCCGAGATTCTTGAGTTCCTGGAAGAAGATCTGCAGCGCTGTCTCCCCGAGACGCTGTGCGATGCTCGCTGTCAGCGTCATCAGGGTGTACGTCGCGCTGTTGACGGTCTGGCCCAGGCCGTATTTTATGTGTGCGGCTGGGTGGCCGCGGCGGAGGGGGGTGCTGTCTTCTATATCGTCCAGCCTATAATTCAATCAGTTGGTGGCTGGTTGGGGGGATGGGGTTGGGGGTGGGGAGGGGTGTACTGTACACTAGGATGGTGGTGAAGAGCGTGGCTGTTATCTCGCGCATGGGCGTGAGGTATTCTTCTGGTGTTTGGAACCAGGATTCGAGGGCTGTGATGAATTTGGTTAGGGTGGCTTTGCCGGGTAGGGCTTGCGTGTATTCTATTGGGGCGCGGCAGATCTGCCCTGGGTTAGTTGGGTCTTGGGGTTAAAGGTGGGGAGGGTACGTCTTCTGCGTTTACTGGCTGGAAGGGTGCTAGGAGGGTTGTTTTGGGGAGGGTGGGTTTTTCTTCTTCCCGGGGGTTGGTTTGGTTGTCATTTGGGGGGTTGTTTGAGGGCTCCATAGTTTTGGGTTGGTTGGTCTTGATGGTGGTGAGGTTGAGAAGGTGGGACAATGAGGTTGGTTTGGGTTCGGAGATAGCCGCCCGCTTATCGGTCTGCTACCCCACACTACAGTACTTCAAGCACTTCATCTAAGCACAGCGGGGAGAGTCTGTGGCTGGGAGCTGAGAGGAAGGGGTCCGGTTCTCTCTGGGGATACTTTATAGAACCAGTGATATAGGATTGAGTGTAGCCAGGAAGCTGAAAGAAAAGGGGGGTCCGGGGGTTCTCCCCCGGGACGCTTATATCTGGTATAGGGTTGAGGTGTCTGGGAGGTAGAAGCAGAGAGGTCTTCCTTGAGTTGAAGGCTGTTTGACCAAGTGGTCCGGAAGATATGCACAGGAGTGAATCAAGCTAAACAGAAGCACGGGGTCATTTTCACTAGGGAAGAAGGTCGAATTTTTATCTTCGAGTTATTATGACGATGGAGTTTGATGATTCTTGGCACTCTTTGTATACTATCAACAAGAGTATAGCATAAGATAACAAGATATGGATGTAGATTTCATTTCTTCAGGGCAAATGTGGCTCTCAAAAATATGTGCTGATACCTACGGGCTAGAAAGATAATTGAATGCATTAACTACGCACACTGACCATGAAAACATGCATAGAATATTTAATATACACTGAAGTTGTCTGCTTGAGCTGACCAGTTCTACCAAGCCCATGTATACCAAGTGGGAAAGAGCACCCGTTGTCTAACCTTGCCCAACTCCATCCGACTACACTATCATTCACCAAACCAAAATTCACCTTCATCGGACTTCACAACCATAAATCAGCACCGTATTCTAACTGCATCGATTAGGCCTCTATCTAAGCCATCCACTGAATTCCCACTCCAGTTCTTCCCGAGCAAACCCACCAAGTCTCACCCATAATCAAAACAAAGACTAGTACCCACCAACCATCCTTTGTCCATCACTCCCAACCACTTTCAACACAGTTACCACAAAGACACGAAAATAGCATCTTTATCTTTTCTATCGAAGTGAAACAGTGAATTCACCCTGCATGGCCATCACAGCGATAGCCCACTCTTCCATCCAAGCGACTTTTCACCAACCTAGTACATCGTTCTATCCACAGCGCTACACTATCCTGAGCGATTAACAACAAACCTGCTCAACTTAGTTCTCTTCCAGAACCACCTATCATTGAACAAAAACATCTTCTCATCTTGTCTCGTCCACATCGGTTCAACTCACCCATCGTTCCGTTCTCCCTCACATTAGACTGAACCCAGTCAACACACACAGAAAGACAACAAACGGAACCCAATCCGGAGAATAAAAACAAGACTTACACCCACCACCACCTCACCCATCATCCTTCCCGCAACTACAAGTTCCGAAATGGCTCGGGCAACGAAAATGAAACGTGCAGCCGCGATGCGGAAGGGAAAGCAAGGTGCTGCGTTGAAGGAGAAGACACTGGGTTTACAGCGGAGGGAGCAGGGTCTCGAGATGGAAGTATCCAACGGGAATGGGATCAAGGTTGCGCCGCAGAGTGGGAAGGAAAAGGAGAAGAAAACACGGGTTGTTCAACAGAATGGTTTGGGTCCCGAGAAGGAAACACAGGTTGTCCAGGAAAATGGTCAAGGTTCTACGAGGAAGGACGATCAGCCCGCTAAACAGAAAGAGAATCGCTCTTCCCAGCAGAAGAACCAACCTCCCCAGCAGAAAGACAACCAACCCGCCAGACACAGAGGAAAAGGCAGACCACGGAAGAATCAGCCCCCAAAGCCAGCGCAGCCTGCAGACAAGGACGAAAACGAACCACAACAACAGGATGGCAACTCCACAAAAACCAACCAAACCTCTGAACAGACAACCAAGCGCAAGGCTCCCCTCTCACAGAACAGCAACCCTCCCAAACGACGCCGCCGCAGTCCGGCGCCCAGTCCTCCTCCGAAGTCCGTACAAACCGAGGGAATGCGTGCCCCCCGTTCGAGACGAATTCCCTCGCAACACAACGAAGAGCTCCGCAGGACCCGGAAGATGCGCGGGAGGGCACGAGTCGACCAGGCAAAGTTCCCATTAACCGAAGGACAAACCAAAGGAATAACAAAGTCTAAAGAAGACGGGGAGGAGGAACAACCCACAAAAAACCTCCACGCCCGGTCACGAATAAGCGGTCCAACTCCGAAAGAAGCAGTCCGGATACTGGCCCATGAGAAACGGGAGAAAGTACTGCAAGAGATACTGATCCGCGAGCGACAGCAAAAGGAAGGGAAAGGGGTTGAAGAGCAAAACCCAGGCCAGACAGGACGAGTCCTCCGCAATCATTCCCAGCTGAGCAACATCTCCCAAGCAGGAACTCGCCGACAACCCCCGAAAGAAACCCAGCCCCCTGCCCAAAGCAAAGAAAAACACACAGCCGCGCAGCAAAAACTGCTCTTCCAAACCCAGGCCGTCACCCAAGCCACCTACAATGCCCTGACTCGCAAGCTAGACTCCAAAAGCGCATTCACCGCGCAAGGACAGCAGACCGACGAAGACCGCGAAACCACAGATATCATCAACGAACTCAACGCCCACCCCACCGACCTAGTCAGCCAATTACCGATCGGGAAGGTCTTCAACGTAGCACGATACCTCGACACGCAGATGCTAAGTCGACTAGCGCAGACCTGCAAAGCATTATACCAGAAACTAAAGGTCGAGCTGCGGCTGCGCAAAGACTCCGCTGAGATTCCAGACTGGGCGTGGCGCGACGAGGTCCGACTGGGCCTGTTCGACGAAGAGGGCCGAAGAACAGTCGAGTGGAACATCGATACCGGGTTCCATCCGAAGCCGATGGAGCTGGCGACGCTGCACGGACGCGTGGACGATGTACGCGCGTATCTGCGCATGGGCGCCGATCCGAACTGTCTCAATGTCTATGGAATCCGGCCGTTGCGGTGGGCGGTGGCGGCGGGGAAGCCAGAGGTCGTGCAACTGCTGCTGGAGGACGAGGCGGACGCGAACCTGCTGGACGAGGACGGGAGCGGAGGGGCGCTGGCGGGGCCGTTCATTGGGAGGAGGGCAGAGATGGAGCAACTAGTGGAATCGCTGCTAGCCGCCGGCGCCCAGACGTGCAGCATCGAGGCCTTCGAGAACCTCTGCCACTGTCGCAAAGCCGTCGCGTACATCCAGCGCGCCATCGCCAACGGCAGCAAATTAGCCCAGCTGAGAGGTCTACGCGGCGAGACCGTGCTGCAAGTGGCCGCGACGCTGGGGCTGAAGGAGGTCGTGGCCGTGCTCGTCGCAGAGGGCCTCGACCTGGACGCAGTCAACGACCACGGCCAGACGGCGCTGCACTGCGCGCTCCGCGACGGCAGCGAGGAGACGGCCCTGGTGCTCATGGACGCAGGCTGCGCCCTCGACCCGCTCGACCACTCCAACCGCGACGCGCTGGCTCTAGCAGTGGAGAAGGGCTACACGAGCGTCGTGACGCAGCTCCTCGATACCCCCAACTCGAACATCGACTTCAACGCCACGAGAAAGTACGGCGAGAACCCGTCAGCGGATAGACGCCATCTAGAGGGGGCGTTCCACTTCCGTCGGCTGGATATCATGAAGCAGATGCTGCTTAAACGAAGCCATCAGCCCGATGATGTTCTGCATGCTAAATGTCGGGCATTAGCCCGGTCGGATCCGATACATGCGGAGGTGTATGAGGATATTGCGCTGTTGATGGGCAGTTCGATGCTGAGTTTTGGGGTCGGAGCTAGGGTTGTTGTTGATGCTGGGGTTGCGGGGGCAGAGGAGAGGTAGCGGAGTTTTGATTTTGGGTTGGGTAATTGCAGTTCGTCTTGGTAGATGCATGCTAGTTGTTGTTGTTTGGCTTGGTGCTGGTGATTTTGTGTGCGTGAGGCTTGGGCGTATGTGCTGCAATGTAGAGATTGACTAAGATGCTTCCATGCGAATCAATTTCGGTGCTTCGGAATAATAAACATGGATGCTTCGATCTAATGAGCGTAGGTGTTCTGATATAATCATTGGTGATGCTTCGATGTAATTCAGTGTAGATGTGCGATGTAGATGACGTAGATGTTGATATTGATATAGTAAACATAGATACGTCACCATAATCTAAACTAGATGCTTTGATACGATTCAACAGATGCTTCGATGCATGCAACATAGATTCTTCTGTGATTCAACCTAGGTGCTCTAGTGTGTTACAATCCATATACTTCGGTGTCGAGATTTGATGTAAGTGCTTTGATGTAACATGGATGCTTTAATATAATACATGTAGATACTTTGATGTAATCTACGTAGATGCTTTAGTGTGATCAATATAGGGCCTTCCACGTAAGTCAACCTAGATGCTTCGATGGATTTCAGTAGGTACTTCGATGTAATTCATGTAGATATTAGATGCAAGTCAACCTAGACTCTTGCAGGTGATTCACGTAGATGCTTGCATGTGATCCAACAAAAACACTTTGATGTACGCTTCAAGGTTGCTCTGAAATAATTCAACATAGATACTTCGATGCAAATGAATATATATGCTTCAATATAGTTCAACGTAGATGCTTGATGTAATCCATGTAAATACTTATGTAGACGCCAATACAGAATCCCTCAAGGTTGAGTGCCGCAGAGCGAACTCGTCCAACCTAGAACATCAACTACAGGAAACTACAACCAGGACGTATGTAGATGCAAGAGGAGAGGTAGATTATCTATCTAGAATATCCAGCAATATGCAAAGTTGTAGGCGGTCTATGTACGCACGTATGTACCAACCCCCAACGATTCAGGTCCAATAGCCCGACTCTATCCGGCTCCCACTAGAATGCACCACTTACTAAAAACGCACCACAGAAAAGAAGCAAAGAGAAGAAGAAAGATCATACTCTCTCCCCCCTCTTCTCCTCCGAGATGCCCTCTCCCTTGCCCACCACCACCTCTTCAGTAACACCCCCGATATCCCTCGCATTCAGATACACATCGCCCTCCTCATCATCCGCCGCTTGTTCCCAGCCCAACTTCTCGGTTTTGATCCGGTTGTGGTTCTCCGTCGGCCAAAACAGACAGATCCCCCAGTACACGATGAAGGAGGTCACGAAGGACAGAATCCAGCCTAGATCGCCCATTCGCTGTGCTGTCACCGATACGCTGGCGCCCAGGGAGCCTACAAAACCTGGGAACGGGAATGCGATGCCGACGAGGTAGGCGATCACGGCTTGCAGGTTCCAGCCGCGGCGGTAGTAGTAGCTTTTGTTGAGGGGGGTGCCGTCGTAGAGCGCGGGGATGAAGATGTTGCCTTTTGCGAAGATGAAATCTAGTTCCGTTAGTATCTTATGTTTACTGAGGTTGCTGGTGCAAGTCTGGCTACGGCCAACTGGACACTCACATTCACAAACCATAATCGCAACCACACTGCCCATGAACAACGCATATCCCGACAGGAATGTCTGGAATTTACCCGCCGTGGCGAGGATCTCCCACGGACACACGATCCAGGCCAACGTGTGCACGATGTACTGCCCCCGGCGCATGTTAATGTACCGCGGGAACAGCATCGACGAGTCCGCCCCAAAGGAAATCATGTTCGCCGCCACGTTGGTGCCCAGGATCTGCACCAGCCACGCAAAGGCCGCCAGGAACACTGCAAAGCGAGTCGTGCCGGACCAGTAGCGGTCGAGGATGAATTCCATGAGGTCCCATTGGTTCCTATTGATTATCATGTTAGTGGGTAGGGGGTTTTGGGGGGAAGTGAAAAGATGGGCCTACCAGATCGAGGTCCCGTATTTGTTGTTGATGGCCGATGTCGCCAGAATACCCAGACTCGCCGACAGCGTCGTCGCGATCGGGTTCGAGATCAGCTGCGTCCACAGCGGGCCGTTCTTCGTCTTCGCCCAGCGGCAGTAGTCCGGTTGGTTCGTGATCAAGGTGGCCGTGTTACTGTGGTGCTGGTTAGATTGACGCCTATCGTGGGATAGTGGAGCGCACTCACCCCAAGCCACTGTTGATGCCCGAAATAATCAACCACGCCATCGCCGTCGTCGACTTGGTTTCCTGCGTGTACACGGAGCCGATCTTCCCACCGGTGTTCACCATGGCGAAGATAAACAGCCCGAACATCGCAGGCAGCGAGATAAACGTCTTGAAGATGAAGAATCCCCGCAGCTGGTATGGCCGGAAATGACAGAACGGCAGGTGCACCACCCAGCACAGGAACAGCGCCAGCATCATCTGCGTCGTGATGTGTGCGCTCGCCGGCAGGTGGTTGGGGATCTCGGTGAAGTGGTGGCCGAAGATCGCCCGCAGGATGTTGTACATGTACTCTGCGCCGTAGTACACTGCGTCCGCGTTAGATTATGATATGTGGGTGCCTTTCGGAACTGGCGTATACGTACACTGCACCGCATACCAGACAATCGACAGCACCGCTCGCGCTCCGACAAAGTAGAAACTACCCCACATGCCGAAGACGCTGCGCCCGACACACGGGAATCCGATGTGGTATACACTGGCGGCGCGCGAGTTAAACGCCATAGCGATGGACGAGATCATCTGCGAGACGAAGATCACCACGATGGATTGCCACCAGTTAAGGCCAATTCCAATCATGCTCTGCTGCGGTTAGAACATTCCCTTTTGTCTCCATAACACAGACTCACCGATCCCAAAGTCCAGTTGGTGAAGGAGATGGACCAATAAAACGAAACATAGTTCCACCAGCGCCAGGCTAGGGGTGCGTGTTAGCACTGGCAGCGACGACCACACGGTAGAAAGACTTACTGCACTGCTCCGGCGGAGTGGGTAGCAGATCTGCAGGTAGGGTCAACAAGAGTCGCGTGCGCGGGCAGGTAAAGAAGTCCAACCTTCATTGGACCACCGCGAATTCGCATCCCGGCTGGAGTCCAGCTCGATGGCGGAGAGGAGTCTCGTGCCGGCTCTGGCCATGATGGATGATTAAGGTTTGCTGGAGAGACAAAGGTAGCAGTCCACCCCAGGCCCAAAAATTTGGGAGGGGAGGAAAGGGGAGGAGAGAGAGAATGAGAAACGTCACGGCGTGGACAGGATTTTATTCACAGCGGAGGAGTGTGAAGGCAAGGCCAAGAGAGGGGAGGAGTGGGGGGGTGAGATAGTGTGGCGCTTGCCTAGCCTTAATCCAAGTGCGTGAGACGATAACCACAAAACCAGAGCAGTGGGCCGATGGGAGTGATAAGACTCTGTTGTTCACGCAGACTGGCTGCAGCATGGCGGAGAATGCCTAAAGGAGAGTCGTGCGGTGATAAGCTCTGGTGGAGTGGGTTGCGAAGGTTGCAACCCTATTTGCCTCGCGCGTTGTTCTTAGTCACAATTCAGCTGTTCAGCCTATGAGACCAGTGACGCTAGACCGGAAACCGAGAGGAGGCACACGCGCACCGAATCTAGCGTGATACTCCCGGATCGACGTGAATCTGGCTGCTGGGTCGCTGCTATGCTATTTTCATCCTCACCGGCGGGCTCGGAGAGACACGGTGGCGAGGGAGGTAAATGAGGGTTGATTCGAGTCTAACACGGAAGACGCACTGTCAAAGATAATCTGTATTCACTTGCCAAGAAACATACCGGCAAAATCAGCCACGATTTTCGACGATATCAAGCTGAAATTTTGAATCTGGGGCGGTTCGTGGAAGTTTCTGCGCTGACGCCAAGGAGGCAGAAGTGGATGGCGAGGGTTGCCCACCCACCAATGAGAGACCGCCCATTGGATTCGCCGACGATAGCCTACACCCTCCGCATCGGAGCTGGATGATAGTTTTCCCGTAGATTTTCTTTTCTGTGTACCTCTGCTGCCTTCGCTGCTGTAGCTGCCATGACTCTCCATGAAATCAGAGTCCACCCAACATTCGCCATTCCGAGGTTTTCCCGAGTCATGCTGGCGATCGTCCAACAATGGTGTCACGCACTGATCATAGACGCATCCACGACTAATGGGTAACAGAGCGATGACACTCCCTGGGTTTGTTCTTCCAGGTGTCAGCCCGGCTGGGGTGACATCGTGCGCGATGCTCTTCAGCACTAGTCTGCTTCGGAGTTTTAGCCAATGCAACGGCTGTCAACCAACATTTTCAAGGACCCAACTAAAGTTCTAGCCCGTCTCTCGGCGCTTCACCCACGGTGCGAACTGGTTTCCTCACTCCTGGCGTTGACCCGGGCGGCACTGCTATAACGAGCATGTGACTGGCCTCAGGGTTGTTGCACTGCGGTGGACAGGGTTGGGGGGCTGACACCACTTTTAACCGTATGTCCATAAGCTGGCTGGTGATCGTGGCTGCAATGCGGACCACCGTGACTTGGGTGCAAAGTAGACGCCTCTCGTTCGGAGGGTTTGTGTTTTCTCCGCTCTCCTCACTCCGATTCTCGCTGCTCGGAGTTACTGTTAATCCCGCCCGGTATAGACATTGCCATCCCGACTGAACCCCGTCACCACATGATCGACTTCGTTGATCTCTGTGTAACCGCGGACATAGTTACTCGATCAGCGATCTTGCATGGCATGACAATCGAGACAGAGGTATTGTAGTCAGCCTACGGGTTCGGGGAGGTTGCAATGGATGCGTGGGTGTGGGAACCTTGGCGCGGCGTGTCTGATCCGATTGCGAGTGGTATCAATCTGCTCGGGGCGAGATCGCCGACTGATAAGGACATCTTGAACTCAGCCATGGGCCTGTTCGGGTTCGAGATAACTCTATCAGTTGTTGTACCACCTGGGTTTTGCTTTCTCTGTTACAAAGTCAGAGGACACAGCAGCGAGTCGCAAGCTGCACATCATACCGCCTGTCAATCCTGGCGGGTATGCAGAGTCTGCATAAAGTAAACCAGAGCACCGTAGGCCAGAATATGGGCTGCATCGCGTCAAGTCTGATGTAAATGTCGTCCACATTCTTCCCATCTACCCCTTCTCTCCTCTCCGTGAACATTGGCGCCGCGCCGTGATGACGTGTCGAGAGTAAGCGATGGCCGCCGTGTTCTTGCTATGGGGCCGAGAACCCGAGTCTGGGGGTTCAGCAGATCGCCAAGGAGAGAAAGTCTTGTCCCGTCGCCGGTCCGTCTCCAAAGACCTGTTTAGGAGCTTGTTTGTTGTCCGGGGACAGCCAGGATGGCGCTTCCTGATGGATCAAGTGGCATCGATCGTGTCGGGCATCGGAGGTGGAAGGAGCACTCCCTCCGATGACCCTTACGCTTGTGCAGTGCAGTGCATGTGTACAGTACCCTGCCCAATCACCGATCTCATCCAGCGCACTCCTTGCCAGTCGCGATCGCAATCTGGAAGTCTTTGTTGGATTCAAGGATGCTGTAGCAAACAGGGTAGTGTATCAAGTATAGCGACCTCATTACAGCTTTTCGTTTGTAGTGGTCTATCAAGTATACGTACAAAGACACGCCCCTTTGTAATAAGAGAGATACTAATTCAGGTACCGCCGACCCAGATCGAGCCGGCCGTGCTTAATCCAGACCCAACAATTCCGGCACTCGGCCCTAACTCGAGTCATTGACCTGACCTCACGAACGAGAGCGACAATTCCCGTTCAAACCGAGAGTTGTCATCAGGTCTATCGCTCACGACTAACGACCGGTCACGAAAAGCAGTTCGAAATGTAACCAGAGTAGCTCAGACGACTGGCCCCTCGGTCGGACTTTGCTTGGGTTGATCAAAGCGACAGATTGATTTCTTTGTTCTCGACTGTGTGTTTGTGCTTATTTCCAATCTCAAACACCCAGGGGTGGAGTCATCATCCCTGTGTACTTTGTAGAAGAATAGAGAGATAGATGAGCGACCGCGATCGAGTCAAGGAGGGACGCCACGATGGGGCGGGCCAACTGAGGGCTGTCAGTGCGGCCGCACATTGGGCCAGTCCAGTTGGGAATCCGTGGGGATCGACTCGACGGGGGAAATTGGACGGGCTGGCCGGTGGGGGACAGAAAGGATAGCAACTCGAAGCGTTGAGGTCACTTACTGGTGCTGGCGCCGGCCTACACGACTCGTATCTTACCTGGACTGCATCTTGGGGTCAGGGGGATGAATGTACTGTCTGTGTGTGGAGTGTCAGGCCGCGTGTGCGGGAACAACCACACAAAGAAGTTCTCCTGCACCTCTTTAAGTTGCAGGGTCGCGATCTTCCATGAAACACGATCTCAATCGCACTGGCGACACTGATAGACAATGAATGAATGCCGCCGGAAATGTTTTCTGGCCATTGCGCAGGTATCGTACAGAGCAATTTCCAAGCGAGATCCAATCAGTGTCCGTGAACCAGTGACAGTCGGGCTTCCAACTCCACCGGGGCCAGGATCTGCCCGTTTGCCCGCTAATCGGATCCTCGCCTGTCGTTTCACATTAAATGTCCGATCCTCAGGCCCAGCGCCAATTTACTGTACCGCACTAGACAGTAGACACTGACAGTGGTGCTCCAGCTCTGGTGATGACTGCCCCAGCGGCTCGGCACTTGTCGACCAGACGGAGTGGGGGGGGAAGTATAAAGACTCGAGGTCGGTCGAGGTTGGGTCCAGAATCAGCTGGTCTTGCAAGAGCTTCTGGAAAGCATCTTGACTATTTACTGCACTGCACTTTGCTCTGCTTTACTTTCGTTAACTTAACTTCGAGTCATTCTTTTTTGTCATCATGGTCTGGACCACGCCGTCTCGTGTTCTCGGGGTGATGCTGGGCTGCATTGCTCTGCTCCCCGCGCCGGCCACCGCCGCGCATCACCACCACCTCCACCAACGTCAGCACCATCACCATGGCTACAGCGTCGGCCCGCCGATGTGGCAGACCAGGCCGCAAGCAGGCGAGACCACCGCGACGGCAACAGTGGCAGCCAGCGTGATCGCGTCCGCCAGCGCCGTCTCCTCCGCGCAGCCCGCGGCCTCGTCCTCTGCCTCGACGATCAGCAGCCTGAAAGCGAAAGTGATCATCCCGTTCTACATCTACCCGGACCCCGGCAAATGGACGCCACTGTTGAACCTGTACAGCCCCCCTGTCCTCACCTAAACCTGCAGACACATTACTAACAAGGAAAAGAATCACCACCTTCCCCGACGTGCACTTCACGGTCATCATCAACCCAAGCAGCGGGCCCGGCACCAGCACCCTCCCGGACGCAGCTTTCCTGAGTGCCGTGCCAACCCTCACGCAGCACTCCAACGTGCTGGCCATCGGCTACGTGCCCACCCAGAAGGGCACGCGCGCCCTCGCGGACGTCGAGCGCGACATCAACACGTACGCCAACTGGCCGACGGCCGCCAACAACGCCTCGTTCGCCGTGCACGGCATCTTCCTGGACGAGGCGCCCAACGCGTACAGCGCGGAGCTGGTGTCGTACTACTCGACGCTGGCGAGTCTGATCCGGAGTAAGACTGGTCTGGGGCCGGAGAATTATGTACGTTCCCCAGTTCACCCAAACATTTCCCCCAAAACTAATAAATAAATAGGTAGTAACAAACCCCGGCATCCCGCCCGACCAAGCCTACCTGCCCCTCGCAGACTCAACCGTCGTCTTCGAATCACCCTACACCTCCTTCCAAGACGCCATCAAAGCCGACACCTTCCGCGCCATTAACGGCACGAGCCACAGCACGCTGGCGTCGATGGTCTACGGCATCCCGGACGGCGTGCACCTGCCCACGCTCCTGGCGCAGGTCGGCCAGATCTCCGAGCAGATCTTCCTGGGTAATACCAGTTCCTACATGGCTTGGGACCCGTATATGGATTCTGTTGTTCCGGCTTTGGTGGAGATGGTTTAGTTGTTACTTTCCTTGGTGGGGTGGGACGTTGGAATCCCCTCGTTTCTATTCTCTCTTTCGTTCTTTGGACATCGTCCTTCACTTCTTGTATATATATAATATGCTTTCTTGCTGGCAAGGAGGGGCAGGTGGATAGCGGGTCTATGCGGAGACGGTCGGAGGGTCTACTACTCAAGTCAATTTGATGATGCTACGCTCACCTTCGACATGAACAGGCCCACCTTAAACTAAATATACTAGGGTATAAGTAGCCGGGGGAGAACCCCCGGACCCCCCTTTCTTTCAGCTTCCTGGCCACCTCAATCCTATATAACCAGGGTATAAGGTATCCGGGGGAGAACCCCCGGACCCCCCTTTCTTTCAGCTCCCTGGCTACCTCACTCCTAAAAAAACTGGGATAAGATTAAGAGCGAATCCCCTTCCACCCCCACAACCACAATATTTACTCCAAATTTGTAGAATGAAATACACCAGGAAGCTGAAAGAAAAGGGGGGTCCGGGGGTTCTCCCCCGGGACGCCTACCCTATCAGATTTCGATATCAAATAAACATATTACTATTGCAACCGATATCTCACCACCATAGACCCAGCAAAGAAAGATAGCAAGAACACACTCAATTCCTATTCTAGACTTTCACAGTTAGCTAACATATCATCCCATGGATGGTAAACCAGACGAACCAGACAACGCATCACCAAGGAGCAAGATCAAAGATGCAACCCCGCCCCAGCCTGCGCCGCGACCTCGGCTGCAGCGTTAGCAGCCGCGTCGACGCCGAAGCCGATGTTGAAGGGCTCTGGGTTGGGATTGGGGTTCGGGTTGGGGTTGGCGGCGGCGAAGGCGGCGAGGAAGAGGGTTGTTAGGGTCAGGAGGGTGAATTGCATTTTCTGTTCATTGATCAGTCACGATGTGTCTGTTGGGAAGGGGCTGGGGGAGGGGGGACTCACGATGATATTAGGTATCAATTAAGATGTAAGTTTGTTAAGGATATGTATGTGTGGAGTTGGTCTTGATGTTGATGATGAGAGGGGAGAATGTTGTTGGGAGGAGTGGAGGAGCTTATATACTTTTTGTCTCTGCTGGTGTGCTTGTTAGGTTTGGCGTTGATGGGAGGGTCAGGGGTGTCGAAGATTTGAGTTCGTGCCTGTTTCTAGTTGTAGGTGATACACGAAGTGTAAGGGTAGAAGTAGGGGTGGTGATTGAGTCTGGCTCGGGAGAAATCCAGACATGACTGATTTTTGGGCTGGGTTGTTCACGGGCTTGTTTTTGGGTCGTCGTTACATTCGGGCGATAAAGCGTAGATTAATGCGGGTGACTCTATGGGATCGACATTTTGTGATCCGGAGAACATGTGGTCCTTGCTATGCTGCAGGACTGTAGAGTAGTCTTATCTCTTGGGCTCGGCTTGAAGATGGAACGGTGTGGGGTGGAACGCGGGTGGGACAGCGACTTATCAAAGTAATACACCTGGCATTTGTACACTGTCCTATTCATGTGCATTGCTTAAATTAATGCATACCTCTATCTCTTGCCGGGTTTAGAGTTGCCGGGCCTGCTACCGTCGTTCCTGTCGATCTCCGATCTATCCGTGTCCAAGATTGCGGAATATACTTCGAGCCTCGGCACCCGCGACACTGGTTGCGTCAGCCATCCGAGGTTCGTACACGATTCCCATTGTGTAGACCACAAGATGAGATACTCGCGAGCTCTAATCAACACCGGAAATTCATCTATCCATGCACCAACCCACAGCAGACTACATGTTTTACGGGACCGTCGATCTGCCGATCCTCTAATTGCATCGGAGCATCAGGGACGGTCTTGTCAGGGTAATTGCATGTGATTTATCTTCCCAGAGTTGTTAGAGAAGGCTTTATCTCCGCTGTTCATCCCAATAGCTCATTAATGTCCATACACATCTATGCTCAACCTACTACATCCGGAATCGAGGCCTCATACTCCAGCACCTTCGGATGCTTCACCCCGCCCACCGTCAACCGATTCCAATCCCGTTCCACGCCCTCCTCCACATCCGGATACGGGCCCATCGGGGTAATCGCCCGCGGGTTGATCATGTTTTGACTCTTCGTATACTGATCCTAGTCAGCCATCACTTGCACCCGGAAACACAGACAAAAAAACTTACATTGTCCTTAATATGCCTGAAGTCCGTGCTCGCCCGCGCAGCCGGGATATCCCAGTACATCCCCTTCAACCAGTTATGTAACACCGGGTAATCATGTCGGATCGTGCCCAGGTTGCACTTGAAGTGCTGCACGTACACGGTGTCGAAGCGGATCAGCGTCGTGTACAGCATCACGTCCAGCTCGGTCATCTCGGCGCCCAGCACGAACGGCCCGCCGTTGGCCGCGACGATGCGCTCCAGCTTGTTCAGCGCCCCGAACACCGGGATGATCTTCTCGTCGTACACCTCCTGCGTCTCGGCGAAGCCGGCCTTGTAGACGCCTGTGTTGAGGTCCGATTGCAGCCAGGGGCTGATGGCGTCGATCTTGGCGCGGAGGTGCGAGGGGTAGAGGTCGATGGAGGCGAGGGAGGGGGGGATGTGTGCGTTGAAGGCGGACGGGAGCCAGCGGAGGATTTCGATGCTTTCCTGTTGTTGGTCAGCCTCTTATTGGGGTGGTTGGAGGTGGGTAGGGCGTACATTAGCCACAGCCGTATTGCTCTTCGTATCCCACAGCAGCGGCACCGCGTACCGCCCCTTGTACTCCGGGTCGGCTCGGAAATACATCTTGTGCAGGTAGTCCTCGCCGAACAGATGGTCGACCGTCGACCCTGGGTATTCCGTCTCGGTGGCCGGGAACTTCCATCCCGGCCAGCCATTGGAGTCGCCCTTGGGGTATGGCTTGACGATGCTGGTACGGATGATGTCGGTGAGCCCCTTCAGATGTCGCACGAAGTTGACGCGGTGCGCGAACGGGCAGAAGAGGCCGAAGTAGAGGTGGTAGCGGTTCGGTTCGGCGGGGAAAGTCTCGCTGGGGATGATGCCGTGCCACCCGTCGGCGCTGCCAGGTTGGTGCACCTGCGAGGAAGTCGATTCAGAGGTCATTTTAGCTGGATGCTGGGTGAAGCGAAATCAAGCTCGCGCTTGAGCTGCAGGCGCATTAAAGCGGGGGAGCGGAAGGGAACCATTCCGTTGACGTCATTCACGATGGATCAGCTGTCGTCCCAATGCCATCCGTCATGTGACGCGATGGAGTGTTGGTGATGGGGTGATATCCCAAAGCAGACTCGCCTGATCCTGCAGAGGTGAACCTATCCAATCAAGTCCGCAGCCTGACTTGGGGTCCCATCAAACCTGGAGGAACCTCCATTGTATTCCTGCTCAGTCACACAACCCCGAGTCAGGAACAGGCCATTGAAGGATCAACACCGCCATGCAGGCAGAGACATTCCCAGACCGTTCCGTGGGGGCCGAAACCCCTGAATTTGCGGTCGCAGATATAATCTTCAGCACCCATGGAGATGTTGGGGTGTCTCCAGAAGACAAGCTCAACCATCCACCACCATGAGATCGCACGCTCTTGCCCTCCTGCTCGCCGGCCCGGCGCTTGCGGCCCAGCGCATTGCCCGCGACGCGATCCAGACCATCTGCACGAAGAACAACATCATCACGACCGACGACTTCATCCTCTACAACAATCTGTGGGGCGAGGACTACGCGACCTCCGGCTCGGAGTGCACCTACCTCGACTACGTCAAGGGCAACTCCATCTCGTGGCAGTCGTCGTGGACCTGGGCGGGCGGCGCCGACTACGTCAAGAGCTACCCCAATGCGGTGCTGAACGTGGGCGCGAAGCAGCTCAGCTCTATCAGCAGTATTCCGACCAAATGGTCGTGGAGGTATGACTCCCGCTATTCTGCATTGAAAGACACCGTACTGATCGGATCCAGCTACATTGGCTCTAACCTCGTCGCCGACGTCTCGTACGACGCCTTCTTCTCAGCCACGGATTCGACGACCGCGCCCCATGAGTACGAGGTCATGGTCTGGCTGGGCGTGTACGGCGGGATCAAGCCGATCGGCAACGAGAATGGGCCGATCGCCAGCCCGACCATCGGCGGTCAGACCTGGGATCTGTACAAGGGTCCGAACGACTGGACGGTGTTCAGCTTTGTGGCCCGCTCGAACATCGAGAACTACTCCGGGGATATCATGGATTTCTTCAATTACCTGATCAACAACGAGGGCGTCTCGTCGAGTCTGTATTTGCAGACGCTCGGGGCGGGAACGGAGCCGAAGACGGGGTCCGATGCGTGGTTTACGGTGGCGCCGTATGAGATCAGTATCAATGCTTAGACCGCGATGATGTGAGGAATTAGGTCGGTGGAAGGCGTGAAGAGAAATGATGGCGTGTATTTCAAGTCATCCACTGTGACAATGATCGCAAGCAGAGACAGGAAGGACCTCCACGGCTAGAACGAGAGAATGGGATGCGGAAAGACTCGATCATGCGATGTAGTCACTAGGAATATTAGCAGAATAAACCGAGGACGTTGAGTCCTGTCACATCCCATTCCATCCCCACTCCCCTCGAACAAACCGACAGTGCATGAAGTCGACAACCCCCTGCATCCAACCCACGCATACCCTGCTTGTCACCCTCGAAACTCACCCCGTCCATTCACCCCCAACTGGCATCACACAATTACGCCTTCACTCCTATTCCGCCCCATCAGCGACCGTCCGAATTGCGAGGCTCGTGCAGGCAGGTCTCACATACACGAGTCACCTTGCGCGGCCGTACAACGTTGTGGTAACGCAGCCCATGCAGCTGTGTGACCGGGTGATACCGGCTTCGTCCATGATCTATAGATACTTGCTCGACAACAACAACAGTTCCCAACTGCATCGCGAAGAGAAGCGAATGATCCGGGATTCAGGTACAGATAGAAACAGTGGAATTGGTGTGGAGAAAGGATGAGCCCCTAGGCTTGGATTGCCGAGCTCAGCATCCACCCAGCCAATGCACCCAGCCTTATCGAGTGAATACTAAACCCTTTACCCTCTGGGCTCTCTCGTCGGAATCAACCAGGGCATTTCATGTGATGAGCCAGTGCAGTCCGCACGCGGATATTTCTGTGAGCGCGACAAGAATCATGCAATCAGAAGCCGGACAAGAAGCAAAGAGAATTAGCCGCCGTGATTCTGGGTTGTGATGCGATGCATGGACAATTCCAAATACAGGTGCTGTTCATGCGGGAGCGTCGGGCTGCGGTTGGTCGTTGGGTATGTCACTCATGCTGGGAGAAGCAGGCATTTTGTGCCTTAGGAGGTCTGTGATAGTTGTGTTGACAATGGTTGAGGACTGAAGGATTTCCCCAGATTTGAATGTAAGGCATTGACTGATTTGAGTCAAAGCGTGAGGATTGAGTTTTGGGGATGCGATATGATGGGAATGGGCGGTGAAAACATATTCCTCTCTTCGGCGGGGCGGTGCGTCTCTTTCAACCGAACAACATCTTTACTCCTATACTTCATCATCCCCGATCCTGACCAGAGATACTTCCTAACGCTCCTGCACCGATTATCTTCCAGATTCAAGATGTGAAATATTTCGATCACCAGCATCAAGGCCAGGGTGATATCACTCAATTCCCCCAATGAGCAGCCAGCCAGCACAGCAACGCCACTAGACATGTCAGCTAGTGAACCTGAGGGGCGGCTGCTAACCTGGCATTCTCCAACTCCATCAATCAGCAGATGACCCCCATATTTCTTTTCCAACCAGGAACACATGTTCGTACCTGGGTCTGTAAGATGTGCTAGTGTGCGAGTCTGCCTGAACCATCTCATAGGCTACTCCACGCATTGATCGCACTAGCTGCAATAGTCCGGTTGCTATACGACATCCAATCGAAAGGGGCAAAGAGACAATGGCCAGTCGCATGCACCAATAAGTGTCGCTTACTCCGGTTATTGTCTTGTCGACCCGGTTCTGGAAACAAGGCTATTATCTCTGGATCGACACCCAGCTCTCCTCATTCTTGCGTCAAGAATGTAGGGCTTACCCACCATCTACAGAACACGAACACTGCCCTCACGGTACCAGACCTACCGTCGTGTCGGGCCTCATTTTGGCTTGGCTACTTGGTCGGTACAATAGCACCAAATCGCATCGGATCATCCCGCATCCAGGACCCTTATCGTGTCCATCACATCCAGGCCTCGCATAAGCACCCCAGTGCAAACCGGCCAGGGTGACTGCACTGCCGTTATCAGCACGCAAACTCCAGCTGGACCTGCATGAGCAGGACTGCCACTACTCAGCTAAGTCCCAATTCTCAGCACCCCTGATCCATGGCGAATTTTCCGTCTGCGAATGACGGCGGTCAGCAAACACGAGTTGGGGGTCATGGAGGCGAGCGACTCCGAGGCGCAGGATCCTCTGGCGCAGGGGGAACGGCTCCCGGCTGGCTCGGATGGTTCGCCTGACAACATCATGGGATTTGCTCGGGCCAGATTGACGGCGGGAGGCTGATGGTCTCGATCGAAGAATGGCTTTGTTCGGTCCGGTTGATGAACTCTATCTCCAAGCATGGGGGCCCCGACGAAGCTATAAAGCCGAGTACTCGCTGATTGTCTGTCTGCCTTAGTCCAACAAGACTTTTTAAATATACTTGATATATCCGATCCTTATATACCTGTCACCATGCAGTCTCCCGTGCCGCAGATGCTCCCTCCGGCTGATCTCAAGCTGGCTAGCTCCCCTTCGCTGGGATATTCCCTCAAAGCACCCACCCGTCCACCTCCGACTCCCCCCTCCTCCACCTCGAGTCTGCCAACCAGCAAGTCGGAGCTCGATGTCAGTAGCAGCAGAGGCATTCTCGAGTCCTTCCCCGAATACGAGACCACTGCATCCTTCGACAGACTGCGAGCCACCGAGTATAGCTACCTAGACGAGAACAACCACGTCTACCTCGACTACACCGGAGCCGGACTGGCCGCCAAAGCGCAGTACCAGGCACATCAAGCGCGACTCAGTACGGACCTCTTCAGCAACCCACACTCAGCGAACCCGACCAGCCAAGCATCGACCAAGCTAGTCGAGCAAGCCCGCGCCGACGTCCTGCGCTACCTGAACGCCGCGCCAGACACCTACACGGTAATCTTCACGCCCAACGCCACCGGAGCGGCACGACTGATCGCTGAATCCTACCCTTTCACCCGCACCTCGACCCTCCTCCTCACAGCCGACAACCACAACTCAGTCAACGGGATTCGAGAGTACGCCCGTCGGCGACACGCACGCACAGTCTACCTACCACTACAAACTCCGTCGCTGCGCGTCGATCCCTCAGCCGTAGCCACCGCGCTAACAGCGCCCACAACATGGCCCTGGACGCGCAGATTGTCCTCACCATCCTCACGCGCCAGAAAGCGCAAAGGCCTCTTCGCCTACCCAGCGCAAAGCAACTTCAGCGGCGTCCGCCACCCACTGGAATGGATCACGACGGCGCAACAAGCGGGCTACGACGTGCTGCTCGACGCAGCGGCGTACCTGCCCACGAATCGCCTGGACCTATCCCCCTCCTCCCCGCAACCCGACTTCCTCCTCATAAGCTGGTACAAGCTCTTCGGGTTCCCGACGGGACTAGGCTGTCTGGTCGCGCGCAAAGACGCGCTGAGCAGGCTGTCACGCCCGTGGTTCTCCGGCGGGACGGTGCAGGCGGTGCTAACGGGGGTGGAGTGGCACAGCCTGGCGACGAGTGAGGGGGCGTTCGAGGACGGGACGGTGAACTTCCTCTCCATCCCTGAAATCTCCGTGGGATTGAACTGGCTGCGCTCTTTAGGCGTAGACAACATCGCGACGCGAGTACGCTGTCTGACGGGGTATTGTTTCGCAGGACTACAAGCCCTGCGACACAGCGACGGGACGGCAATGACGAAGATCTACGGACCGTGTCTGGGCCCCAATAATGTAGGCGTCCATCCCGGCGGCGACGACAGCGACACCCCCGGAAACAACAGAGGCGGAACCATCGCCTTCAACTTCCTTGATCGCACAGGCAAGATCGTCGACGAGCGCATCGTGGCGCGGGAGTCGGCGCAGGCGGGCATCTCGCTCCGCACGGGCTGCTTCTGTAACCCCGGCGCGGCGGAGGCTGCGTTCGGGATCACGAAGCCCCTGCTACGAAGTCTGCGACGGCGCTTTCACGATACCCTCACGGTCGAGGAGTATATCCAGCTGCTGGGGCTGCCGTCGGGTGGGGCGGTGCGGGTCTCGTTCGGATTGGTGTCGAATGTGAGCGATGTCGATCGGTTTTTGGAGTGGGCGCGGCGCATGTATCGGGACCGGGTGACGGGGAAGGAGGGGTTGGTGGCGCGGACGGAGTGTTAGTATGATTTGTGGTTGGTTTAAAAGTATGGTTTTGATCTGGTATAGTATCCTTTTGTGTCTAGAATGATCCTTTCACTCGGTCACCCTGTCTTATTACTACATAAACTTGACAATACAACCAACAACCATGAACGGATTCAAATCAATAATCCACCCCAAATTCAAGACCTGGAATCCTGATTTTTAATCCTGATTAGCCACCGATAATTGCTTCTTTAGAGCCCCGATAGTCCCATCCATTATCCCCAAACCATCCTATTCCAAGGAAGTAAATCAAGTCAAGTCCAAACCAGATACCTAATCGGCTGACTAGCACAAACTGGCCGATCTCTTTCTATCATCTTCCAGACACACCAACAAAAGAAAACATAATGAAGGCAGGTATAATCCCATTGTTTGGCAGTGCCATTCACTCCGCGTGGCGCGGATGCGGATCGGATCGGGTCGGATCCGGGTCTAGATCTATTTGACTGGGTTTGTGGTAGGTTGGTTTGCTCGTTGTTCTATTACCTGCCTGTTTGCATACCCGTGGAGTGAGTTGGGGGTGTTTCGGGTTGTTGTACATACTTGGTTATAGGGATTGGATTGGATTGGGGCGGGATAAGCTGCATCCGGTTCATGGTGTGGACGTCTGGGTTGTATTGGATGGGCAGGGTATAGTAGGGTAGGGTAATTACTGGGTAGTTAGGGTTGCATTGAGTTCGGATACGGGGGCCTTCTAGTTCGTTCCGGGGAGGCGATTGGTTCGATACTGTAGCTTTGGTAAGGTAGGAAGTTGGGCAGGGATTGGGTTGTAAGCTAGAAATCCAGTCCAGCTAAATCAGGGCTTGGGATTGGTTACTCTGCGATGTACACTTAAAGTATAGGTATAAGTCTTGGTGTAGGTATAGTAGACTGTACTATGAGTGGGGTATTACTACGATCTGCACTACCATCTATTCTGGATCGCTCACAGCTGGATCTATTAGCCTGTGGGCATACTCCTTGGATACACAGTTTCATCAAATAGTAATCAGGTTCCACTCCAGAGCCGGTCCGGTCCGATTGAGATCAGGATGAACGGGGCTGTGGTTGAGCCTGAGCTGAACTTCACCTCCTCAAATAGATTGCATGGAAATAAGCTAGCTGAGCTGAGAGGGCTGCTGAAATCACTGCTCGCAGTGCTTCCACTCCCCTCGTGTTGGTGTGAGCTGGATTACTGCATGTCCCGCCACGCGACGCCACGGGCTGTCGTGACACGAGGTCCGGATGGATGGGTGGATGGATGCCACATGGGATACATAGTAAGTACAGGACATGGTTGTTGGCTGAGGTGAGACGACATGTGCAATGCAGTGTCGGGATGGATCGTCGATTGGCGTCTACTACATCGGGTTTAGCGGCGGGCCAATCTCGATAGTCGGGAGGGATTCTATTCGATAGTCTAGTTGACTTGGAGCTCGGCTTGGTTGGCATGTTTCCAGTTTGGATTCGATTGTTGACTTGATGTTACTTAGCTGCTTGGTTGGAGGGCGGAATGAATGGCATTAGTGACCTGATTGATCGGTGTATGGTGATCCCTGCGTGGTTCAAGTGGCTTCCAGGTTTGTGTTGAGCTTGGATTGCGGCTGATTGATGCTATACTCGTGAATCAGAGCCATGCTGCAAAGGAGGTCCGCTTTCTTGATGCCTCCCTGCGTCCCGATTCCATCATCGCTGACTGATGAATGCCCAGGACAAGGACTTGCTCCTCAGCTGATACCATTAGCTACTGCTGTGAGAGCCCAGATCCTTCGCTCCTCCTTCCTCGTCGCCGCTAGCAGGAAATGCAGAGCCCGGATGGCGACCTATGACCAGTCGCATTCCTGCTAGCTCAAAGCAGACTTCATCGAGCTAGAGCTTAACCGACTAACGCGATAACCGGGGGTACTGTACACCGAACCTCACCAAGACAGCACCAAGCCATGCACAGCCAAAGCACGCATAAACTCAGCACAAGCAACCAAACCGACCACCCGGCACCAGCACCAGCACCAACAGCTCAATCAGCAAAATGCCCCGCAACATGATACGCAACAGCAGCCTCGTCGCCCTCGAACGCGCCGCAAACCGGGCAAGTCGCCACCTCACTCTCCCGGGGCGCCTCCCCGGATACATTCAAACGTCCCCCGCGACGATTCTGCCGCGGTCGCGCAGGGGTGATGTACGCGTCCAGCCCGATATTCTGCGGGGGCTGCTCCGCCCCCGCCCCGTGCGCGGTGGTCCTCGTTCGCGGCCCCTCAGCCGGTAAAGCACTGGATACGGAGGACGACGACGGATCGCCCTCCTTCCGCATAGACTGCACCCTTCCCACCCGGCCGTCGGTCAGACGCACTTTGATGCCCCGCGGGTGGTTCCCGCGCGTGAGCACATCCGCGATACATCCGGACACGGTGCGTCCGGTCGGTTGATCAGCCTTTAGAATGATGTTGACGGATGCCCCTGGTATGACTTCGCGGGTGGTTGGGACGCGCGGCATTTTGGTGCTGGGGGTGATTTGGTGGGCGGGTTGGGTTGTGATGGAAGGGAATGTGTTTGTGAGAGCGGGGGTTTTGGTTGGTGGGGGGGGAACGATCACGTGGTTGCTTGCTGAGTCAGAAGGTTAGATCTCGAAATTGGCTTGACCAATAAACACATAGAGAGTCAACCTATACACCGTGGTGCACATTCATCATTCATTGACTAAATGCTTGTGTACTTGTTTCCTCCTGAATCATCTCAGCTACCTCTAGAGCGGCTTGACCTGACCTGGCCGTTAGCCACTCTAGCTACCTCTCATTCAATATGACATTTAACTTATCGCCATGAAAAATCCAGTCAATGTTGATTTGACCAAGAATGAACTTTTCAATAGCTAAAACTGCTGAAGGAGCTGAGTGTAGCAAGCAGGCAGTGAAATATCATTCTTTGAGCCTTTGGTTCACCTAGGGCACTACCGAATCGCGCTGGGAAAGGAGGAATCTTACTCTTATTATGCTAGAAGCTCTGTGTGATCGTCTTCCGGAGAAGCCGGGCTTATATTTAGATGAAATGACAGATTCCCTATAAGATGATTTCAACCTCCAAACTATAAAAAGCAGCTTAAGCAGAGTACAACCTTGATTAGTCAGTCTAAGAAGGTGATTCGATGACAGGTAAAAGAGCAGAGCTTCGAACTTAGAAATGATTACTACACTCACATTTGAAATTAGTTTCCATGTTTTACACATTCGACCTAATTGTTTCTGATACCCTGAATGCACGCGCACTATACTGGGTATGGTTAGTATAGACTTACGGGCCACTCCACCAATTAGACTTACACTACCTCTGAAACATCAATATAGGAACTGCAAGTTGCCAACGAATTTTAGGAGATTGGTATTTATCACAGTCTGTCCAAAACTTGGTCTCACGGCTGAATGTAAGGGTGATATGCGTGGCTAGACATAGGATCTGCTGTACAGGTGGTAGATGAGCACACAAGGTATCCAGAGTGGGGAGCTGATTGCAAGCAGAATTGTCATAAACAGGGTTGGCTCGTCACCCGCTGGTTGCAAAACCCCCCGTTTAAGAATCTCTGTTCGCATTCGATGAAATATTTCTTTTTCTGCTCCCATACGCTCCTTTATCACGTTTAATTTGGTATAACTAAGCTCCTGGGACCTATCGAATCTTTCTTCCAGTTTTTGGAGCTTTTCAGTAAGAGAGTGAGACTGTAAAGCCATATGTCGCTCTTGCTTTTGCCTTCTTCTGGTGATAGCAGCTTCATAGTCATCTTTCTGCTTTTGTCGGCTTTCTTCAGTTGCCTTATGCTTTGGTCGACGATGAAGCAACCCTTCCTGGATACTGTCGTGATCTCGAAGAACTCTTTGACGGATAGATAGCAAAGATTCATCATTCAGCGGAACTGTGACGACTAAGGGCTGTCTTTGTTCCGTATATGTTTTGTAAATATGACAGCACGGAGACCAAGGAATCTTTTAAGTACACTATTAGTACAGCTTTGGGATATAGATCAATAGTAAAGCAAACCTGGCCTGTTTCACGCTCCAATGCGACTGACTTGATAGCGCGCTCAAACAAATCACACAAGCTCCGCTTCGTGCTTTCAAGGTCTCTCAGCTTTTGCTCATCTGGAGTTGCGTGATGCGCCATCTGGTTCCGGATTTGCTTCGCCTGTGCTATCGATTGGCGGAGGGCTTTTAGTTCTTTTTTTCTCATAACTTGGGCGAGCCTGCCATCGGGCTTCTGTAGTTGCGGCTGAACGACGTCAACTATAGTTGGCAAATCAGCTGCCTGATGGCACTCGTACCCTCTCGTACTTAAGCCATCTGCATCGACAAGCTCGCACAGAATGTATCCCAGAAATTCAAGCTCATCGGTCCAGGTCGTTAATCGTGATTGAGTTTCAAGGTAGGCTTCTGGGTGTACTGCCATTTTCATAGCATGAATTCAATGGTGGGGAGGATCGCCTGCAGAATAAAATGCTAGGTTACCTAGCTTTTAAATAACTCACGTAGAGTAAGAGATGAGCTCGTCATGACTAGCGTTCGCCTCGTTCTTGACATCATGACGTCAACGATTTTGATGGAGCTCTGAGGGGAAATGTACACCTAGTAAATTCTTACACAGAGGAGCAACAAGCTTTATGCCAGCTTGCCCCAATATCTTAGAAAGGTCACCGGGCCTTTCGTACGGATAATGCAAACAACAGTAAATCACGACAGTTCGCTGTCTCGACGGTTCGCTGTGCGATCAATTTATGATGTAATGTAATCGTCAACCGAGCGAGCCACGCAAGCGAGCGAGCCAGCAGATCCACTAAATGTAGCACCAACATGGATTTTTGATTTGTATACAAATATATGGTGTTTTAAAGCCTTAATTATACTATTTTAAATGTTTTTTTATACAGTTCTTTGATTTGGATACCTTGTATATATATATCCTTGAATACTGTATTTGCTGCACCTGGGAGGTATCTAGCGGCGAGGCTAATTCTGATTCTTAATCTGAAGAACTTTATTCTTTTTATACTTATGTTAGAATATCTTTTTTATTTTATTAATAGTAAGGCTGTTAAGGCCTATAAACTACTTATTTCTTTATTATTTCTTGGTGTTTAACCTCTTATTTATTTAGTGGAGTTCTCGAACTTCCTATTCTAATAAAACCGCCCGGTTTAATACTATTTTAGTGTCTTTAAAGATATAGTCCAAGGCTGACTTTATTAGTGTATCAGCTACACCACTAAGTAGTTATTTAAGCCTTGTTTTTTACTTCTTAAACTAATTTGTATTAACAGGTGTTTTTAAGATTATTAACTAAGAATCTTAGCTACTTGGCCGGCTATTAAAATCCTTATAAATCAGCTTATCAAGCACCTGGCTTAGATTATATAAAACTAAGTTTAAAGCCTTAAAGGCACTCCGTATATTAGTTTTTTTAAATACTATAGTATAGGCCTTTGGATACTCCTCCAAGAAATTATCTTTATTAATTTTTAAATATCAGACACGTACAAGGCATTCTACTAAATTATAATATGCTTTTTTAAGAGATATAAAATAAGAGATATCTAATAGCTGGCAGAGGTGTAATAAACCAGGAGGTATACAGATAGAAATAATATAATTAGTATAATATAAGTTGTTAAATTTAGGTATTAAATATAATTTATAGCTATTAAGAATTAACAGAGTATATTTACTAATTTATTAGTTAATTATTAATAAAATAAAGTAATGTTTAAGTTAATATAAGCTGATTTTATTATTTATTTAGTTATTTAGAGATATATTAATTCTTTAATCACCCGGAATTAAGGCTTTATACTAGTTTACTATATAATTTATTTTTTTAAAAACTAAGTACAGCTTCAACGCCCAGCCGGCGGTATTAATATACTTAATTAAAATTACTTATTCGCGGTTACCTGACTATGTAAAAAAAGATTTTCTTAAACAGTTTAATTAAATAATAATTTTGGCTATTACAACTTGGCCTATTATAAAGCCGGTTTTATTAAAGTTAAAGATATCTTTTTTAAGGATTTTATACTTTAATATAGTTTTTTAAACATGGTTAAACCAGGCCTGTATAACCTATAGATTCTTGTATTTTATCTGTTTAGTATCTAGTTAGCGGAAATAACGACCTTTTAAAGCTTTATAATATATAATAAAATTTATAACCCATCTCTCTTCTACAGTTATCGGTCTCTTCTGATTTCCATATTTTTAAAATAATATATTGGCCATTTTATAAATTATAGAGTTTCTTAAAGGTGCGCCGCGGGTATTAAGTAAAAGAATTTACTTCTCAAGTATTTCTTCCTCTCTCGTAGTAAGTTTATAAGAATTGGGGTGAGTTTCTTGATGAAATAAATAGCTATTTACACGGTGTTGAAGAGTTGAGTAAGGAACATCAAAAATGTCAGTAGCTTTATAAATTAAGGTAATTTGACTAGTCTTTATAGCTTTAAGAGTAAGGTAGATTCAGTTTTTTTGATATAACAAGTCTTTTGATGATTTCGGTATTTTTGGTGGTGTAATTAACCGCTGAATTACTTCAGTTCTTGGAGGTGGGAGGATTCAGGGGGTGGTGGCTCGCTCGCTTGCGTGGCTCGCTCGGTTGACGATTACGTTATTCACACTGCTGATGTAAGAGATTAATCACGAATACATGATCTTTGTGAGCTATGAGTCGTTCAAAAACCTTTTCACCTTTAAAGCTCACGTGAGCGGGGTAATGACTAACAATGAGTTATCAGGGAACAGCATGCGAATTGAGGCCTATCTTGTGATACAACGATACCTTGCTCCATGCCCCATCAAACAGTCCGAGACTACTGTATTGACATCTAGGGGCGTGACCGCTGGGTCACGTGACCCGATGGAATGTAAACACCGTGAAATCACGTAGATAGTTCCTTACTCAACCAAATCAATGATTATCAAAGGCTTCATACCTTTTTCCCGTGTAACCGCTTACTTCCACATACTGCTCACTACTTTTCTTTTAACCTTTCCAAACTTATATCTACCTCATTAAAATATAATGGCCTGCGTACTAGATCCAGATTAACTAAATTATATTCAATCCAATCATCCAGCTACAACTCTAATACGCGGACCTCTATTGCGAATCTTCAAAAAAGTAAATTACGTGACCCTGCAGATGAGGAGCTGGCTCTTGGACTACAAATTGAGGAATAGGGTAATAACTCTCAGTATCTGCAGAATAGGCGGATAGCCATGAGTTTCGCAGCTGCCGTGCAGACTATTGCTTTCCAATGGACCGAAGAGGGATGTGTTCTGCCTTCGAATGAGCTTGATTGAAGCCAGCGGCTTTGTACGACGAGACTAGCTAAATCTAGATCTTATACGTTAATGTTATGGAAGTCTACAACATTAAAGGAGACTCGGACACAGCAGATTGTGAAAATGAGTGTGCTGAATCATCTGCTCAGGCTCTCCGATGAGCTAGTCACTATCTACTGCGAGCCCGACGATGCCTGGCTTGTAGGGAACCAACTAATTTCGTTAACGTGGTCCGCGCCGCCTGTCGGCACGAGTATTATCAATCATATTTAGCAGATTCTTTTCGAAACTTTGATAACAGACGGACGACTCTTCCCTCCGCGATACTGCCGACAACCCATAGATCTAGCCAGAGTGCTCTACTGAAGAGCAAAGGTCTATCAAAGCCTTTAGAAAGACTATACCAAACTTGGATTAACTATCTTGAGTTATGATAAGAGCATCACAGCTGATGGGTAATGGCGGAGTATATGATTATAAGAACAGCAACGATGGTAGTCATCGGCGAGCGTATGCACGTGATGTGCTCAGGGGGTGTATTTATGCAGTAACTTACGCAGCGGAGAGCATGATCCAGTTGTAGAGGTGATGGAGGTGTTCTTACTGTCACTTTGGCAAAATAAGTATTTCGGGTCACATTGCCATCCAAGTATTAACTGAAGATGCGCTATGACTCGAGTTGATCCTTCTGGAGAACTCGAAGCACTATGTTCCTTGAAGGTCGAGGACTGAAAGATCTACTGTATGCTTGGAAGAGCTATCGGATGAGTCACGTGTCCCCCAGGTACCAAGAGGTTCAATGGCTGCACCCTCCGGTCTGAAATACCTTGGGCATGCAGTCATAAAATCGATGCGACGTGTACTAATTGTGGACTCAACATTGATCTGATGATCAGGGAGGTGGACACAAGTACACTGCATTTATACTTATTCCCTTGAGATCTAGGGCTGCCCTGCCAAGAAGCGGCGCGATCATCCCACTAAACTATATCCAGGAAACCCGATCTTAATGGTGGGATTAACGACCGGATAGTAAGGGTGCGCTGTGGAGAAGGGCATCGGATTGTCCGTGATGGGGGAAAGGAGGTCCATAACTCCCATAGCTGATAGCATAGAATCCAAGGGGCTAGTCAGGATCTAAAATCGTTTATATGCTCTCAACATCAAACAGACCAACCTCACTGGCAAAAGAAGTCGGGATCTGAAAAGCAGTCGCCTCACTTCTCTCGACGAAACCAAGATCGAACAGCAAATCAGGATACCCACTGAAACCCACTTCAATAACTACCACCCACTGGGCGTCTCAGGACGGTTCCATACGGTCCCTTCATCTCAACTCCCCACTCTAGTTTCAGCCGAAGCCGTCCCGCAGAACACCATTAATTTAAGCTTAATCCATAAGAAGAGTATCCCCTGACATTTGCTGCTCATTCCATTCCTTCCTTGCAGATACCTCTCCTTCCACTCATTCACCACATTCATTCATTCGTTTACCAAAATTCAAAATGCACATCGCCGCAACCCTCGCCCCCCTCTTCCTCACCTCAGCGCTGGCGCTGCCCTCCCTCTCGCGCCGCGCGCAGTCCGCCACCTCGCTGTGCGGGAACCAAGACTACCTGATTCTGCAAGACACGCCATGGATCGTGTACAACATGCTGTACAACGCCGCGCAGACGGTCGGCACGCAGTGCACGGGCTACGAGTCGCAAACGACGTCCTCGTGCGGCACGAAGGAGGTAGTCTGGAGCAGTGTCACGGACATTGAATACGTGGAGAGCACGTACGTTGCCTGCCTCTTTCACCTCCCACAAACTCACACACTAATTATTGACGGCAACAGCAACAACCTCCCAAAGGGCTACTCCTTCGTCGGCCTGACGCAGAACCTCGAGACCAAGATCTCGGCTATCGCGTCCATTCCTGCGGACTATACCTGGAGTCGGACTAATACTACCGCGTTTAAGGGTATGAATTTCATCCCTTCCCTTGGCTCAACTAGATCCCACGGGGAGAGAAAAGACAGATGCTAATGGGGAAAAAAAGGAAACACCTGCTTCGACTTCATGACCAACGACATTAAAGGCGACTCCACCTCGACCTCCTCGCACGAGCTGATGCTCTGGCTCCAGTACGAAGGAGGACAGCTGCCGATCGGCTGGACCGACGGGCCGGTTGCCACCATTGACGATCTGTTCGGCACCTCCTGGAAGCTGTACGAGGGCGTCAACGACGGCACGGGCATCACTGTTAGCACGCTGTTGCCGGATACGCAATTCGAGGGGGCGTTCGAGGGTGACCTGCGGGAATGGTTGATGGCCATGGTGAAGTTGGGACGGTTCACCGAGGAGACCTATGTTAATGTTGGCAATGCTGGGTGAGTTTCTCTTCCTTCTATTTTGTTTGCGGGCATTGGACTTTGCTGATTATGGTTTGTTTGGTTCAATAGGACGGAGTTCTTTTACGGAAACTCGGTTTTGAATGCTACGCTTGGGTTGCAGATTGATTTGGAGTAGGTTTGAGGGGGTTTTGAGATGGGAGGGGAGGGGCAGTAGGTGCGAGTGTTCGGGGTATCTACCATATGAAGTTCTTGCGAAGGTCTCTGAGAAGATTAATATGAAGTTGAATTCTGGCGGAGTTGAAGGGGAGCAGAAAGCACTTAATTCTCGTCATCGAAGATCGTAAAACTCCTTTAGCTGTTTAGATTGAAGAACATGAATCCCTCACAAAAAGGCAATCGTACTATGCTAAAGCAAATACATCTCAAGTCTGCCAAAAGAGCAAGACGAGAAACAAATCAAAGTGCAAACACATATCTCACCATCCCAACCAGTAGCAATGCCGGGTTATTGAAAGCACCCATGGCACGCACGACGACTCTACTGGGCGACATGTTTCGACAAGTGTTTGATGACAGCCACGGCAAAGCCAGGATAATCTCTCAAAAGGCTCTCAAATTCTCCTTCATCCTTACACATCACGTCCGAATATCTCCCGACGTAGGAGGCAAGCATCTGACAAACCGAAGCGCCTACTCGCAGATCCAAAAGAGCAGGATGACATACATCATTGATGAAGCAACAGACCTCATCAAATCCGAACTGCGTGAAGTGGGTGTCGAGAAGTTCCTTCAGCTGTTTCTCGCCTTCGTGGGACAACTCAGCGATCTTGAACTCCTCAGCGAATAGAATGAGTTCTATATGCATCCCCATTTTGGCACTTAGATCTATATTGTCGGCGCTGAAATCATCGTCGAGGTCATGATGGCCGTAAAGGATCTTGTAGGTGCCTGTATAGGCCCAGTCGACGAAGCGCGCCAGCGTGTGATTCGCCCACCGTTCCAGGGAGGCAAGGTTCACATTTGGGGCCTTCGCGTTAAGAAGTCCGCTGTGGATTCTGATGGGATAAATTGATTCAGGTCTGAGAGTGACGATCTCGGTCACGAAATATCTGAACGGGATTTATTAGTCTCACAAATTAAGTCTCGACTCTGAGGGGAACAAACGGTGGTTCACAAGGTATATCTTCAGGTACAGGACATACAGCCTCCTCTTCAGAAGACACAGCCTCAGAGTCAACAGACGCAGTTTTCCGTATAGAAGATGCAGCTCCCGATTTAGAAGGCTCAGTACTACCACCCTTTTGCGCCATCATGTTGGTCTTTTTCACCATGTTAGGTCTGCTTGCTCAATTAAACTCTGGGATATGGCTTGATGGTTATTCCCTGTGTAAGGGAATCTTGGATGTAAAAGAGATATAGCTGGGGGAGCTGACTAGACTTGACTGGATGAAACTCTCTAAAGAGTGGGCTGGGTGTATTGGAAGAAGGATGGGAGATGGGGGGGGGAGGAAGAAGAGGAGAAGATGTGGAGGAAGGTGGGGGAATTTATCACGCGAGCTGAGAGAAAAAAAAACAAACACATCAGATGTAGGAATATAACCGAGTGAATGAGTGGGTGGGCTTCAGGTAAGAGGGTGGGATCTGAGGAATATTGTGAATAAATTGCGAGTTTCACTCAAGGAGCCACATGTTAACAACACCCCTTTGGGTCATATTCTGCGGGGAGAGAGTCAAGACCGCAGCATATTCTTTCTCTCTAGACTTTGCTTTCTAACTTACTGCTTTCTTTGGGACTATTTAACTTTCATTAAGCAGTCAGGTCCTTGACGAAATAGCAGATGGTTCTTTCGGTGAATTTGTACTTGACTGTACCAGAAGAAACGTCTGCGATCGAGAGGAGGAGTCTCTCCAAACAACCTTGTCCCAAAGCCGAATGAGCACTAGTTAGAAGGTACAAACCATGCAGTATTTCATTCCAGTTACACAGAAAACTGGATATGTATGGCGACTCCTAACCACTATGAGATCCTAGTCAGCAATCAAGTCCATCATTTGCGGAAGCATGAGCAGCCACTAGGTACACGGATAGCCTGCAAGCAGGACATGCGCACAACTGTACGTTTATACCTGTTGTCACATTTGAATTGAAGCTTATTATCATGATAGTCTAAAAAGCCATCCCAAGCATCACTCCTGAGGTATAAGAACCGCAACACGGCGCTGTGTTTCTACAGTAGGTGTATACTACTCCTAGTGTGTTGCCAATAGCAAGCGCATCATACAATCAACTCGGATGTTTCTCGTTTTGTTCCGGCGCAATATACTTTGAATCCTTGAACAAGGCCCGGAGATAATCGTCAGCTGTGGTAGGCTTCACGGTAATAATGTCGTCGAGACGGCTAAGCTACATTTTAGCGGTAGGCAATACGGCTTCAATCACCACGGGCGCCAGAGGGTTAAGGCCGGGGTGTTGCTATGCCGCTGTCCCAGAAACAGTTTCGGGTTTCTTCTTTATCATGCAGTACACAGTCTAGTCTGACTGTCCGATGAAAGCTATCTTTAAAAAGGAGTGCTACTTCTAGATTGAGAGGTGTAGGTAGAGTACAAAGATAGGTCGAAGAGGGGTTGGGTTTATGTAGCTGCTGGCCTAGTGTATCCTTGAATGCAGGCAAGATTGACAAAGAAAGAAGTTTGCCTAATGTCTACCGCCCAAACAGAGGACTGTGAAGCTATTTGACGAAGTTCCCCCATCTTTACCATTTCGTGCGCCTTACGGACTGGCTAGAACAGTAGTGATCCACATCTCGCAATCCAGAGAACCCTTTTCTACGTGTTATGTAGAGCAAGGACTGCCTTGACTGGTTGGAGGATTAGCTTGACGATGTAACTATCCTCACACTCTGGAGAAACGCAACGGTGAGCGAAATCGATATCCTGGGACCGATACAGGGTGTTGATATTCTATTTAGTCCCAACCAGGACTTTGCTCACACTCATGTCGAGACTGTACTGTCTCATAACGGAAGCATCACCCGAGCGGTTCCCAATCTCTCTACAAGGCTGATAACGTTGCTTAGCATGTTGTCTTTGTCAAATATATGAGTATGCGAGCCAAATCTTCGGCTTCTGTGTGGCTTGGGTAGAATTGCTTTATCAATGGAACGGCTTTATGAAGATAAACATGTATGAACCTCACAGTCAAACAAAACTCAGTACAGCTCATGCGCCTCATTCTTGACTACAACGAAACTTTAGGCAGCCAGCTGCACCTGCACTCGTGCAGTATAACCGAGAACGCTGCGCTGTGGGCCCCACGTTCAGAATTTTCAGCCATACGAAAGATTGTATCTTTACAGACGGCGTTAGTTCAAGCATTCCAGTATCAACCATCCCAAAACCAGCATGTTTACCTCCCATGTAAACTTATCTTAGAGCATAAGCCTTTATAGAATAACTCAGTGTTAAATCTATCACATACGACCACAGGGTGTGGAAAACAGGGCTTCCCGTCCGCTCAGCCGTACTTAAGCCACACGCCGGGAGGTTAGTAGTTGGGTGGGTGACCACCAGCGAATCCCTTCTGTTGTATGTTTTTATTTTGGTCTTTTTTTATTCAGTATTCATGCTGCCCCGGGTGCAGTTTCTGCTTCCGAGTCATAATCCTTTGTTGTATATGCCAATATATGCAGGGGTATAAGGCCGGCAGTCATGTTGTTTTGATGCCAGTTATCGCAGCATTCCTTCGCGGAGGAGTCTATGCATATGGCTCTGTAGTCGAGAAATAGTCAGCTCTATGCTTGATGTGTATCAGTAATATTCAAAGTCTAGACGCGGAACTGGCAGAGGGGCTTACCATTTTTTTGAACGGTTGT